TAATTGTTTTCTAAATTGAATGCCAGTATTTAGCGATACTAAAGAGCAGGGGATTAATTGCAGTTCTAGAAAACCAATTAATTCTCCAGGCCCCTTGTTCCATTGTTTCTTTACAACATGGAAAAAGAACATTTTCTATTATTTATCAAAATTAATTCCTTTACCACCATTTTCTCAAAAGCAGACTTGAGAATGAAATTAAATCTTAATAATCATAACATGTGTACATATATGATGTATATTTTGCCACAAACTAAAATTTTTTAATTCCCACCCCCTATTTTTGCAAATTTGATAGCGCAAACCTTTCAACTTATAAGTGTTTTTGTACATATTTGATCTAAAAAGATGTATAGCTTAAAATATCAAAGGTCAACAGCATTGGGTTGCATATATATCAGATTTTGTGACAAAAACTCAATTCCTTTCAAACCAATACATTTATCACCTAAATTCGATTTTTTATTAGTTTTTGATATTTATTATTAATTATTTTCTTTCTCCAAAATTATCTTTCTTAATATATAATTCACTGTTTCTTTACAGCCTTAGACCAATACTTTATGTTATGTACGAAAACTGGGCGCCAATAAGAGGAAGTGGGGGGGGGGAAATACATCTACTGTTCAGGGCTATAAGTTTATTTTTTAACAAATCTTGATTTGAAAACACGTAAATTTCAGTGACAGTGACAGAAGGAGAAGGTTAAATTGATGCGACATCGCTAGTGCGACTTTGATACCTCGTTACTTATCAAGTTACAATTTTCCGCATTAGTATGTAAAACAAATTCAACTGTAGGTTACATATTAAAAATTTAAAACATTTCTTTTCAATTGCTTTTCAAGAAGGGGATTTATAAATAAAAGCATTTAAGATTTCACTCTTTCCTGCAAGTTACTTTAGCAACATAAATTTGCATTTTTACTAAAAAATCGTCTAAACTCTTTATTTTCAATTAAATCACTTAAAACGTGCTTACTAATTCCTTTAACCATAACTTCCTTCAACCTATTGGTTTGGAGAATCATAGCAATAGGTTGGTTACGTTAAGAAAGGTAATCATGTGATCACATGACCATGTTTTAATTGCATGGATTTACTCGTTACCAGGGTTGAAGAAAAAGCTCTCTTAAGAAAGAGAGGACCGAGAGACCTCTTGATTGGTTGCTATACTGGATACCTGCAGCTCTATATATTTAACAAGAAATACGGGGCCTCGTACCGTGGAGGTTGGGTGATTTATTTATTAGAGGTTGGGAGATTTATTTATTAGAGGTTGGGAGATTTATTTATTAGAGGTTTGGTGATATATTTATTAGAGGTTGGGAGATTTATTTATTAGAGGTTGGGAAATTTATTTATTAGATACTGGGAGATTTAGTTATTAGAGGTTGGGTGATTTATTTATTATAGGTTTGGTGATCTATTTATTAGAGGTTGGGAGATTTATTTATTAGATACTGGGAGATTTAGTTATTAGAGTTAAGGTTATTTATTTATTGAAGGTTTGGTGATCTATTTATTAGAGGTTGGGTGATTTATTTATTATAGGTTTGGTGATCTATTTATTAGAGGTTGGGTGATTTATTTATTAGAGATTTGTTGATTTATTTCTTAAATGTTGAACAAAAGAGGTTTAATGATAAAAGTAAAAAAAAAGATTTTTTAATAAAAGGAGGTGGTGGGTCTCTGGACATGGATTTTTGTTCCACTAATTACTTTCCTAGACTGTATTTATACTTAATCGGTAGGTTTAGTACACAACTATTTTCTAGGGGCAAAGAAATTAACTCAATCTTAATGAAAAATATAATTTTTACGTTAAAAACAGCTGAATTAATTAAAAAACATTCAACTAGAATATTTTGATTGCAATCAAGAATATCTCCTTGTAATTACTATATTTTAATAATAAACTGTCCCCCATACAACACAGCACGTAAATCAATTATGTAATTCTTGCATCATAGAAAACAAAGCAAGTACATTCACAAGAGGTTCAATACTAAAATTAAAAAAAGGTTTGAAGGTAAAAGAGGTTTACTGATAAAGTAAAAGAGGCTAAATGATAAAAGTAAAAGCAGGTTTATAGTGATAAAAGTTAAAGAGGTTTAATACTAAATTTAAAAAAGGTTTAAAAGTAAAAGAGGTTTATTGATAAAGTAAAAGAGGCTAAATGATAAAAGTAAAAGCAGGTTTATAGTGATAAAAGTTATAGAGGTTTAATGATAAAAGTAAAAATAGTTTTAGTGTTAAAAGTAAAAGAGGTCAAATGATCGATAAAAGTAAAAACAGGTTTGGTGATAAAAGTAAAAAAGGTTTAATGGTAAAAGTGAAAAAGGTTTAATGATAAAAGTAAAAGAGGTTTAATGCTAAAAATAAAAAAGGTTTAATGATAAAAGTAAAAGAGTTTTAATGATAAAAGTAAAATAGGTTTAATGATAAAAGTAAAAACAGGTTTGGTGATAAAAGTAAAAAATGTTTAATGATAAAAGTAAAAAAGGTTTAATGATAAAAGTAAAAGAGGTTTAATGATAAAAGTAAAAAAGGGTTTATGATAAAAGTAAAAAAGGTTTAATGATAAAAGTAAAAGTGGTTTAATGGTAAAAGTAAAAGAGTTTTAAAGATAAAAGTAAAGAGTTTTAATGATGCACATAAAAAAGATTTTGTGATAAAAGCAAAAGAGGTTTAAAGATAAACGTAAAAGAGGCTTAATGATAACATTAAAGGAGGTTCAATGATGCAAAATAAAAAGGTTTCATGATGCAAATAAAGATATTTACTGATGCAAATAAAAAAGGTAAACTGATGCAAATTAAAAAAGTTTTTATGATGCATGATAAGATATTTACTGATGCAAATAAAAAGGTTTACTGATGCGAATAAAAAAGGTTTAGTGATGCAAATGAAGATATTTTACGGATTCAAATTAAAAAGGTTTAATGATGCAAATAAAGACATTAACGGATGCAAATTAAAAGGTTTAGTAATGCAAATAAAGATATTTACTGAATACTGATGCAAATAAAAAGGTTTACTAATGCAAATAATAAAGATTTTTATGATGCAATGATAAGATATTTACTGATTCAAATAAAAAAGATTTAATGATGCAAATAAAGATATTTACTGACGACTTAAATTTCATGTTATATTTTAATCTGACGTGTTTTCTTTTTGAATTTCTAGCATTTAACCAAATAGATTTGTTTCCTTGTGCGTAAAATCAAAATAAAAAGAGGTATGAGGTAACAAAATCATATGCTATATGCTATAGCATTAATATCTCATAAATTTTACCTTTTTTGGTTTTCCTAGTGAATTGTAACATTTAGTAATATGTGCCAATACGGGGAAATCAAACTGTAATCATGAATTACAGAGACATTTTTGTATTTTGGAAAAATGTAACATTTCTAACTTTCTCTATTTCCCCTCTATTACCTTTATTGGTTTTTATTCCTGAGAAATGTTTTCCAAACTTCTTTTATTTCCTATCAGTTCACGCCACATTAAAACTGTCTCACGTTTTACGTATCTATATATAGATGATTTATCCATACTTAAATAATATATATATATAGATGATTTATCCATACTTAAATAATATATATATAGATGATTCATCCATACTTAAATAATATATATATATAGATGATTTATCCATACTTAAATAATATATATATANCCTTTGAGAATAGGTGTAGGGTTAAAATGCATGGTCATAGCGCAGTTTTTCATGGCCAGCTCAAAGAAAAAAAAATAGACCGATAACTTTAATAGTTTGAGTGCTAGGGAGGGTGGAAAAATGCCTAAAAAGGGTAAAAAAATGAAAAAATATATTTTTTTTAAACAATTATCAAAGTGTGACACATGTTTCTACATGCATTTTCAAGGGCTTTTCAAAAATATAGACCTGTAGCTTTAGTCACAAAAAGTTATGGGCTAATTTAGATTTTTTTCCGCCTGTACCCTACCCCATAAATCAAAAAAAGAAAATTTTTCGAACAAAAAATCCTTTAAATTACTTTTTATTAAAATTCACAAAGTTTCACGGTGATAGTGTCAAAAATGAGAGTGCTAGGACAAAAATAACTACAACCCCCCCTCCCCTCCCAGCCTGTTTCGGGTTAAGAAAGTGCATCTCTTGTCTAATTTTCCGAGATTTTAAAGAGACAAAAAATAATAATGTATGTATGTAGAGTGTTTCATGATTATCAAAGGCTTTTAACAAGTCCAAAGGGCATCTTGTTTTCATATGTAATCTGGGATCCACTACAACGATTTCGGTCCCAACTCCTGACTTTTCTCTTTTATTGAGAATAAAGAAGAAATATCTGATCACTGTCTCATACTCTAGTTTTCAAATCCATATACCTTTAATATTTCAGTCATTTAATTCTGCTAGATCAAATAGTCGATCAGATTGCAAAGAAAAGGTATTCGAAAAGTATAAGTGAAGTTTCAAAGGATCTACTGTCGACAGTTTTGTGTATCTCCCAGGTTATTTATTAATATTTTCCTGATTTCTTTCAGATCTGGAAGAAAAAGCAAAAAAAATAGATTTTTAAATATTTATTTTTCTAAACAATGTTGTATTTCAGTATGGGGACATTAAAGGGACTGTCAACGTTATTTCAAGTGACCCTCAATTGGTAGATTGGTATGTCAGATTCCCAATGGTACCCTTAGAAGCTTTGTATGATCATGTATGAATTACATATCTTTGTTTTTGTTCTTGAAAACTGATTATTTTTACTTGTGATTTCTCTGCAAAAATTATTTTCGTATTTCTTGATAATTTTACCCATAGATTTAAAAAAAATAGAATTGAAAACTCCGTTTCCCCAAAAATATAAATATCACAATACAGATAACCTTTCTCTCTTTCTTTTTTTTCTCTCCGATACCATACAGAGTAATTTCTTCTCGTAGGTTTCTAAATGTCATTCCAGTGTTTAAAAGCATGAGTCGGAGGGGTTTCTATTCAGTTCCAGTCCGTGTTCGATATGATCACTACTTCTCTCTTCATCATTACAGCTTTGGTAAGGGTAAATTCATGGTATTATAATCTTAAGATTTCAGTATTTCATGAGTTTATATTTCTGCAGTAGGAATTTCTGGTGTCTGCTTGTAGGAGTTTGTCTTTCTGGAGTTAGTTCTCAAGAGTTTTTCTTTCAGGAGTTTGTATTTCAGGAGTTTTCTTTTAGGAGTTTGTCTTTCATGAGTTTGTCTTTCAGGAGTTTGTCTTTCAGGAGTTTGTCTTTCAGGAGTTTGACTTTCATTAGCTTGTCTTTCAGGGATTTGTCTTTCAGGAGTTTGAATTTCATGAGTTTGTCTTTCAGGGTGTTGTCTTTCAGGAGTTTGACTTTCATTAGCTTGTCTTTCAGGAGTTTGTCTTTCAGGAGTTTGAATTTCATAAGTTTTTATTTCAAAAGTTTGTCTTTCATGAGTTTGTCTTTCATTTATTTAAATGAAAAAATGCCTGTATGAAATAATTTTTGCTTAAATGATGTAAAAATGTTGTTTTGTTTAGAGTTTCACGAGTTGTCAGCCGGTCGTGAGAGGGAGGGATGGTCAGGACGAATCTCCGGAGCTGATGAACAATATACTCCCGGAGGACGAGGGACAGGATGATGTATTACAGGTTCTAATCAAGGATATATACGACCTGGAGAGCATGTTCCATCATCTAGGACTGGACGTACCAAACAAAGCCGGAGCACAGAGCAGAAACAACGAACCTGGCCAGGAATTAAACAAACCACGGAATAATATCTATCCGAACAACCCGGAAATTTCTCTCCGCTTGATGAACCAACTTCCCGGAGTTTCTCAGCAAACTCTCGAACCCGGACAAACTGACCTGAACCTGGCTCCTGGAGATACCAGAGTAAACCTGAGGATGAAGAAGAGACACATTGTTCCTAGGTTTAGCAAGATGTCTCCGAACCCTCCCATGCAGTTTCCAGCACAGTTTATAAACCAAATAATTGAAAAGGATGGTTTACACGTTTTCAGAATGTAATTTTGAATTGAATACAAATTGGTAAATAGTCTCTCACATGTTTTACAATTATAATAAATGATTCCATATTTTTTAATCCATTTAAAAATAAAAACAGGTTTACCACCTCTAAATACATCGGTATCCCTCCGTCTCATATCGGTTTTATTAAGATAGGACTAATCTTCCCCCTTTTTAAAATATATGGTTATCTTTAGGTGGATTTTCACATCGTACATATATATAGGCTTATGTGAAACGTTTTCAAGACTTGGTCGACTTTAAAGTGTCACAGCGCCTTGACCCTTGATATTACCTCAATAACCCACATATACTTTTTGAGCCCTTAACCTTTAAAACTGTACAGCACTTGTTTTTAGCATTATTTTTTAGCATGTTTGGGAAAATTATCATAGATTTTTGCGTTGGAACTGTCAATCTTAGGATTACTGTAAAGCGGTTTCCAAAGCAAAAGTTTTAGCAGCCAAGAGGAGAATGCCCGATTTACAGAGGTACAGTACAATTTAGACGACAGAGAAATCTATAAGGTTTACTCAGGGGGGATGGTAGTTTCCATGGGTACTGGAATAGGGTATCGCTACGAGGCTCGCGCACGAATGAAAGGTCGATACGGTACGGTGGGAAGATCTGTACCCTCTGACGTCACTGATTAAAACTATTGGTGGAGAATTCTCAGACCGCCAAAGAAATACCAATCACAATTATGCGTATACTCGCCTACAACAGATCTTATCCCAAGACAGTTCTAGGACCAGTGTCCACTTTGTGCCCTGAGCCCGTTCTCTCCATAATAATGTTTAAACAGTGGCCGTGTTGTTCACGTACTTTGGGGGACGATAGTTTGGCCGCTAGATGTCTCAAGCAAAATTCTTATCTGATAGATAGATAGTTCTTACGAGAGACATCTAGCGGCCAAACTATCGTCCCCCAAAATACGTGAACAACACGACCACTGTTTAAACATCATTATGGAGAAAACGGGCTCTGTACCGGGTTATGACGTAGGAAGGTACAGAAGCTAGAATTGTATGACTACCTTACCCTATTCCAGTACCCATGGTAGTTTCCTACCGATGTGCTCAGTTAGCTGTACTGTACGCTTACAACTGTTTACTAATAATCAAGGAGAATTGAATAGAAGGAGGGGGCGATAGGGTTTCCGTACACTTTGCTGTGACGTTTTTGGACTGCTGAAGAACTAGTTTTTGCGTAACAACAATAACAAAAGCAGCCGATCTAATCTAAACAAACATGAGTTAGTATACGGTGAATCTTCATCTGACGCCAGAGATGCGCCAGATGTCTGTTTTTCATTTGTGTTATTGTTTACAATCTTTATTATTGTTGTTACGCAAAAACTAGTTCTTCAGCAATCCAAAAACGTCACAGCAAAGTGTACAGAAACCATATTGCCCCCTCCTTCTCTCCTTGACTAATAATGATATAATATAGGTTAGGCCAGAATCTCCTTATAATAAACAAATATGCAGTACGCTCTCGGTATAGTTCATGGCCTATAGTAAAGGATTAGCGTATATCATCACTCAATACACTATAACCTCGTTGGGTTTACTCTATAATGTTGTTTACTCTATAATGTTGTTTACTCTATAATGTTATTTACTCCATAATGTTGTTTACTCTATAATGTTGTTTACTCTATAATGTTGTTTACTCTATAATGTTGTTTACTCTTTATGTTGTTCAAATTACCAAAAAAAAACTTTAAGCGGAAGCTAGCGTATACACTATACCCATAGAGAATAGAATATATAGAGAGGAATTTACTAGAAAAAAGTGTAAAACGGCCATTTTGTTGTACTATTTCCATACTACAGGCGTACTTCACATATTTATGCTATATAACCTGTTGGGCCCGGGAATATCATTTTATAGAAAATCTAAAATTATTGTTATAAGAGAGCCAAATTATGAAATAGGCTGGTTTCATAATTGACCAATGATCATTTCACATAGACTTTATGCCTTCCACTTTACAAACGATGATTTTCCGTTATAACTATAAATCAAATGATGTTTTTGTTCACCTAATTCATTATAAAGTTTATTTAACAGTTTAAAAAATTCGAAATTGAAATGGATAGTATAGGGAACATACTGTATTAATGTACTCTACTGCACATAATTTGTGAACATTTACATGATTTGTACACTTTGAACTCCCTTTCAGGCTGAAAGGGACTGAGAAAATTCATACCGAGAGATTATTTTAATTCCTCTCTATATATTCTATTCTCTATGATATCATCATATATGTATATGTTTACATACATAAGTATATCATCAAATATGAATATATTTACGTACATATGTATATCATCATATATGTATGTAGATATGCATGATGTATGTATGTATGTATTGCAGATGGAATGTTGAAATTATGTTGAATTATAATCCTGAATTCTCCAGATAAGATCAGATAAGATGAGATCTATATATTCTATTCTCTATGTATATAGCGCTACTCAGATCTCAGCCTGAGCTTTAATTGTTTAGATTGTTTACAATATTTATCCCCCCCCCCTCGCAAAAGTTCCCCTCCCCCTAGAATTTTATACAGGGAATTTGGTAATTTTCCTTTCCTTAAGCCGCCTCTGATGATACTCTAAGTTAAAAAATTACTTTGTGAACCAAATTAAATTATCTGAATTAACTATTTATTTCAAAATATGAATTCTGTTAGATCGAAACGTTTTTGACATAAAAAGTTTACACTTTCAGGTTATATAATCAAATATAAAGGATGTCAAAAATCGGCGCAAATCAATAAAGATGCTTAAAAATGCCCGTTTTGCGTAGAACATATATCTTTTTAACAATCCGGATAAAGCTTATAAATATTCCCACAACCTCTTTTTATGGAGGTTTTTAAATATTTCTCCTGAAACACTTAATTTTGTATGTTTTTGTTATATTTCAAAAATAAATAATTACAATTGTGTTCAATTTCCTTTGTAAATCTACATCTATAAGGTCAATAATACTTAATTATTATAAAATGCAATATCTGCAACAAAAAAATCTTTTCCCTGATTAGTTTTCTCTGGTTCGAGTTTGGGGGAAACTTTTCCATTTTCTTGATATTATTGGAACTTTATATATTTTATTGCTATATTGTTTTCACAATACTTCAGTGGGGGTATAAAATACATAAGAAGGAGGGTGGTAGGTTTATTTCCAGTATTTTTTTACTGTATTGATGTTACAATCGTATAGTATCTTGTATTTTAATGTTAAAATATTCAGTTTTAATATTTTAGAATGCTCTTGGATATCACAAGTAATATGTATGGTTCCCCTGTGAACGCCCTCGGGGGGTGGGGTCCCGGTTAAAATGGTTAGAATATGAAAAAGAACATGGCTGAACTCTGGCTAAGAATTAAAAACAACAAAGAAAGATAAAATCATCTATAGGCGTAATTTAGTCCAGACATAAATTAAAAAGTAAGGCGTCAGTATAAGTAATATATAAGTTATATAGATTAACTGATTAGACTTATAATATATAAGTAATATAGATTAACTGCCTAGATTAACTGCTTAGACTTATAATATATAAGTAATATAGATTAACTGCTTAGATTAACTGCTTAGACTTATAATATATAAGTAATATAGATTAACTGCTTAGATTAACTGCTTAGACTTATAATATATAAGTTATATAGATTAACTGCTTAGACTTATAATATATAAGTAATATAGATTAACTGCTTAGACTTATAATATATAAGTAATATAGATTAACTGATTAGACTTATAATATATAAGTAATATAGATTAACTGCTTAGACTCAGGAGGTAATGGATGCTTTTTGAAAAAATCTTCTCACTAAAAATAAAATGTATGAAATTGAATGTGTTTTAGTAAGTCCACATGGACAACGCCGGGCTCTTTTAACTTAACCCGTAAACATAATTAAGTTTAAATCAACAAAATAATAATTTTACTAAACTTATGTAAAAAAGAATTCATCCCCATTTTTTTTTAACTGTCAATTGAATAATTCAAGGGAACTTTTAATTAAATTGCCTTGAATTTTGTAACGGTTTGCGAGAACTTAAGCGTAAAATTGCATTTAAAAATGTCACACAAGAAAATCTGAATTATTATAATAATTATTTCTGCTAATCGCAAGATTTTATGTTTTATGTCTGGCGTCATTGTTAAGCATTATTTTTGTGCTTAATGCGGATTTTGCGTAATTTGCTTGCAGCATTTCGGTCTAAATTTCGCTGGTGACCTTTTCCATAATCAGAGCTGAAAACTCTAGAATGGGATATCCTTAATCCCGATCGGTTAATTAATCTGGAGATTAATAACATGAGGAGAACAAGCTTTATTTAATCTGGAGATTAAGAAAAAGAGTGGATCAAGCATTAATGCTGATGTCCACCATTCAAAATTTCCGGTTTCAGGATTAACTTCGACCGCATGGAATACAACAATCTGGAAAATTGGAAGATGGAAATTATTAATCATTTTCTCTCTTAATGCTTTTTTTCAGGTTTTTGCTAATCATCATTTGGTTCATTATCTTGATCGTTGAACCAAAAATGATTGGAAATTACTTCGTCATTCATACTTTTTCGTTCTAATGTAAAACTATGATGGGAACAGATCTCGGGGAGTAATGAGGTGCTTGTAAATTGTACTCTTAATTTTTGGTAAAAAAAAGATACCACGAGGGTAGATAGATAGATAGATAGATAGATAGATAAATAGATAGATAGATAGACAGATAGATAGATAGATAAATATATAGATAGATAGATAGATAGATAGATAGATAGATAGATAGATAGATAGATAGATAGATAGATAGCTAAATAGATAGATGGATAGATAGATAGATCCTAGCGCTCTGACCGGCTTCAACTAGCTGACTGAGCATTAAATCATATACACGTTCTACACTGTAGAAACTTAGTAGTTGTAGTGTTACTAGGGTTAGATTCTGTAAATAAGAATGTACAGTGATCACATTTAACTTGATTTTTAACATGTTTATATTCATTGTTCTTTTGTCAAAAATTTCCAGATAAAAAAACTAAAACTGTGGAATATCTTTGCTCCTAATAGCATAAGCTACACATAAAATTGCTTAAATGTTGTCTTCCAATTCCACATTTTTTTATACTCAATGTTTTTTCTGAGACAATACTTAATAACAACATCTAGTGTTTATATGTCTTTAATCTATTCCTCAGTTTTATTGGTTTCACAATAGCAGTATGATTATAGATAATTAAAATGTTTAAAATCAAGATATCTGAGAACTCTCCTGTTGAGGTTTATATAAACTTGAACCTAGAAGAGCAGGAGAGAATTGCAAACCTTAGGTAAACAAAGAAATAATGTTAACTCTGTCCGATTTACAACGGTACCCTTAAAGAAGATATCGCCGTTTTTCTGACTAAGAAAGTGTTTATTTCTGTGAGTTCCCCATTGCTCCTTATAAACCAGAAATGCACAAGTAACTTTTGCAGAAAATTATCGCAAATGATAATAAACATACAAGATAATTATCGCAAATGATAATAAACATACAAGATAATTTATATTTTCAGTATTGAAAAGAGATTGGATACTGTTGCAGAAAATTATCGCAAATGATAATAAACATACAAGATAATTTATATTTTCAGTATTGAAAAGAGATTGGATACTGTTGCAGAAAATTATCGCAAATGATAATAAACATACAAGATAATTTATATTTTCAGTATTGAAAAGAGATTGGATACTGTTGCAGAAAATCTTACAGTTGTCAGGAAAAATCATTTATGTATTATATTATCTATTTATTTATTTATTGACTTATTATTTTATCTACATATTTATTTATTCATTTCTTCATTGTATTGATGGGTATATTCATAGAGAACGATTTTTGGACCCCCCCCCCTCCTATCAATTTTGTACATGGGTCTGACAGTGTCTTAACTTAACCTAACCCGTGGCCGCAGCGCTCGGCCCCCTAGCCCATCCTAGCCGCAGCACTCGGCCCAGAAAGTGTCTTAACTAACCTAACCAGTGGCCGCAGCGCTCGGCCCCCTAGCCCATCCTAGCCGCAGCGCTCGGGCAAGAAAGTGTGTTAATCTAACCGAACCCTAAATGACAATAAAAAATAAATAATCATAAATTTGCTGAAAAATAAATGGTCATGTACAAAATTGATAGGAGGGGGTGGGGGGTGGGGTGGGGGGTCCAAAAATTGTTCACTTGGACAGACCCTATTGATGTAATCGCTTACCACCTTAAAATAAAATAAGAGTTACTCGCAGTTCCTAAGTCGTTACGTTCGTATTTAAAATCTATATATTTATCCTTTTCAATTGAATAAATAAATATATAAAAAATCAAATTAATTTAGAAAAGGTTTAAAAATGAATGAAGATTGATTACCGAAGGATGATTATTAAATTTTAAATGAATTTGAAAGAAGGGATGATAAGAATGAAAATGAATATTGTAAAAATGCTGATCTCGGATTAGAACATATGAGAAAGGGACAAAGTTTACTCTCCAACAAACATTATATTGAAAGTAAGTTAAAAAGTACGTTAATAAAAGTGTTTTAAATATAGTGACCAGTGATTTGGGCTTTAGATGTTTGATTTACCATACTCTTGGTTTTAAAATTATAATGGAGGATTACAGAGACAGCAAAGTCGTACGGGTAACCCCACATACAAGTATTCAATCAGAAGAAAAGCATTTTATGTCTTTTATTCTTAAGCTGCAAGTATAGAGAGGCCCCCTCCACTTTCTTCAAAAAAGCAATCTTTATTTGATATAGATATATAACGTAATATGTACATATTTTATACGCATATTTGAAAATTACTGTATACTCCTGGAAACTAAACTTTTGCTATAAAATCCAACCCAATCAAAATAAATTTTTAAAATCATGCAAAGCCCTTCCCATAGTTATATGGTTCCCCAATCAACATATGAGGCAAATCGGTAAAGGAGTTCATGAGTTATGATCGTACATATAAACAAACAAACAGATTTACACTTTATGTATATAGATACAGTGGAAACAATAAACCTTTGAAAGGAAGACGACATTTCTGCAATCATTTGTGAATTTGATGATTTTAAAAGGCAAATAGATTGATCTTTTCAAGGGAAATGGATTAGCGTACTCTGTATAATAGCTGTGCTTAAAACAGCTATTTCAAATCATAACTTGAGTTTCACAGTCGTCTTCCCATTCCACAGGTTAAATAAAGATGGTAATAATAACTGTTAAAGGTGTAGAAGAGTTAAATCTGAGTATACAGCTGATGGATGAATCTGAGCTCGAAAATATTGGATGGATTGCTGCATTTAGGTAAATATTGGATGCAGTATTTAGATAAATATTGGATGGATTGCAGCATTTAGGTAAATATTGGTTGCAGTATTTATATAAATATTGAATGGATTGCAGCATTCAGGTAAATATTGGATGCATTGCAGTATTTAGATAAATATTGGATGGATTGCAGCATTAAAGGTAAATATTGGATGGATTGCAGCATTTAGGTAAATATTGGATGCATTGCAATATTTAGATAAATATTGGATAAATTGCAGCATTTAGGTGAATATTGGATGCATTGCAGCATTTAGGTAAATATTGGATGGATTGCTGCATTCAGGTAAATATTGGATAGATTGCTGCATTTGGGTAAATATTGGATGGATTGCAGCATTTAGATAAATATTGAATGGATTGCAGTATTTAGGTAAATATTGGATGGATTGCAGCATTTAGGTAAATATTGGTTGGATTGCAGCATTTAGGTAAATATTGGATGGATTGCTGCAATTAGGTAAATTTGGATAGATTGCAATATTTAGGTAAATATTGAATGGATTGCAGAATTTAGGTAAATATTGGATGGATTGCAGTATTTATATAAATATTGGATGGATTTGTAGCATTTAGGTAAAAATTGGATGGATTGCAGCAATTAGGTAAATTTGGATAGATTGCAATACTTAGGTAAATATTGAATGGATTTAAGCATTCAGGTAAAAAATGGATGGATTGCAGTATTTAGATAAATATTGGATGGATTTGCAACAATTTGGTAAATATTGGATGGATTGCAGCAATTAGGTAAATTATTTTATTCTTCTTATTGTAATTAATATTTTTGTAAAATACCAATCAAGAGGGTATTCCAATAAACATGGAAACTATGTGACACATTAAAATCTTTGGTAGTTATTGAAATACAAAAATGGCACGACGCGACGTTTCTTGTATCTTGGTAAATTTTGAAGAAAAAAAACCCAGCAGAATGAACTTTGGAAATCCCAGGATTAGGAAAATATGGGAATTATTGTTACTTATTATGTTACTAATAAAATTCCCATATTTCTAATGTTTTTAGGTCAAGTGCCTGTTTTGAGATGAATCTTATTCATGAAACAATATCTGATTGTAAACTTGCTTTAGGTTAGTAGTTGTTACACTTACAAACAATGTCTGATTGTAAACTTGCTTTAGGTTAGTAGTTGTTAAACTAACTCGTTTTCAGATGTCAGACGCTCTCACAAAAACATTTTCCCAATTGACAATTTCTAAATGTACAACTTTTTTAATAGCACTTTCCCAAATGTCTCATTGCAGCGCTCGGCCCACAATATTATACTATCCGCAGCGCGGTTAGTATGCATGTCTGTCACTGTTAAAAATAATAAAAATCCTATTTTTGGAAGAAGTTGTCGGAAAAACAACAAAAAAAAACGTACCTAACAACTTAACAAGCCAACATTTAATGTCAAGCCAAATCCTCAAAATACATGGATCATTTGCCCTGGACGTACAATTTCCAGTTTGAACTTTATTGTGAAAACAATAGAATCTTATACAAGTAAATAAAATGAGCACACAACATGGTTAACCGTACCAATGGATGCCAAAACATGTCTTTGGTTTTGATTTTAACAAATTCTCTTGAAATAGATTATTTTTAAAATTGTAAAAGTCAGTTTTCATTTTAAGATGATAATTACTATATTTAGAAAACCTACCGAAGGAGAAGATAATTCAAAGATTTAAAATTTGGGAAAGATTGGCACTTTCAACTTCATCAGTAGGGAGTCAAGCTGCACTCCTTCAAATTTTAAGGTGCTTTTATCCTTTTTCATTACTATTCATAAAAAAATTAAACATACCTCTTTTTAGAAGATCAAACTTAATTAAAAGAATTGTATCCATGTATCTTATACAATCAAAGAAAAGAATACTTCTTAACCGGTAAAATGAAAAAATGTTTTCTGCTGAATATTTTTATATTTTTAGAAGCATAAAGTCAGAACTGGAGGACTCAGAAATGGAAAAAAGTAAAATAGTTTCTCTCCTGGAGAGATTAGCAACAAACCTGAGATCCCAGAAACCAAGCTCTAGATGCAGGTTAAGTAGAGTAGAGTAGAGTAGAGTAGAGTAGAGTAGAGTAGAGTAGAGTAGAGTAGAGTAGAGTAGAATAGAGTAGAGTAGAGTAGAGTAGAGTAGAGTAGAGTAGAGTAGAGTAGAGTAGAGTAGAGTAGAGTAGAGTAGAGTAGAGTAGAGTAGAGTAGAGTAGAGTAGAGTAGAGTAGAGTAAATATTTCTACAATTTATGTACCAAGGCTGAAGAACGATGAGGAGAAGAATGAGAGGAATGATGAGGATGGGGAAGAGCGTAGACCTGGAGACTGTGTTGAGGTTAGGGTTGGAGAAGCAGGAAGATATGTTGTAGCTACCAGAGATATTCAGGTGGTTAAATATGAATTTGAATGACTCTTTAATATTGCTGTACGGTCTACAGAAACTGATTAATCGCCACAAATTATAATATTCAAATCCCTCTGTTTTTGCAACCTAACGATGTATAGTAATATGGTAGTTTGTTTTTTAAATGTTTGGCCATTTAAAGCTTGAAATAACAACGGTTTACCACATAACGTTACAAAGATATAATTAGTTTAGAAAATTAGAGTTTGAGCAATAAATCATATTTTTTGGGTGTTTGAGCAATATATTAGTTTCTTTTTGAGGTTTGAGCAATAAATTAGTTTCTTTTTGAGTGATTGAGCTATAAATCTGTTCTTTCTTGAGTATAAATCAGATTTTCTCTTGAGTTTTAGCAATAAGTCAGTTTAATTTTTATGTTTGAGCAATAAATCAGTTTATTTTTAAGTTTGAGAAATAAATCAGTAATTTTTTGAGTTTGAGCAATACATCAGTTTTCTCTTGAGTTTGAGCAATAAATCAGTTTATTTTTAACTTTGAGCAAAAAGTCAGTTTATTTTTAAGTTTGAGAAATAAATCAGTAACTTTTTGAGTTTGAGAAATAAATCAGTAACTTTTTGAGTTTCAGAAATAAATCAGTTTTCTCTTGAGTTTGAGCAATAAATCAGTTAATTTTAAGTTTGAGCAATAAATAAGGTTCCTTTCTGAGTTTGAGCAATAAATCAATTTCTTTATTACTATATTGTTTAAGGCTGGTGAACTAATACTAAAGGATCCCAGCACAGCTGCAGTTCTTAATATCCAATATATCAGGCAAGCTTAATTGTTAAGGGACTATTATTGTGAATATCTTCGTTCTTTTATTTAAAAACTAATATCTTTACAAGCCCGGATTCAAAACAGATCTTAGTTGAATTTTACGCCGGGCCAAAAAATAAAATGGTTGAGATGCATACAACCATACAACCATGTGAAGATTTATTCCCGAAACTTCAGGAATAGTTGGAATAACAATCCCTTTATCAAAAATACAGAAGTAACCAGAAATCTGGGAATGTATCAGTATAATTCACATGTTTCCAAATAATTCAGTAACAAATTATAAGATCCTCACCGAGGTTCATGATAAAAAGATAAAAAAATAATTGGACTGTTTTTTGGTTACCACTGTATATAATAATATGAGAAGTTTTTTTTTCAAAAACATACCATTAAAAAAATTTAATTTTTTTACAATGTAGAACAAATTGTTCCAACTGCTTAAAGCCTGCCATTGCTGGTGTTCCTTGTTCCACTTGTTCCCAGGTAGGTAGATAGATGTTTAAGTATTAAACATTTTTTAACTTTCTGAAACTTAATGTGCCCCAAACCCAATGAGTTTGAAACAACATGGAGGAGAAATCCACCAGTTCCCCTTCATCATCTGATTGAATACATGCTTCGCTAACTAGTCTCACTGTCTTACTGTCTTTAAATCTTTTCTGTTTTAATTGATTTGATTTCTGATAAACCCCACATTTTAATTTAAAAATACCTTTCGTTGCCCAGTTTCGTTCTGTTTAATCTATACAACGACTTACTCTCTACACATTTATGCGGAGTTTGTACATCAGACAGTTTAGGAAAATCCAAACGACGACAATTGAAAATGAAGAATCGTCAGCAAAATAATTATGTGGAACGGGTTAATTCCTGCATGCTCCATGTTATTCTATACTCCATGATGCGCCCCACCCCGGACTAACCAGAGAGAGAAGCATTCGGTTTCTTCTATTTGAAATCAAACGTGTTTTGGTCTATATTTCTACAATCTTTAAACTTACGGATTTGTTTATTTTTTACTTTTTCATTCAAAATGTACATGCCAACAAAAATTATTGTTCATTTCCTCCCTCCAGAGTTCAACCTTAGTCGTTGGATAACAGACCATATTGGCTCTGCAGAGATGAACAACTTTTTCAGATTTAGCACTAAATCTCAATTAAAAGTTTATGAGTGCAGATACCGAGTTTAGCCGGGGAAGCAAAGTGTTATTACGACTCACGAGCTAAAGTTTTGCCCTTTGATTACCTGCATTCCAATTCTAATTTTCTAATCTCATATTTTTGATGCTGTAGACCTTCCAAACTATAAATAGTCAAATTTTATAATATTAAAGGTTTAAAACATCAGGTTCAAAAATATAAAGGGATCAGAAAATTCGAAAAATTTACGAGCGCTAGGATAGAAACGCAAATATCTAAGTTTACTTTATACTTATATAGGAGGTTGGCAAACGCTTAAAATGAGTAATATCCAAATGTCTCAAGTATGAATAGTAACTTAGAATGCAAATGGTACGTAAAATGTAAACCGAATTAAAATTGAAATATATCAATAAAAATTACCGGCTCTCAGCAGTTTAAAAATAAAGATTAACGAGCTTTAAAAATCAAGTTCAATTTCTAATAGGATAGCGCGGCGGTGGAAAAACAGATGTAAATGATATTAATTTAATAATTATTTTAGATGATTTTTGTTCTTTTCCCAATTTTAAAACCAAACTTTTTCATAGAAAGATTCTTTTTCTTTTCCTTAACAATTTGATGCAATATTTTGAACAAAGAAATTAATTTCTTGCATTAAAATCCAATTTTGAAACTTTCAACTTAATGATGAAAATATCATTTCAAACTTTGACTTTATTGAATAGTATAATTCATTTTTTAATACAGCAAAGTACCACGACATCAGGTTGCATCAGGTTTTCAGCTTCTTTTTCTTTCTTTAGGTTATATTCTGCAGTGTTAGTTGTAGAGCTAATGCAAACTTCCATGCTCTGGAGTGTAAATATATTCATATATATCCTACCATAGGTCCTCTAGCCCCTATACTTAGGTAAATATATTCATATATATCCTACCATAGGTCCTCTAGCCCCTATACTTAGGTAAATATATTCATATATATCCTACCATAGGTCCTCTAGCCCCTATACTTAGGTAAATATATTCATATATATCCTAACATAGGTCCTCTAGCCCCTATACTTAGATAAATATATTCATATATATCCTACCATAAGTCCTCTAGCCCCTATACTTAGGTAAATATATTCATATATATCCTACCATAGGTCCTCTAGACCCTATACTTAGGTAAATATATTCATATATATCCTACCATAGGTCCTTTAGCCCCTATACTTAGGTAAATATATTCATATATATCCTACCATAGGTCCTTTAGCCCCTATACTTAGGCAAATATATTCATATATATCCTACTATAGGTCCTCTAGCCCCTATACTTAGGTAAATATATTCATAAATCCTACCATAGGTCCTCTTGCCCCTATACTTAGGTAAATATATCCATATATCCTACCATAGGTCCTCTACCCCCTATACTTAGGTAAATATATTCATATATCCTACCATAGGTCCTCTAGCCCATATACTTAGGTAAATATATGCATATATCCTACCATAGGTCCTTTAGCCCTTATAACTAGGTAAATATATTCATAAATTCTACCATAGGTCCTCTACCACCTATACTTAGGTAAATATATTCATATATCCTACCATAGGTCCTCTAGCCCCTATACTTAGGTAAATATATTCATATATATCCTAACATAGGTCCTCTAGTCCCTATACTTAGGTAAATATATTTCGCGAAAATAAATGATGCGAAAACATTTTCGAAAAATGCGAAAATGTCGCGAAATATCTGATAACTCCTAGTCATTCTTAAATCTATATTTATATTTTGTGTTAATCCATCAATTGGGCTCGCGGATAAATCTCTCTTTGAAAATGAGTTTGTATTCTCAAAATTTAGCCTTTTTTTGCTAAAACTTTGCTTTAGTTTAAAAAAATTCGCAATATTTTTTCGAATTATTTTTTTTTGCGAACGAAATGCGAAAATGAAGCGAAATGTACGCGAAAAAAAATTTCACGAAAAAAGCAAAATTTTCGTAAAACGATTTTTTTCGCTGGAAACCCTACGCGGTTTTCTTCTCCCACCGAACTTTATTCGTCAAACTTTTTATTTCTATATAATTCGCATTTTCCCGGAGGTTGTTTAGCTCCGTTGTCACAGCACAGGAACGTTTTTAATATCAACCTGGGTAAGAGAACATGATCCAAAATTCATTAGAGGAAAATAATATGGACAAGGCAACAGTGTACATGTGGACTAAAAGAGGAAAAGTGTAATATGGAGAGTGTTGACAGAAAGAGGAAATGTCTGAGAAGGAAAAATCCACAAAAAAACCCACAAACAGTCCTCAAAATTGAAAGTTTTTCAGACAAAATTGGCGAGGCTTCTTAGTTAAAGAAGTTCGATGAGTTTGGCATCTGAAATGGTGCTAGATACAAAGTTGCATGCTTTATTTCTTTGGAAATTACTTTTTAAAATTGTTTAAGGGATCACTTATGGTTTCTGACCTACCATAAACCACTCTAAAACGCTCTGCCCAGTCGGTGCAGTCACTTCGACTTGTATTGGATTATTTGGATACACACACATGAACACACCTGTCCACAACGTGAGAACCAGAGATATGTGGAATATACAGACAACATTTAGTTTTGATTAAAAATTCCATTCAAAACACCATTTGTGCAGTGTACACAGACCAATTGCACTTAATAAGAACTAAACTATAGTAAAATCAATTGCACTCAGAGATTGCTAAAATGTCGTCCTCCTATTTCACAGCTTTCTGAATTTTACTGCAATTATAAGTAGAAATATGAAACTAACTAAGTTATGATGTTAAATAATATGAAATATATGTTTAATATTATATATATATATTATTATATAATAATGCGTTTTTAGATTGTTTACGAGCAAAAGTTTTGAATATTTTAAAGAAAACTCTGCTCTATTCCAATCCTATGATCCAACTACAGACTGGAATCTGGAACAGGTTTTTACAATTTACATAGTTTATAGTTCATTAATTACAGAAACTATGTCCATGGGCGAGCACAATGTACCCTATCCAGTCCTGTACAGTGTACACGCCCCCATTTTAACAAATTTTGCATCATCAAACCGGCCAAAGCCTAATTTTATAGACTACATATGCAACTAGATCCAGGCAGTGCTTTATTCTTGAAACTCCTTCGTTCCAAATTCGTTTCGCGTTCATTACTTTACAATTCGTTCCGTTTACTGTAATTTTTAACTGTATAGAATTTTTACTATTCGTTATAGTTAATAAAGTGCGTTAATTATGATCAATCGTTAAAAAGCGTTAAAACTAAAGAAAAAAAAACGGTTTTAATAAAGATGTGCTCACAAACGTGACATTAAGTTCGTTTTTTACAAAAATATGAGTCCCTGCTAACAACAACAGACCTAAGTGCATTTAAGTTTAAAGGGACTGTTAAGGAAAAATGAAATCCCGCCAATGAGAGTGGAGTATACTGGTCACGTTTCTCTGTCTGTATCACGGGACCAGTATACTGCACTCTCATTGGCGGAAGTTCTTGTGACGTAACACGGACTTATAAATAATATTATCAATTATATCTATTAAAAATAACAATAAAAATTATAAAATAATAGTTGGAGAAAACCTAATTTACAATTAGGTTTCTCTGGGATATCTTCGTTTGCGGAATGTGATCTGTTAAACTTACTTATATACAAAATTGTATATATATGAAATTTCGTATAAATTTGACACAGTTTCATATCAATTTCTCGAGACAGGAAAATCAGATATAACTTTCATGGGTCGCGATCAAGAGCTAAAGTGATTAGATTTCAGCCTATACCCACTTTCATATTTCCTTTACAGTCCCTTTAAACTTACATGAATTTAGGTCTGAACGTTGTTAGCAGGGACTCATATTTATGTAATGAATGCTAAGATAAAACTTTAAAGGGTACCATTGTTACAGTCCTTTTCACTAAAAATGTTGAAGTACAAATAAGTTTGTGTTAAGAGCTTAACAGAACTATAAACTATAAACTTGTGTGTTTCTGTCTTAAGGATTTACGATGTGTTTTTAACCTGCAAAGAAGAGAGAAAGGAAGCCAGTATATTCTAGAGATGACAGTCCAGGTAAGTTAAAAAAAAAACATTTAAAAAAAAACTTTCAAATAAAAGTCTACTTTTTAGGCTTACTACGTTCTAGATTGTCTGAGAAGAATGGGATTCTTTGGAGAGAAAAGTTCAGATGAGGTATTATTGGAAAAATTAAAACCGTCATATTCAGTTTTCTTCAAAACTCAAACACTAAACCCATTCTTTTTGATTCAATATGAGTCATCCTAATTATTCTGAAAAAATTGTTTTTATAAAGTTCTTAAAATGGAGAAGGCGGAACATCATTCGGAAAATTTTATTGCTCTTAATTTCACTCAATTGAAATAATTAAAGTTTCATGCGTTTATACTTTGTATTTTTCCAGGATGAATTGTATATTGGTAGATTAGCATACTGCTTTCTACTGGGGGTAGAGGAGAACTCACATCAAATAGTAGAATATCAGAACCATACAGGGTATACAGGTAGAGTAGTAGAATACCAGAACCATAAAGGGTATACAGGTAGAGTAGTAGAATACCAGAATCATATAGGGTATACAGGTAGAGTAGTAGAATACCAGAATCATACAGGGTATACAGGTAGAGTAGTAGAATACCAGAACCATGCAGGATATACAGGTAGAGTAGAGGAATACCAGAACCATACAGGTTATATAGGTAATATGTAGCACATTATAACCATATAAAGTAAATAGGTAGAGTAGTAGAATATCAGAACCATACAGGGTATACAGGTAGAGTAGATAGATAGATAGATAAAGTTTATTGCTAAAATACATGTATCAGTGTATACAGAACGAGTTTACAATTACAAATTGATAATTATTTTAACAATACAAGTATAAAGCAATTAGGTGTAAAATAGCTCTTTTGATTATTTTTTTCCACCTAACTTCAATAATGATAACAAGTAGAGTAGTAGAATACTAGAACCATACAGGGTATACAGGTACTAGGTAGAGTAGTAGAAATCAGATAGAACCTGATGGTGTAAACCTTTGATATTTTAAAATTAGATAATTTGATCCACTATAAATTATAGTACAAAATATCAAAGGTTCACAATATTCGGTTACAAAGATATAGGGATTAGAAAATTTCAGTTTGTTGCGAAAACTCAGATAAAATTGTGTTTAAATCACCAAACACTTGTCATAGATATTTTGTTGAACCACTGTCACAGTCCTCTCATTTAATGACCATGCTCTGCAGAAGATTTGTTTCATTCATTTCTTCATTAGAAAATTCGTAAAATAAATCTTTTAAAATTTGATCAAAGGTCAGTAACTGCAAAAAATCTGAGAAATATTGCTAACAAATGCAGGAAAGATTTGAATATTATCGACAAACGTATTGTAAAAAATGGTATGATATTTCAAGAAATACCCGTGGAAGAAGAATGGAGGATTCCATTTTTAAATGAAAATATTTCTGCAAAAAACAATAAGATTGTTATCAATGAAATTGACCAAGCTGAGCTTGGCGATATTATTAATTTTATATGCACGACCTAATTATATGTATGATTTTGTTTCTTGTATTTGTATTTATTTTGATACAAACTTTTATAAATTTTTTGTATGTTTTAATTTTAACAAATTATTTAAATTGTGTACGTTCACGAAATAAATAAATAATTTCTTAACTGTATTTTAGGAAGTTTTGATTCTTTGTTTGATTCTGAAGATCTAATTGCAGTTATAGGTAAATCAAGCTATTTAGTAACATCAGTTTACTTGCAATAAACTTAATAGAATAGAAATCATAAAGGAAGCATGCACATTGCACAAGTCTTCGTTATGAAATAATTTGGAATGAGTTTTGAACTTTTGACAATTATCTTCTGCGAGAGTAAACTTTTTCCAAGGTAAAACTAGGGCAAGTTATAAGAAAATAAAATTTTGTAATAGTTATGTCTCATTGCTCAGATTTCTGTAAGGTCCTTGTAATTTTAATGCTATAAACCCATGTCTAACAATTGGGTTTACAGAAGGGATTGTTAAGATATTTGTAGCAGGTGAAAATAAATACACTTTTTGTGTTTAAAAGGACTTTCAAGCGTAATTTCAAGTTATACTCCATGAAAAGAGAAACCTTAATTGAAAATAATCGGAAATTGAAATTACGCTTATAATCCTTTAACCGAATTTCTGAACAATCCCTTTAGAAACTATCCTAATTCTAATTGTATCTTTTTAATAAAAATAATTTACTGTGTAGGATCTGGAGTTACAAGATATACCTCGCTATTCAACAATAGTTGTGATGTAAACACAATCAAATATCACCAGGTGGAAAATTTTAAGCATTATTGCAAAAATCTTTTTTTCGCATAGAACATAACAATTTTCTCAATTGTTCTATGGCCAAAAATCCGCAAGCCAATCTGATGATAAACCACAATTAAAATTGTTCGTTTTTCATATTTTTTGAAATTACAATGATTCTGCAACTATCTTCTCGAAGAATAATCCAAACTTTCAACAATTTAGGAACTAATCCCTCGCATCGAACTCTAATTTTGTAACTCCAATATCTTTGCAATCTGAGTATTTTAACGTCTAACAACATGGTTGCAAAATATAAGGATTAGAAACCGAAAGCTTGAGTAGGAGTAGAGTGATTTGTTCAGTTTTCTAACTTTTAACTTTTTTGTTTTTATTTCGAGATTATAATTGTATGATATGTGTTTAGGGTAAAAGTACTGTGCTCCGAGCTAAGAGATTAATTAGGTAACAATTGTCTGTTAAATAAATTTAAAAAAATTGTAAACGTAAGATAAGTTTTATGTCAGATTTAACACAGAACCTTTCTTCATAAACATTTAACATGGAAGTTTCTTAATAAAAGTGACTTATGAATTTACCGCCTCCAAAATAACAGAAAAATTAACAGAATTAGACACATTATTAATAAATTGAAGGTTTCAAGGGTACTGTTGTAATTCAGGATTATCATTTAAAGTTACAACAACACCCCCTCAAACATCTATAAAAAGGACCAATAATATGTAATTTATAAGGAAACATCATAATTAAACCTCATTAAAAGGAAGCATTTACGAAAGCATGTTGTAGTTCTGTCCAAACCTCTAGAAGTTATTTTATAAGGAATTTATAGAATCCATCAGGGTTCAGGTAGATTGAAAATGCGGTAATGGTGCTGGACCAAACCTTTAAATAGTAAATAAAGTAGATGTTAGTTCCACATTTAACATGAGGTTTGATTGTGGAATTAATTAGGAAAAACAAGCATCATTAGATTGATAATTTTTACAAGAGTAAGTCAGTGTAAATCTTTCAAAAATGTAAGCAATTTATTAAATTTATTTTCAGAAAAGGTGAAGAAGTTTCAGATTTTTATGGAGAACATTTCTTTAATACCGAGAGAAAGATTCGGAGAGATCGTCTTGGTTTCCAGTGTATCTGTACACCCTGTAGGTAGGTCGTCTTAGTTTACAATTTATATGTACACCCTGTAGGTAGGTCGTCTTAGTTTACAATGTATATGTACACCATGTAGGTAGGTCGTCTTAGTTTACAATGTATATGTACACCATGTAGGTAGGTCGTCTTAGTTTACAGTGTATATGTACACCATGTAATGTAGGTAGGTCGTCTTAGTTTACAGTGTATATGTACACAATGTAGGTAGTTCGTCTTAGTTTACAGTGTATCTGACACTTTACATCCTGTAGGTAGGTCGTCTTAGTTTACAGTGAATCTGTACATCCTGTAGGTAGTTCGTCTTAGTTTACAGTGTATTTACACACCCTGTAGGTAGGTCGTATTAGTCTACAGTGTATCTGTACTCCCTGCAGGTGGGTCGTATTAGTCTACAGCGTATTTACACACCCTGTCGGTAGGTCGTCTCAGTTGACATTGTATTGACACACCATATATTTACACACAGAATTTAATAATTCTAATTAAATGCTATGTTTACAAAATAATCGAAGAAAGCAAAGAAAAAACTAAAAACATTAAAAAGAGTAAAAGATATAATCAAACATGAAGGATGTCAAAAATCGGCGCGAATAAAAAGGTTGCTAAAAAATGCCGGTTTTCATAGAACCTATATCTCTTTCACACTCCATTAAGCTTGTTTTACTTGTTTTTTATCATTACAAATAAATTTATAATTTTTATTTCTAAAAGTTGTTAGTTCATCGTCGAAAAATACTAACAATCCACCACTAATTTATATTAAATATAGTGTAAACAATAAATATGTAACTTTCCTTATCCTTTCCTTTCCTTTTCCTTTTATTTCTATTTTTATAATTTTTTTTAGAATTGGGGGGAAATATTCCCACAACCTCTACTTTTAGAGGTTTTTAAATATTTTCTCCTGAAACACTTAATTTTGTATTTTTTGTTGCATTTCATAAATAAATAATTTGTTTACTTTTTATTCACCCTGTAAGAACGTCGTATTAGTGTTTTTGTGTTATACAAAAAAACGGAAACCGATATTCTGGAAATTTCCTTCACGGTTTTACAAATTTTGCAGTTTCCATTTTGTCTGGAATCCCTCTTTACGATTACGAATAAATTTCTGGAGCAATCCATTTCCAAAATGGATTTTTTCCGAAATAATGTAAACCCTATGTTAGAGACAAACAACTCTTCAATATTCAGCGCGCTATAAACCCTATTCAAAAGTGTGTGCAGTGTATTCGTCTAAGGAAAGTACTGCAAAAAGAGTTTTGCCCTTTTCTAAATAAAGAATCCTCATCAACAGACAATAAAGGTTATCTTATTTTTAGAGAAAATTGGGGTTTAATGAAGAAACTACCATCGTTTACAGAAACTAATAAGACGAAAATAAAGGTTTGATATAAATACTCGAATTCAACAGAAATAAAATATTTGGATCATACAGTGAATCCCAGATATATGAAGACATAGCAAGAGGTTTTTATAATGTCGTATTACATATTTAAGATCAAATGCCTCGTAAAAATGAGTTTAATATTAATATATCAATTGCATTCATATTTTAGGGCTATTAATTTACCTTGAATTAAAATAAAAAGAAGTTTCTTTAGAATTATCAAAAAAAAAATTATGACGGTCTATGTATTCATATATCTGGGATTCACTGTATAAAACGTAAATAATATTTTGATAGATCCATTGTCAAAAAATTGTATACTGTGACTAAACATATACAATGATAACCACTAACCAGACGTTTTTATAGCGATAATTAAGTGTATTCGATGGTTTTACAAAGCAAATAGTTTTACTAGACACTAATAAAATAACTAATTAAGTGAAATGGGTCTGCTTAAACTGTACAATTGCTGCATACCATGCTTATTGGACTTAAACTCATGTCTTAAGTCTGAAAGTCGTCTTCCCATTACAGAATTTTCTGTTTTTCACTGTTAGTCGACAATATAGCAGTATTCTGGTGCTTTAAGGCACATTAAACAATTATTATCAGTAATAATCGAATTAATTTCTTCTCTTTTCTTCCTCTTTTTATAAAAAAAAAACTCTGCTACAGATCTTTAATTTGTTATTTTTCTATTTAATATTCTTTTAGGTATTAAACAGCTTAAATATGGAAAAATACATTTTACTAACTTTCATGTTTCGTTGGACACCCTGTATGTTATCTTGATTACGTTTCAGAAAAATTGGGCCCAGGAAAGACGACATTTAACATCTGCTTTAGCCAGGATGGATGTTGAATCCATCAAGGATTCATCACTAAAGTTAGGAAAACTTGCTGGAGTCTCCCCTCCTCATCAGGTATAAGAGACCAAAATTATAAAAATTCTTCAAATTCAATTCTGCCATAGTATATATATAAATATTCTAGGATCTTGTGGTCCCTGAGATGTATTTAAACTACAGCCTCTGCTATCTATATGGAAACAAATCTTTAAGATTTCTTCAATTTTCTAAAACTGTTTAAAAAAATAAACCTTTTTTGATTGTTCACTGAAAACTCAAATTTTTTTGGAAGTACTTAACCGACTTTCAGGCAGTTTGGACATTCGTACAGTATGGACGGTACAGTCTAGAGACGGTACATGTAGACGGTACAGTCTAGAGACGGTACAGTATAGACGGTACAGTCTAGAGACGGTACAGTATAGACGGTACAGTCTAGAGACGGTACAGTATAGATAGAGACGGTACAGTATAGACGGTACAGTCTAGAGACGGTACAGTATAGATGGTACAGTCTAGAGACGGTACAGTATAGACGGTACAGTCTAGAGACGGTACAGTATAGACGGTACAGTCTAGAGACGGTACAGTATAGACGGTACAGTCTAAAGACGGTAAAGCGGGACAGTATTCAAAATGAATCATCTCTTTCTAGAGAGATTAATTTAAATTCAAAATAATGCATGTATTCGAATTTCTTATGGATTTAAAGTAATCTCTGTTTGTTTGTCTGTCTGTCGTTTTTTTTTGTATGTTGTATATAACTCATGAACCCTTTTACTGATTTTCCTCAAATTTGATTGGTAAATGTTCAAAGCTTGGTTTAAAAATTCTGATTAGTACGAGTATTCAAGTTTTTTCAATGAAAGGAATTATGTCTTTGCCACAAACTTAGATCATTTGATCTAACTGAATCCATAGTTTGAAATATCTAAGGTCTACGACGTTGGGTTGTTAAAATATAGGGATTAGAAAATTATAGTTTGTGGCAAAGACCCAATTCCTTTACGAAAACCCTACTTTTCCAATGTTTATAAACTGTTCTTCACCAAAAAATAGTTCTATGTTCTGCCCAGTGCAGCCGCAGAAAGGTTTCAATATACAACCGTCAGAGAGAGTTTACTTTTCACTTTTTATGATATACATATGTCTCATTAACAAAGAGAATAGAATATATATTAGAGGGGAATTTACTAGAAAAAAGTGTAAAATGGCCGTTTTGTTGTACTGTTTCCATACTGCAGGTGTACTTCACAAATTTATGCTATAACCTTTTGGGCCCTGGAATATCATTTTATAGAAAATCTAAAATTAATATTAGAAGAAAACCAAATTATGAAATAGGCTGGTTTCATAATTGACCAATGATCATTTCACATAGACTCTATGCCTTTTACTTTACAAACGATGATTTTCCGTTATAACTATAAATCAAATGATGTTTTTTATTCACCTAATTCATTATAAAGTTTATTTAACAGCTTTAAAAATTTCGGAATTGAAATGAATAGTCTAGGGAACATACTGTATTAATGTACTCTACTGCATATAATTTGTGAACATTTACATGATTTGTACACTTTGAAGTCCCTTTCAGGCTGAAAGGGACTGAAAAAATTCATACCTTTTAAATCAATGACATCGAAGAAATTAGTTTATTTTTTTATTTTTTAATATATAGCTTATTACTTTGTGTACAATAAAACACTGTTACCTTCACCCATTGGTTAGAACCAGCAGTATAAGAAACAGTGCAGTTTGCATTTAAACCAAACCAATTGGATTGATAAATTGATATATTTTTTGGAAGTAAATAGGTATTATATCCTAACAAATTATATCTTTTATCATTATCGGTTTTCAATAAATGAGACATAATATATTTTAAAATATTATTATTCTAAATAAGCCTAAATAACTTTTCGATTTAGTGTTGTTGAAATATTTTAAACCGGATATACATTATATTGGGTTATGACAAAAAGTTTAAGTTAAATCTTTTTAAATATCATTGTTTAAAGGTTGAGTTTTCTAGGTTTGAGTATCTTAAATTTTGTTCTTATAAAGGCAAAGATCTGACATAGAAAGAAATAAGTTTTAAATGTCTCGCTCTTTTTTCACGGTTTTTTTTTGTCAAGAGTCCGAATTAAATGAAATTAAGCCGCGTCTAAAATCCCCTAAAAACCGGTTTCAATTGAGCGCCGGCTAAAATCTTGAAAAAATTAATACAAATTTAAGTGGAACCAACAAAATTTGAGCAGCGGCTTAGATTTAAACCGAGGCTCAAATTCTTTAAATTCGGCGTTAGGACACCTTCCACTCACAGAGTGGGCAGGGCATGCATGATTTACCACAGCTCCCTGTAAACCTTTATTCAATCAAAAATGTGGGAGATATCGTTGTTTTTTAGTTTTAAAAGTGTTAAATACTGGAAACCTTGTTTCTCAAGCAAAAATGCTGATGTCAATTTATAATGGCTAAAAGAGATGTGAAAATTTCGCAAAAAATGCGAAAATTTCGTGAAAAAAGTAATGTGATAATTTTGCGAAAAAAAAGCAAAATTTCGCGAAAAATGACGGTTTTAAATAAAATGCTAATTTTTTGCGAAAATTTAAAAAAATAGATAAAATTTTGGAGAAATGAAGGGTGTCTAAATTGTAGAGGTGATGTGGCCCAATATGAGCCTTTTTTATTTCAAATATTATTTAACCCTATCACGACGGGGGCTAGGGTGTTATTTCACCCTTGTGGTTTTTTCTTAATAACTTCACTAAAAAACCATTGAAAAATTGATACATTGATAAGTGACACTTGTTAATATTTGTCTAAAAGCAAAATAAATGCTTTGTAAAGTTTTTCCTCCGTACTTTTAAAACTGTTTTAAAACCTCTATAACACCCTTTATTTTTTAATGAGCTGACCTTAAAAAGTTGGATAAGGAACATGTAACACACATCCCTATCTCAACCTTAAAGAATAAAATCATAAAGGGGTGGAATCCCCTCCCCCTCATCTACAATATTCGGCATTTATATCGATACAATAAAGATAATTTTCTATTTGAGATTTGAATTCTTACAAGTTTTCTTAAAATTACAAGGTTACAAGTGCTACCAAGAGAAGCTAGTTGTTAATCTTTTCCTTGTTTCCGTGTTTATATATATCCATGCTGTTTGAAAGCTTAGAAGAAATCAAAATAAAATCGAACGTCAATTTTCTTTACACTGTTAACGCTTGTAATGGAAAAACTTTCCTTACAATTAATGGTTAATGATTAGTGATTCCTTGTTACTCTGTTTCTTGCACTGTGTGAAATATACTAGAATCATCAATTACCCATGCCTGTTTAAATATTGTATTTTTGTTTTGTTTTATGTACACTGTACAATGTACAATGCACATTAGGATAACACATGTAGAAGTCTTAAACAAAAACTAAGGTACATTAGGGTACATAGATTCTATGGATGATGTGACCTAACAAAAGCGTTGTGTGAACATTTTAGGTTGATAAGAGCATTTTTTGGGAAAACCTCGATTTTTGTAAAACATTTTGGAGATAATTAATTGTGATTTTAGACATGCATATATTGATAAACTTTCGTGTTTTGATATAAAAAACTATTTTATGTGTACAGTAAGGACCAACAACTTAGGAATAGGAAATCGACCTTTAGACTCAAATTAAGATTTTAAAAAGTAAAATGAAAAGTAAAATGAGACACAGCAATTGCACAGACAAATTTTAATCAATAAGTGATTTTTAAGCAAGTAAACTTTGCTTTGAAATAGTATCAAATCAAATTTTAGATTGGTTTAATGTCGTCTTTCTATTCCACAGTTTTCTGATTCTCACTCTTTAAAGATAGAAGCAAAATGATACTAATGACAAAATCTATAGACAACTTTCTATAATCTGATAAATTATACCGTTTAACTTAACCTTTAAACCTTGGACTGGATCATATAAAATAAACCGTGTTGATGCATGCGGGAGTGGGGGCAAACCCGATTTTGCACCCCCTCAACATATTTGGCCCACCTCTTGCCCCACCCCGGACTAACAAATTCAACAATCTATTAACTTACGGATTTTTTTGTACTTTTTCATTTAAACCTATAAACCGACAAAAAAGTATTTAAGAAAAAAGGCTAAAAAATTATATCTAATGGGTCAAATCGTGATTGAAAGTCACAACTTTCTGGAATATTGACAGACCGTTAAATCCACGTGGCCCCACACCACTATGGCTCAAAGTGTTAAAAAAAACGGGAAAAAATAAAGTTTTTTTGTCACTACATTACACTACATAAACTTGATTGATATGTCTGGTGAAAAATAAATTTGTTTATAAAAGTAAAAAAAAATAATGTTTTCACCGTTTATTTTGCATGTAAAGGGGAGCTACTTCATGATTTTTTGATAAAATTATTAGCTCAAAATTTCACACTTCTTCTTGTAGCTGACAAAAAAAGAAAAAAGACAAGAAGTCTTCATTAGACGAAAGTTAAAGAAATTATTTTTGAAAAATTATTTCAAAATAATCTTAATTTTCACTTTCTTGGAACATTTTTAAACATTTGATTTTAATAAATTTTTCAATATTTATTAACTTTGAAATTAAATAAGTAATTACTGTGGTGAACTGAGGGGCAAATTTCAACATTAAGTAATACTTATTGGTGTTTAGAAACTTAATAAAAAATGACAGATGCCCAAAGTTGCACCATTTGCAGTTAACACTAGTTAAATATTGCTAGTAAACAACATTTTATGAATATTTTTCAAACCACAGAGAGCTGACTAGATTTAGATAAGTGTTTTTACTTTAAACATGGCTTTTCTGTTAAATAAATAACTAATATTTCGGTAAATAAAATTTAACTTGCTATTGTTATTGGTCAATATGCATTCTGCACGCTAATCATAACGCATTCTGGTGAATTTTAACATAAAAGATATAAATTTATAAGTCTAAAAATCGCTACTTTTGGTTTGCTAAAGAACTTTTTGATGATAAGCTCTATGTTATCAACCTTTACCATTAGCGAAAGAAGACAACATTGTAAACCCCCTTTTGCAGTTATCAAATAATTTAAGATTTGAAGACGCCCCCCCCCCCCCCCCCCACTCTACACTAAATAGAGAATGCATTAGGAATATGTGTTTAAGTTTAGTTACTGTGCACAGAAAAGCAATATGTTGGCTTTTTGGGGATGTCATGATAAAGAAAATTCTTTCTTTCAATGATGCAAAACAAGAACAAGAAAATGGAGATTGCAAGAAAAATAGAGATCTCAAAAAACCAGCAGTTTCTATTATTTGATTATTTTGCAATAAAATTTGTTAAAACCAATATTCAAAAATAATGTTAAAAACTTTTCATATTTTTGTGCTACTAATAGTATTATGCCCTTATTTGGTATAATGTTGACCAAGGCAGAAGATATGCAAACAACTCAAAAATTCTTCAAAAACGACGTGATTGAAATGCTTGTTTTTTATATTTTGATTGCATAATCTTATGCTCAGTAAAATGGGAAATTTCTGTACTGAAACAATTTTAACTTAAAGGTGTTTCTCTTCAAGCCACCATTTTTCTTTGATCTCACAAAAAAAATCATGACTCTTTTTGGTTAAATTGGTGCATTTTTTCCCAGATAAATATTTCATATTTGACCCTGCGTAAACCTTCACTGCAGGGTCATTTGAGTTGTCATTTAAAGTTTGGGCCCGATTGCTTTACCGTTTTGGCATTTATAGAATACTAACTAAAAAGATCTTGAAACACAGACAGTTCCTCAATAATTTTAGTGGAGATACCAGATCTTACATTAAAAACCGACCCCTCTGTTAAAAGATCTTGACTTAAAGATTAATCTTTGATTAATCCAGATTAATCCATCACCATCACTGAATTTTAAATATCTAATCTGTCTATATTAGATCAAACTGACCAAACTTCTTGAAGCTATCTTGTAAAATATTTGCAAAAGTAATTAGCGCACTTTCCAAAAATATTTATGTTGAGATTTTTTTATGGTCAAAATTTGCCATATTTCTTCTTCCAGAATCCTTTCCTGTAGAACCACAGAAGTGTTCCTTGCCTGGTAAAAAAATTCCAAGTTAAGTTTTGAAGGTTTCCAATTGCTTGTTCGTAATACAATTCATTAATTTTTCTGTGAAGTTATAAAATGAGAGTATATTTTAATTAGATTTACAGTCACTAAATAAAGATTAAAGGAAAACAATTTCAATAGTTGCTACCGTTTGAGCTGAAACAAGGGGGGCTGGATCTTAGCTACCTCTCCGTGCGTATTGGCCTGAGTGTACACTTGGAATAGTTTACTGATAAAGGATGTTAAGAGATTAGGGCCTATTCTTACAGTACAAATATCAAATATGCAGTACGTTTTCGGAGTACAGGTGTATGAGGAAATTTTGTATCTTGAATTTTACTCAGTTTTCTCAGAACAGTTTATTAACGATGAAATATTGCTCTGTAAAAGACTGTAATAGTTTATATTCCTGTGAAAATGGAATCCTGCACACGATAAAGGAGTTGTGGACTTTATAATAGTTGCATGGAAAACAAATTCTCCATCTAAATATTTTCAAAAATCACCCCCGAGTTCTGTAATGTACAGATTGACCTTTGGAAGTGAAGTACATGGCCTGTACTTCATCACTCTATATACTATAACCTCGTTGGCTGAAACAAAATGATGTACGGTACAATTTTTACAAATGCTATAGAGAGGCCAGGCTGGTACAAAAGGAGGTATGGTACAATTTTTACTGTTGCTATATGCCTGGCTGGTGCAAGGGAAGGTATGGTACAATTTCAACAGTTATTATAGGCCAGGCTGGTACAAAAGGAGGTATGGTACAATTTTTACTGTTGCTATATGCTGGACTGGTACAATACAAGCGGAGATACGGTACAATTTTAACAGTAACTTTAGGACGGGCAGGTACAATAGGAGGTACAGTACCAATCATTAAATTAATTATTTCTGACCTTTGCAAATGAGCAGATGCCCAAGTCTGAGTCAAAATGAAAAGAATTGCAGTTTTGCAACCTGATATTACAGGTTACTCCACAAACAGCTGAATCGGGGGCGAAATCCTTTTTTTGACAATATATGAATATCTAGAGAAAGGGACTGATTTTTGCCACTTTACTCAAATTTTCTCATCTCTCAATCTTTCAATAAATATCTTTTAAATTTTGTCCAGAAATCCTTCACGGTAACCTTTAATAAAGTATTCGTATTACCAACTTTTGTTGATTTAAAAGTGGAAAACATTTTTTCTTTTTTAAATATTTGGAAAGGAATTAAGTATTTGCCACAAAATCAAATTTCAAATCCATCCTTATATCTGTGAAACCTGATCGTGTAAACCATAGAGTAAAAAAACGAAGAGGAGAAGCTTAGCTCAGATGTACAAAACCAACCTCCCCATTAATTAATTGATAGAGTGGTCGGTTGTATACATCACGATATGTGTACGTATCTAACACTGTACACTTGTTTATAAAGTGATCGTATTTCTAAGGGTGATTTTTGGAATTGACCAATTTTTAGATTTTCTTTCTTTATTTAAATCCATATTAAGTGTCTACCTAATTATCAATACTAATATTGAAATATCTACATAAAACCACCCCTTTATAGAAATACGATCACTCTATATACAAGTGTACATGTGTTAGATACGTACACATATCGTGATGTATACAACCGACCGCTCTATTAATTAATTAATAGGGAGGTCGGTTGTGTACATCTTAACTAAGCTTCACCTCTTCGTTATATTACTCTATGGTATACACCTATTATATTTCAAACTTAGATTATTTGACATAACAGTATTCATAGTTTAAAATATCTAAAGTCTACGACTTTAGGCTGCAAAGATAAAGAGATTATGAAATAAGAGTTTGTGGAAAAGAATTTGTTGACAATTGATATCTATATAATAAAGATCATATATGTATATATAAATAGATTTAGCCTGCTATTAAATGTTGCATCACATTACAGGGCAGGGTCGAAGGAACCCAAGTGTACTATGGGGATGACATATAGGCTAAAAAAATAAATTTTTTTCTTCAAAATTTGAAATTATTTTTTTTTTATATTGTTCCTGACTAACTATTGAGTTTGCCCATGTTACAGCAGAGATTTTATCATTCTTTCTGTACAGTCTAAATATAAATTATAAATATAAAAATATATAAATATTATATACAAGGATTACAAGGGGGCTTTCTGTACAGTCTAAACATAAGATATAAATATAAAAATATATAAATATCACATACAAGGATTAAAAGGGGGCTTTCTGTACAGTCTAAACATAAATTATAAATATAAAAATATATAAATATTACATACAAGGATTACAGGGGGGCTTTCTGTACAGTCTAAACAAAAATTATAAATATAAAAACACATAAATATTACATACAAGGATTACAAGGGGGCTTTCTGTACAGTCTAAACATAAATTATAAATATAAAAACACATAAATATTACATACAAGGATTACAAGGGGGGCTTTGTTATCGTGGAATCCGCTTTAAGCTATACACATTCATTGTACTTAGGTTTTGTTAAATTTTCTTACAATTGTTACAGCAGAAAAATATGTGATTATATTTGATTTGATTTGAGTAAGTGAGTTTTCGTGAGTAAATGGCTTCGCAAAAAATAATTTTTTTACTCTTTTTCTTTTACCATGATTTGATCGTTAAAATTAAAACATTTTCCAATCATACATTTTCCTATTATTTTTTCCATTTAGATGTAAGATGCACAAAATGTATCTAAGAAAGCTAATACAGTTTGCCTTTTTTTGATTTGGTTTACCATCCTAATTTTATGTATATTCGAGGGGGATCACCACTTTTTTTTTAAAAATTAGATTAATAATAATAATTTAAAAGAACTGTAGACGTAATTTTAAATGACCCCATTTAAAGAGTGCAATGTCATAAGTACGCTTAAAACGTTGTAGAATTAAGTCTGAATGATATATCCTTATTTTTCTAACTGAAATCTTATTCTTTTCAATTGTCGCTGTTCTGTTAATGTGAATTGCGGATTTCTCCAACAATGTAAACTTTAAATCTAGCTTTGCTTGAAAAATGGTTATCATATTTTATATATTTGTTGTAAATGCCCTACTCCAATAAATTCTTTTAGATCAGTAACAATCCAGGTTTAAACTTCCGTATCCTTAGGTATCTGTCTTACAAGATGCAACTCAATTTAGAACTCCAGGTTCCTCAATTATACGTTAGTCAATATCAAACCGGATATGACTCTATCTGTATTCTCAGGTACCAGTCTTACAAGATACAACTCAATCACAAACTCCAGGTTCCTCAATTATATGTTAGTCAATATCAACCGGATACGACTCTATCTGTATTCTCAGGTATCTGTCTTACAAGATACAACTTAAATCTAGAATTCCAGGTTCCTCAATTATACGTTAGTCAATATCAAACCGGATACGACTCTATCTGTATTCTCAGGTACCAGTCTTACAAGATACAACTCAAATCTAGAATTCCAGGTTCCTCAATTATACGTTAGTCAATATCAAACCGGATACGACTCTATCTGTATTCTCAGGTATCTGTCTTACAAGATACATCTGAATCATGAATTCCAAGTTCCTCAATAATACTTTAGTCAATATCAAACCGGATATGACTCTATCTGTATTCTCAGGTATCTGTCTTACAAGATACAACTCAAATCTAGAACTCCAGGTTCCTCAATAATACTTTAGTCAATATTAAATTTTCCAAGATGAATTTATCAATATAAAAAGGTAATAGTTGTAAACCTTAAATAACCTTTAGATTGTATGCATAAGTGTATATTTATCAAGTTATATATCTTAACTATTTTGTATATTTCAGTTATGTGCTTTAGACGAGTGTTTAGTGTAAATGAGAAGATTGAAAATAAACATCTATAAAGAAAACTTGCTCATTATATTCACAAGTCTACCCATCGACAAAACTTATTTTTTGGGTCTTATTGAAAGGAAACCTGAAACTGATTCCTCTCAATACACCAGTAGTATAATGAACAGTACTGTACGCAGAGCCGGCATTGTTAGACTGATCCATTCAGTGTCATATAACCCAAATCTATTGCTTTGATAAATTGATATCTTTATCAGAAATTTATTATGTAAAATGTAAGGTCAATTTATATATTCTGACAAATGATACCCATTATTATTATCTATAAATGGCGATAAATGAGAATGTTATAGAATAAAATATATTTTGAATTAGTCTGAACTGATATATAATCGTTTAACTACAGTGATAACCAGAAAACTGTAGAATAGGAAGACTAAATTAAACCAATAATAAGTAGTATTTGATGCGGGTACAAAGTAAATAGTTTTTCGAGTAAATTAATTGAGCCTGAAAGTTGTCTCCCTTTCCCAGAGTTTTCTGGTTATCACTGTATGAAATTTTTTAATTATTTGGAGAATTTTTTTTTCAAGATTTGCCGCCGAATATATTATTATTCAGCAAAGCGCATTTAATAAATAACAATTACATAATAACCAGTAGCCGCAATTCTAACCCGATTTTTCGAACAATTAAATTATGAATAGAAAATAACCCATCTCGTGGTATAATATGTTACCATGGAATAAACCTAGTATAGAAAACCAGACTGGGGTTCATGATAAAAATCTTGTTACATGCAATTTTTAAAGATGCAGAAAAATCGGAAAAATTTGTTACAAACATGTAACAAAGTGTTGAGAAATATTCCATTGATAATTCTAATGTCTATGAAAACAAAAGTTGGTTCAGAATTGAGGCTCTGGCGCAAATACTGTTTTTTGGTTTCATAAAATAATAATATTACAAAACTTTACTGTGGAACTATTTAAAATGATCAATTATGTAATAATATAAGTAATTTATTTTAAACTATTAGCGCTTGTAATGGAAAAATAATATTAATTATTTCCTAATTATTCAGGTTAATGGTTACTGATATACATATGTTATATATCGCTCATTATTTTATGAAGATAAGACTTGTTACAAGGCCGATGATTAAAACCGATAATATCCTGATAACTCTTGACAAAGATAATACTGGGGGTGCCCAATTAAACATGATTATTGAAAGGGGATTTTAAGATCGTCTTTGATATTTAAAAGTTATCCATTGTGTACAAAATTGTACAACTTATCGTGTGGTGTATTTACAGTGGTTTAAAGGTTGCAAGTTCTCACTCAGAATCCCATTAGAATTTTGCCAATTACTTTTTTAATCTTGAAAATAAAAACAAATGCTCAACATTTAATAATGTCTATTGCTACAAAAAAAGATGAGATAGTGATATTAGGCCAAGGCGTTGCGACACTAGTTTAAGCTGACATATTTTTGAAAATTGATGCAACATTTCACATCAGTTTAGATCTATGTGAGATCGTGCAACCTTTAATTGATATGAACTTTGTTATTAAATAGCTATCAAAGAGTACAAACAGTTTGAGGTCATTAGGTACATTTTTAGTGAAAAACCATGACAGTTTTGCATGTAAATTTATGTGAGTAAGGGAGCCACTTTATTTTTCCCTAAAGATGAAGTATCCGATGCTATTTATCTTAAAAAAGGAAAACTGTACTGTGGGTTGGAGAGGAGGAACCATCAATCTTTAAAAGCATTTTGGGGTTAAGAAGAAAAATGTTAACGGAGTAAGCTATGTCAGACTTGGAAAGAATTACATGGTTTAGACTAGATATTAAAGGGAGTGTTTAGGTAAGATTAAAAGGGGTAAAAGTTAAAGCATAGAAACACTCTCTTAAACCTAGGATATATAGGTTTCATGAACACTCCCTTTAAACCTGATGTAAGATATAAATGTTTCATAAACACTCCCCTTAAACCAATAAAATATAGGTTTAATTAACACTCCCATTAAACCAAGGATATTTAGGTTTCATGAACACTCCCTTTAAACCTAGAATATTTAGGTTTCATGAACACTCCCTTTAAACCAAGGATATTTAGGTTTCACAAACACTCCCTTTAAACTTAGGATATTTAGGTTTCATGAACACTCCCTTTAAACCTAGAGGGATATATAGGGTTCATGAACACTCCCTTTAAACCTAGGAACTATAGGTTTCATGAACACTCCATTTAAACCTAGGAGGATATATAGGTTTTATAAGAACACTCCCTTTAAACCTAGAATATTTAGGTTTCACAAACACTCCCTTAAAACTTAGGATATTTAGGTTTCATGAACACTCCCTTTAAACCTAGAGGGATATATAGGTTTCATGAACACTCCCTTTAAACCTAGGAACTATAGGTTTCATGAACACTCCATTTAAACCTAGGAGGATATATAGGTTTTAAAAGAACACTCCCTTTAAACCTAGAATATAAAGGTTTCATAAACACTCCCATTAAACCTAGGAAATAAAGGTTTCATAAGCACTCCCTTTAAACCTAGGAAATATAGGTTTGATTAACACTCCCTTTAAACCTAGGATATTTAGGTTTCACATCTATTCTTGGCCTCGGGAAACCATCTCTAACAGAATAGAACTCAATTCAGTTTACTACGGAACTTTCACCTTCTAGGATACTCTTATATATCCAAATGTATAGTCAAGAATACTCTTATATATCCAAATATATAATCTAGGATACCCTTATATACCCAAATATATAATCTAGGATACTCTTATATATCCTAATATATCCTCATTTGCACTCCAGGATGCCTCTTATATATCCAAATATATAATCTATGATACTCTTTTATATCCAAGTATATAATCTAGTAATATATAATCTAGGATACTCTTATATATCCTAATATACCCTCATTTATACTCTAGGACACCTCTTATATATCCTAGCATATCATCATTTATACTCTAGGATACCTCTTTTATATCCTAATATATACTCATTTATACTCTATGATACTTCTTGTATATCCTAATATATCCTTATTTATACTAAAGGATACCTCTTATATATCCAAATATATCCTCATTCTTCATTTATACTCTAGGATACTCTTATATAACCTCCAGGATATTCTAATGTGTACTACATGATATTTTTTGTATATCCTCCTGGATACATCTCATATATTCTCTGTATCCCTGCATGCTGTACCTGTATCTGTATCATTTGTATCCTATTATCCAATTTTTCCATTAATATCTCATATCACTAATCCTTTATAGAACTCTAAGAACCATCTTCCAGTAATAAATCCTACACGGAACTCTGACCAAAGATTGGAAAAAAATTCATAATAGCCCATATTTTAAATACTAAACATTTATTTATGAAGGATCTTGAAGATAAAAGTTGTTCAAGCATTATGATTGAACAAATGTATAAATCTAAAAAGAGTTGAAATATGCAAGCTTTGAAAAGTGAAAATTCAATTTTGAAATCTTTTATTGTAGATATGTTGGGTTGAGGGGATAATTTGAATATATTTTAGTTGGTGGTTTTCATTCAAGTTGGTGGGTTCAATTCCCGATGTTGGTTTCGATTCGAATAGTTGGTTTCGATTTCAGTTGTTGGTTTCGAATTAAGTTGGAGGTTTCAGTTCAAGTTGTTGGTTTTGATATTAATAAACGGTTTAGATTAGAATTAAAATTTTGATTTGTCGGGGTTTTGATTTCAAGTCGATGGTTACGTTTCCAGTTGTTGGTTTTGTTTCCAGTTGTTGGTTTTGTTTCCAGTTGTTGGTTTTGTTTCCAGTTGTTGGTTTTGTTTCCAGTTGTTGGTTTTGTTTCCAGTTGTTGGTTTTGTTTCCAGTTGTTGGTTTTGTTTCCAGTTGTTGGTTTTGTTTCCAGTTGTTGGTTTTGTTTCCAGTTGTTGGTTATGTTTCCAGTTGTTGGTTTTGTTTCCAGTTGTTGGTTTCTATTTCTGTTCTTAGTTTTGATTTTAATAAACGGTTCGATAAGATTTATAATTTTGATTTAAGTTGGGGGGTTTTGATTCGTTGAATTCCATTAAATTCGTTGATTTCCATTCAAATTGGTGTTTTTAAATTAAATCAGTGGTTTTGATTATAAATGATGGTTTCGATTCCAGTTGTTAGTTTCGATAAAATTTTCGCTCAGTGTCCCTGTAAATGATATATTTGCAAGAATGTGAGTTTTGAATTCAGTAAGAATGATTTAAGCAACAGGTTGAACAATTTATTTAGATTGCTTCTTTTCAGAACTGTTATAATATTTCTCCTCTACTCCCTTAAACCATGCAACACAGTTTATCTTCAGTAGGAGTAAATTTAATAAACATGGGTCAATCTAAAAAACATTTTTCTGAGTTTTTACAGTCCATATTTAGTTTTCATTGTGTAAGAGTGATTCGTCCCAACTCTATTTATCTAATCCCTGTGTTTTTGTAACCTGATGCCGTATAGCTTTGATTTTTAAACTATGAATTATGCTTGATAAAAAAATTTAAGATGTCGCAGGTTTACACATTCAGGTTACAGAGATAAATGGATAGAAAAATAAGAGCTTGTGTCGAGCAATCAGCTGTTTTGAGTAATGTTTGTTGTGCTTTTAACCAAAAAAAAATATTTTATGTTAAACTTTTTGTTTTTAAAGGAATTTAGTCTTTGCCGTAAACTCAAATTTTCTAATACCGATATCTTTATCCCTGATAGCAAAACATTTTATATTTCAAACTTAGATTATTTGATCTATTAGAACTCAGAGTTGGAAATATCAAAGGAATACGACAGTGCAAAAATATAGAGATCATAAAATAAGAGTTTTTGGCAAAGACTCAATTCCTTTGGACAACTTTTTGATTTCAGATTAAGTGAAGAACATATCACTATGCTATGTACAACAGTGCCTTCCATTCTTTCAATATTTTTATGTACACTATGTACAGGATACGGATATACACTAGAGAGTAGACAAAAACACCAAAGGTATTTTTTAACTGGTGCTTTGTGCCACGTCTGTAGCACATGATGATGTATGTACTATATATGATTGTATAAATGGTGCTTTGTGCCACGTCTGTAGCACATGATAATGTATGTACTATATATGATTGTTTTAGTGGTGCTTTGTGCCACGTCTGTAGCACATGATGATATATGTACTATATATGATTGTTTTAGTGGTGCTTTGTGCCAAGTCTGTAGCACATGATGATATATGTCCTTTATATGATTGTATAAGTGGTGCTTTGTGCCACGTCTGTAGCACATGATGATATATGTACTATATATGATTGTTTAAGTGTAATTTTTCGTTTTCATTTTCAACGATAGATTTTATATAATAATATTTAAGAACAGGAAGTTGAAATATGATTTGTGTGTGAATAAAGAGGAAAAGTTTAAAATACTTTTTTCTCATGATTTACACCAAACTGAAAAAAAAATATTACAAAGGAACTGATTACTCACCTCAAACTCTATTTTTCTTATCTTTGCACCCTGATGTTGTAAAACAGTTAGCTGTCTAGTTCAGGAGAATATGTTCTAAAAATGTTAAAGGTCTATAACGATATCTGGTCGCAAAGATATAAAAATGAGGCTCTAGTAATCTGTTCCTTTCAACCCCTGGTAATGGCGTAGTTCTGGAAAAAGTCAAAGTTTGAAATATCAAAGGTTTGCTCCATCATCATGCGAGGATATTGGGATTAGAAAATTTGAGTTTGTGGCAAAGACTCAATTCCTTTGAAGTTTGATGTCAGATATATTTAATGTTTGATATCTTTTTATCCTGTTGGTGTAAACTGTAAACCTTTGATATTTCATATTATTTGATCTAACAGAAAGCATTGGTTGAAATATCTGAACTGCATCATTGGGTTAATGGCAAAAACTCGGTTTCTTTGCTTTGAGAATATTGAAGTAATCTAATCTTGTTGATTTATTGATCGGGGATATAATCTAGTTTGGCTGGGATATAATGTTGTTGATTTTTCTTGGATAAAATAAAGATAAATTCTCCGCGATATAATCTGATTGAATTGTTCGGAATAAAATTATCTACGGTTGGTTGTCAAATACAAGGTATATACCTTGGAATATGGGTTTATGCTGATGACATAATTCTTCTGTCCCCAAGTGGGAATGGGTTACAGGAAATGATAAATATATGTGAGAAATTTGCACTAAATCGTAAATTGAAGTTTAGTACAAACGTGGACATAAACAAATCCAAGACTAAATGTGTTATTTTCAATATTACCATTATAATTGTGTACGAATAAATAGAATAGAAAAAAAAATAATATTTTTTCTGCAAAACCAGTTTGTTGTTTCTTAAAAAATGAGTTACAGGGTTGAGACTACAGTGACGACCCAGGACTTAAACAACGAGTTACATCTCTGTAAGAAAGAACAATGGAAGACATTATGTACAGTCGTCTCTGAAGTCTCGTCCTTTTAGGGAAACTCCATAGTGAAAGAAAAAGGATGAGATAAAGCTTACCTGGTGTATACACAACCGACCAACCAACTGTACACTTGAATATTGAGTATTTCTCAGGGGGGGGTTTAATGTAGATAATTAAATATTTGTATAATGTATAGATACTTAGATATGGACACTTAAAGGGACTGTAAAGGAAAAATTAAAGGGGGTATAGGCTGAAAGCTAATCACTTTAGCTCTCGATCGCGGCCCATGAAAGTTATATCTGATGTTCCTATCTCGAGAAATTGATATACAACTGTGTCAAATTTATACGAAAATTAATATATATACAATTTTGTATAAAAGTAGTGGGTTTAAATAGACCAAATTCAGCAAATAAGCAACCAATTATTTACACACGTCCGTTTTACTTGACCAGAAATTCCACCAATGACAGTGCAGTAAAGTGGTCACGTGATACAGGCAGAGAGACGTGACCAGTATACTGCTCTGCCATTGGTGATTTTTCTGATCACGTGATTTAAGTTTAAGATTTTCTAAATTTTACATATATGAAATCTCGTATAATTTTAAAACAGTTTTATACTAATTTCTTGAGACAGGAACATCAGATAAAACTTTCATTGGTCGCGATCAAGAGCTAAAGTGATTAGCTTTCAGCCTATACCCCCTTTCATTTTTTCTTTATAGTCCCTTTAATATGGATTGTAAGCATAGGATTGTATACTGCCACTGCCAGTACATTCCAGTTCAGTTGTTTGTTTATGTTAAGACAAGAATAACAAAATATTGCATCGTGAGGTTGGCATAGTTGCCATTCCTCCTTTGTTCAGGTTTATTGTCCGGTGTGGCGTTATTTCTGGGTAAACGTTAAATAATGGTAGAAGATTCTACGCAGCAAATTTTCCGCGGCATCCCCGCATATTTTTGCAGTTTGCGGCAATGCGCACAACAGAAATCTGGTATTTTATCTGAAATTTTAAAGTTAGAAATTATATTTATGCACTTAAAATATACACTATATGATGATATATATAATGTGAGTACAGAAGTAATTAACTTTACATTAAACTCTCATTATAGTTGCAAGTATCAGAATAAATTAACAATTAACTTACTTAAACTAAGCTGTCCTATCGATCCCTAATGTTAAAACAATTGATTTTACTGTCTGTCGCTCAGCAAAACTTGATTGATTCTCAAATATGAGAAATACTTTCACTTAATTTACTGTTTACATTCACAGAATTGTGCGCGAATGCCGCGGAAAATTTGCTGTGTAGAGTCTACTACCGTTATTTAACGTTTACCCAGAAATAACGCCACACCGGTAGATTGCTCCTTTAAATATTTCTGATGTCCAAAATTGACTGGTTTTTTTCTTTTTAGTATGGTAAGCTTATGAAGCTATCCGTATACATGGTACATAATTCATTTACTCTGGAAGTCTCAACTATACAAGGGGGGGATAAGGCCTTTTCCTCTTGATGTAAATCTGTATCAGAAAAAAATTACGCTTTAAGCACATTTTGCCTCTTTGATTTTTTAAAGATTTCTAATCTATATATAAATTTGGCTTGTCTGTCTGGGTGTTTGTTATGGTGTCTGTCTGTTTGTTTGTATCCAATAAACGTCAAAACGGCTGAACCGATCGGGCCCAAATTTTTTGTGGGACATCTAGGTACCCCAGGGAAGGTTTATGAATGATTGAAATTTTAAATATTTGTCTCAATCAAAATTCGATCTTCATTAAATTTTTGAAAATTTTGAAAATCCACGAAATTTTTTGTAAAAATCCGCGAATTATTTTTGTTTTGTTTTACGATGTACACAAAGAGAACATTGTTCACAATTAATTTAGAAGATGGGCGCGAAGCGCCCTCTAAGGCTAGTTGTATTAAAAATTCATAAAATCTACTTGAAAATTGTCAAATGTTCGCAGTCAACATCCTCGAATTCTTTTTATATAATTTATAAATTCCATAAAATCCCCCTTAAAAACACGATCACTCTATAATATACAAGTGTACAGTGTTAGTTACGTTCACATATCGTGATGTATCAACCGACCACCCATATCAGTTAATTAATAGGGTGGTCGGTTGGGTACATCTGAGGTAAGCTTTACCACTTCGTTTCCTTTCTCTATGGGAAACTTTATATTTTTACCAGCACTTGTCCGGATGTATTTCTTTGGTTAAAATAATTACATTGCTTTGCTCCCCCCTTTTCTAGTAAAAATTTTAGCTTTTAACTTGCAGGTGCTTTTCAAGTCGCCTTTTTTGTGTAGTTATTGTTAGAATTGAGGGATTTTCAAAAATTTTAAGTAAAAATTGACAGTTTTCAGGGTTAATTTATTTTTTGACAGTTCATAAAAATTCCCACGAACTCATGAGAGTTTCAATAGTAATTTGGGCTTAATAATAAGCTCAGCTTTTTTACGTTTATTAGATATAGCAAGCTAAGTTCATATAAAGATTAAATAATCCCTAAATCTAAAAAATCTAAAAAATCTTAAAAATCCAAAAATAAGATAAAATTCAGATACAAGGCTATTACTTCAAAATAAATATTATATATATTCTTTTTTAGGTATTTTCTCCTAAACCTTTATTTTCTTTTGTTTCCTTAGTTGAGTAGTCCAGAGCTATTGTAAAAATGTCTAAATAAGTTTTTATTAAAAACAAACATTTTTACAATTATAAAACAATACAACTTCATATTTATATAAAAATATTACGAAATTATTTGGAGTCAAAATATCATCATTTTTTTATGGTTTAGTTTTGGACTTATATATAAACCTAAATAAGTAAATACTAGTTTAGGTTTTAACGTTTAAGTATTAAAGAGAATATTAATATTGCTGGAAAAAACCATGATCGCACGTCTAAAATCCTTTTATCGATTATTTTGGGACAAGGCATCACTATTTTGGAAAACATTACCCAAAATGGATTTCAATTTCATTATTTTTCCATTCATTCTTTATTTTCTCCCCTTTTACACTGCAAACTAGACGTGAGCTAGACTTGAACTAGACTAGAAATTCAAGCGACATAACGGGCAAGTCTTTGTGACCTCAATATAGTTCTAATTTTACGCACAAGTTTTAGAAAAGCGAATTTATCCGGTTAAATATTAGGAACTTAAAACATAATCTTTGTTCTCAATAGTTCTTCCATAAGAGGAGTTAGGATTGAAAACATAGAAGATTTACGTTTGACGTGACATAAACAATTCTAAATTATAGAGAATCATAGCAATGGATACTTTTATTCACAAACAACTAATCATTATAATTATTTAATTATTAATATAAAAAAGTTTAAAAAGATAAAAAGTGAATAATAAATGTGATTTTATTTCTGTATTTATATTAGGTTAAGTAGTTCCCTGGGTTTAAGAAGTTATTTCCGAGATCCATTAAAGAACACGCGCAGTATCTCAAGGGAGGAAAACTGTCCGGTTAGAAACGATTTTCAGGTCAATCAATTTAATAGATTTAAAGGTACAAGAGGAAAACAAAAACTTTTAAAGAGATTTTAAAATAAATAAATATTCTGGAGGGGAAATCATGTAAATTTAAGATTAATCTAAAGGGAAAGTGACACTGAATGCAAAGAGCGTAATGCCCGATTCACAACATTCATCTGTTTATCGAGAACAATGTTTAAATCTATATAAAACCACTTGGACACCTGTAAAATCCGATGTAAGCTACGTAGTCTGAACTCTACGCAGCTGATGCGTTACTTCTATACTTGTATCTCCTGACATCTAGAATATTTTACATTTAAAGTGTGTTTCAGAGTCTCCAGAAAGTGAATAATCATATTTTCATACTTTAAACAGCTTGCAATCGGACATTGCCATCTTGGTATGAAGAGTCACGTGAAATTACGCGTACAGTCCCTTAAAGCATATATTTCAGGTTCGGGCTCAGGGTTTGAATTGTGTACGACGGTGTAGCGTGGACGCGGATTGTCAAAATGACCGGAAGCTCTGTCTGTGTGACGGAGACTGCGGCCTATCCTGTATCCGACCTGAGAAAGAGTGCCCTGAACTACCGGACCCGGAGAATGGTCAAGTAAACCTGAACGGACGACATTTCCAGGTTAATAACTCCACCCCCCCCCATGTTAAATAAACCAGGGGTCTTGGTTTAAAGTCAAGTTACATTTAACCTAATAAAGGATGCTGGGGGGTCTGAATCTATGTATGGCCTGGAGGGAGCATCCCATGCCCCACCCCTAGAAAAGAGCCATAGAGTAAGGGAATAGGCTTGCAATGCATGGTCATAGCCCAATTTTTCAAGGCCAGCTCAATAAGTAGTCCTCTAACTTTAATAGTTTGGGTATTAGGAGGGTTTTAAACAAATACAAAAAATATTTTTTGATTTTACAATTAATAAGATTTGACACATGATTCTGCGCCCATTTTTCAAGGGCTTTTTAAAAATGTAGTTTTTAGAGCGGAGATAACTTTAGTCACAAAGAAGTGATTTTGAGAATTTCTTTTAATAGAATGTAAAAAAATTCAATGTGATACTATCAAAAATGAGAGTGCTAGGAAAAAAAACTAGTAGGGGCGTCAACCCCCCACCCCTCCCTCAGCTATTTTCGACGGATTTTGAATTAGATATAAAACACAGCGCAGAGATGACTCTTTGCATATATTGAGAAAATCCTGGAATCTATATATATACTTTGCTTGTCTTGGTGTCTGTTTGTTTGTTTGTATCCAATTAACGTCAAAACGACTGAACCGATAACCCCTAAATTTTGTGTGGGACCTCACGTGACCCCAGGGAAGGTTTATGAATGATCAGCATTTCAAAAAGTTGTGTATAACAGTTTTTTATTTTTGTAAAATTTTGAAAATGCGCGAACAAATATTATGAAATCCGCAAACATTTTTTGTTTGTTTTTGTATACAAAGAAACTCATTGCTCACAGATAAAGCCACAATTAGAAGTTGAAATAGAAGATGGGCGCAAAGTAAATTAAAATTGGATATTTTTGTTCAAATATTATTTCTTGAACTACCCAATGCATATATATCTCCAAATATTGAAGATGCATACCTATATAGATAAGTTTAAGCCCAATGGATAATAAAAAGATTTAGTATCGTTTATCTTCTCTTCTATTCATTTCTCAGATTAGATTAGGATTTACTGTAATTCCATCTAATATCTATGTTTTATCTGTCTATCTTAATCTATCATAAAATAATCCAATTCCTTCTCCCTGTATGCTTGAGTGTAGCAACAAACATGGAACATGAGGGACTAAATTATTTTCTCAACATTTTTCTATTATTGGGTCAAAGAATTTTTTTCTACAAAAAAAATGCTCTACAAAATTAAGTAATACTAAATACGTTTTCACGTACATTAAGAAAGAACAATTAAATTTTGAAGGTTTTTTCTTCAATTTGTGAGGGGGAAATTTTCAGATTCAAACTGATTATTAACCACTTCCAGGGCCCACACAATAATCAGTATATTAACCACTTCCAGGGCCCACACAATAATCAGTATATTAAAACCATCTATTTATTTGGTCAGAGTAATGCATTGCATATCTCTGAAGAACTCACCGAAAGCTTAGTTAAGGGTTCAATAAATAAAAACAGATTTGACATTTTTTGGGAACAAAAACATTTCAATTTTTTTAACATAACGTTTTAATATTAAAGTTTTGATTAATATATTTAAAAATAAATAATGCAGAGAACCCAGCTACTGTAGAATAAATTGAAGTCAAATGAAATGTTCTTTGGTCCAACACCTAAACATATCAAGAATACAATTACCAAGAAAATAAAAATTTTCAAGGAAAAAATGATTTATTTTTAGAAATGATTTTGTTTCGGAAACTTGGATTTTCTATTTATAAGAAAAGTTAGAAACTGCTAAATTTTTTTTGTTGAATGATTATCTATTCTGGTAAAATTTCAACCATTTATCTTCAAGAATTGGTTGAAAATGACATTTTTTATCTAAATATATCATAGAGAGGTGAGTGCAGTAAATTATTCTGAAAAGGGAATGCCTGGAGTAATATCTTAAAAAACTCTTTACTCTAGGAATTCAATAAGCTCAGCGCCTCTCATGAAATTAGCAGAGTCTATACTAGAAAAAGTTGATTAATCGTAATAAACATTCACTGATGGTAAAAGGGACTGTAAACCTAATTTTGAACGGTTCTCAGTTAATAAAGAGACTTGTCCTATTTAATGTTAATTGTGGTTTTTTATAAAGATGACTTGCGGATTTATGGTGCAGGAAGTATGGGAGACATTTTCAGAAGTAGCACTTTTAAACAGGACAACGACGATATCATCCTTTTTGTTACTCAGATAAAGATTTAAAGGGTGCTGTTGGGAATCTGAGTTACCAATATATGAATGAAAGGTCACCTGAAAATACGACTACAGTCCCTTTAAAGAAAACATATATTCAGTGAATCCAATAAGATGGAGATAGATTTTAAACCGAATTAGTTTAAGTGAAAGAATGTAACTAATCAATGGTGAGATTGGGTAATCTCTCTTCTAAACTGTTTCCAGTAATTAATGGTCGATAGAATCTATTTTTATAACTAATTTATTATTAACAGAAAACCTTTGTCAGACTTAAAGAGACAGACCGGCAATGTAAGGTAGTTAAACTGAGTATGTAGTATTGTGGACAAATTCTTTAGGAATCATTTGAGACAAATAAAACGTTTTCACGATGTATAATTACTGAGTTTGAGCGCATAGTCGACAAAATCATAAGTACGTTTTCAGAATCGGTTTTTTTAAATTATTAAATAATTAAATTATTAATTAATTAAATTAAGTTAAATTTTTTATTTTTTATGAATTTATTCGCAGATTTCTACACATTCTTTAAATGACGTCTTTTCAATAAAAATTCAAGAAAATCTGCAGAAAGTCTTTGTGAATAATAAGAGATTTCAGAAACTAATAATTAAAAAAGATTAATTAATTTTTCGATGATAAGATTAATCAACCTGTTCCTAAACAACTAATAAATTTACTGTAGAATTTTGTGTAAATTTTTTATCGTCGTTATTTAATGATTTAAAAAAGATCAGGAAACTTATGATTTTGAACTTCGACTTTGCGCTCTGAGTCAGACTCAGGATTTACAGATCTTTATAAAGTTTTATATGTCTCAAATGAATCCTAAAGAATTTGTCCCTTTAAACTTGAATTTTCAAATAAAAGAGAACTCTAGTCAGTGTTACTTTAGTTTAATCACTCTCCCTATTTGATTAAAACTTTTGAAGAGTTTTAAAATACCAAGGAGGGCCTCCCCCCCCCCATATATAAAAGAATGTATGAAGAAACATATCTGTTTACTGTAACATTATACCATTCTGTATATCTATTAATGTATAAATAAAAACAAAAAATAATATAATCATATTATTATTATTTATCTATAATACTATTTCTTTTATTGGTATATCAATATATTATATTTGTAATATGTGTAGTCTCAAAGGTTTATATTCATTATGATTATGAAAGTGAGCTGAACGTATTCAATGAACAATAAACGAACTAATTCGGACTTAAATCTAAAGTTCATTTTGTGAGGTATTATTGGTTCAACTTTCATGACTTCGTTATAAGTCAGAGTATACAAACAAGATTTAAACAAATAAATCTTAAGAATTGTAAAGTGGAAATGAAGGAAATATATTAAGATTAGAGGGTGTATACTTGTAATGAAGGTTATATATTGTAGGATGAGGCGAGGTATACTTGTAATGAAGAATATATATGTAGGATGAGGTATACATGTAATGAAGAATATATATTGTAGGACGAGGTATTCTTGTAATGAAGAATATATATTGTAGGATGAGGTATACTTGTAATGAAGAATATATATTGTAGGAGGAAGCGAGGTATACTTGTAATGTAGGTTATATATTGTAGGATGAGGCGAGGTATACTTGTAATGAAGAATATATATGTAGGATGAGGTATACTTGTAATGAAGGATATATTGTAGGATGAAGCTAGGTATACTTGTAATGAAGGATATATTGTAGGATGAAGTTTGGTATGCTTGTAACGGATGAGGTATACTTGTAATTAAGGATATATTGTAGGATGAAGCTAGGTATACTTGTAATGAAGGATATATTGTAGGATGAAGCTAGGTATACTTGTAATGAAGGATATATTGTAGGATGAAGCTAGGTATACTTGTAACGAAGGATATATTGTAGGATGAAGCTAGGTATACTTGTAACGAAGGATATATTGTAGGATGAAGCGAGGTATACTTGTAATGAAGGATATATTGTAGGATAAAGCTAGGTATACTTGTAATGAAGGATATATTGTAGGATGAGGCGAGGTATACTTGTAATGTAGGTTATATTTGTAGGATGAAGCTAGGTATACTTGTAACGAAGAATATATTGTAGGATGAGGTATACTTGTATTGAAGGATACATTGTAGGATGAAGCTAGGTATACTTATAATGAAGGATATATTGTAGGATGAAGCGAGGTATACTTGTAATGAAGGATATATTGTAGGATGAAGCTAGGTATACTTGTAATGGAGGATATATTGTACGATGAGGCGAGGTATACTTGTAATGAAGGATATATTGTAGGATGAAGCTAGGTATACTTGTAATGAAGGATATATTGTAGGATGAGGCGAGGTATACTTGTAATGTAGGTTATATATTGTAGGATGAAGCTAGGTATACTTGTAACGAAGGGTATATGCTGGTTGGGGTTCAAGTCTCTAGATGTCAGGCCAGTGGCAGATGGGGAGGTAAGTGTAAACATTTCTCAAAAGTGATCGTTCGTTTATTCCATTTTTTTCAACCTGTACCTCTCGACTTTGTTTAAATGTCTCCCTTACCTTCCATGATGTTCTCTCTAATAGTATATCTCTCTCCTTGGTTTTAGTGTATCCGACCTATCCAGAGTTCTCTCTAATATTATACCTCTCTCCTTGGTTTTAGTGTATCCGACCTATCCAGAGTTCTCTCTAATATTTAGTGTATCCGACCTATCCAGAGTTCTCTCTAATATTATACCACTCTCCTAGGTTTTAGTGTATCCGACCTATCCAGAGTTCTCTCTAATATTACACCTCTCTCCTAGGTTTTAGTGTATCCGACCTATCCAGAGTTCTCTCCTCGGTTTAAACCTTCTAAGAATTCTCTCCAATCTTGTACTTTCTATCCAGAGTTCTCTCTAATATTATACCTCTCTCCTTGGTTTTAGTGTATCCGATCTATCCAGAGTTCTATCTTAAGCTTTGCCTCTCTCCTTGGTTTAAACCTTCTAAGAATTCTCTCCAATCTTGTACTATCTATCCAGAGTTCTCTCTAATATTATACCTCTCTCCTTGGTTTAAACCTTCTAAGAATTCTCTCCAATCTTGTACTATCTATCCAGAGTTCTCTCTAATATTGTAACTCTCTCCTTGGTTTAAACCTTCCAAGAATTCTCTCAAATCTTGTACTATCTATCCAGAGTTCTCTCTAATATTATACCTCTCTCCTTGGTTTAAACCTTCCAAGAATTATCTCAAATCTTGTACTATCTATTTCTCTCTAATATTATACCTCTCTCCTTGGTTTAAACCTTCCAAGAATTATCTCAAATCTTGTACTATCTATTCTTTAGGTGTATCCCCAATCTGCCGAGAGTTCTCTGCAGATGTGGCCTCTCCGTATTACTGTGGACATCCACCAAAGATCCCTAATGCAAACCACAATGGATCAGACGATCAATCCTTTTGGGATCTTGATACTCAACTCACTTATCAGGTCAAATCTTTAAAGTTGACCACTTTATTGTCCCGACTAACCACTTTATTGTCCCGACTGACCACTTTATTGTCCCGACTGACCGCTTTATTGTCCCGACTCACCACTTTATTGTCCCGACTCACCACTTTATTGTCCCGACTGAAAACTTTATATGTTCTGCTCTGCTTAAACATATTTGAGAAGGAATTTTGTTTTTCAACTTATATATAAAACATATTGATGTTTACACATGGGATATAAAACGGCCTAAAAGTTCTTTACAATTCAAGTGTAAGTAAAAATTCCAACTCCATTTCAAAATATACTAGAACAACCCTTAATTGACCAGGACAATAAGATATCTCTGACAAGTACGAATTAACTTGTAACCGTATTTCTGATTTCAGTGTTACTCTGGATATAAGAGGGAAGGATTTGATCATGCTAAATGCTTCTACTTGAACGGAACTGCCACCTGGTAAGATTTTCTTACTGGAGACATACATTCAGGTTCAGCTTCCTTGAATTATTCATGTTTGAATTTGTTGTCTGTCTTAGAACATCGGACTATTTTAAGATACTCAGGTGCTCTTTAATTAGCTCTTTGTAAAGAATACTCACTTATGTTTATAATCTGCAATTAGCTCTATGTAAAAGATACTAAATTCTGTCTATGGTCTCTAATAAGCTCTATGTAAAAGATACTAACTTCTGTCTATGGTCTCTAATAAGCTCTATGTAACAGATACTAACTTCTGTCTATGGCCTCTAATAAGCTCTACGTAAAAGATACTAACTTCTGTCTGTGGTCTCTAATTAGCTCTATGTAAAAGATACTAACTTCTGTCTATGGTCTCTAAAAAGCTCTACGTAAAAGATACTAACTTCTGTCTATGGTCTCTGATAAGCTCTATGAAAAATATGCTTCTTTCTATGGTGTCTAATAAGCTCTATGTATAAGATAATAACTTCTGTCTATGGTGTCTAATAATCTCTATGTAAAAGATACTAACTTCTGTCTATGGTCTCTAATTAGCTCTATGTAAAAGATACTAACTTCTGTCTATGGTCTCTAATAAGCTCTATGTAAAAAATACTAACGTCTGTCTATGGTCTCTAATAAGCTCTATGTAAAAAATACTAACGTCTGTCTATGGTCTCTAATAAGATCAATGTAAAAGATACTAACTTCTGTCTATGTTCCTAATAAGCTCTAATGTAAAGGATACTAACTTCTGTGAATGCTCTTTAATAAGCTCAATGTAAAATATACACCCTTATGTCTATGCTCTCTGATTAGCTTTAAGCAAAGAATACTAACTTATGTTTAAGCTCTCTGATTAGCTCTATGTAAAGAATACTAACTTATGTTTAAGCTCTCTGATTAGCTCTATGTTAAGAATACTAACTTATGTTCAAGCTCTCTGATTGGCTCTATGTAATGAATACTAACTGATGTCTATGCTCTTTAATTAACTCAAAGTAAATGATACTTACCTATGTCTATGGTCTCTAAATAGCTCTATGTAAATAATACTCACTTTTATCTATGCTCTCTAAATAGCTCTATGTTGAGAATATAAAAATATTTTCTCTTCTTTTTACACTTTGTATTCATAATGCAATAAAGATTGTATAATTACATTTCGTATTCAGAATCTAACGTTTAGTTTCAGCAAGGAGGGGGAGGGGGGGAGGGGAAAACGAAAAATGGGGTGGGGATGGACCTACTCATATCATATTTGTATTATTTAAATATTTTTCGGGGCATATTTCTTTCATCATTTTAACTTAATTTTGATTTGCTTTTTAGATTTAAAAAACTTTGAAAATATGTTTTTTTAATTTTAAAGTATTCACTGCAAAGTATTGTCACCATTGTATAATCAGAAAAGCTAAAATGATATTATATTTCATCGGTCTTCATATTAAGGCTTATTTAAAATTACCTTGACAATGGTTTAGCTAGTCATTACTATGCATGAGAACTAAAAATAATGAAGTCTGTAGAGAAAAAACATTTTTTTATTAAAAAATAAAAGAAAGGTATTTATCAAAAGTAGTTATAATATTAGAGCATTATTAATATTTCAGTATTTATAAAAAAAAATATGGGCTAAATTTTTTTTAGAAAACCCTTAAGTATCCAACGTTATCGTAATAATTCAGCATCTTTTCCTAGATATCAACTATTCTTTATTTTACAACTATAACGTTTTGTAACATCTCGACATCAAGTTGTCATCTAAATATGTTTTAATATTTCTAATAGCTTCTATCAGACATTAGTTTATCACAAGAAGATTTGAAATAATATATTGAATTATGAAAATATATTTATAGTTACCCAAATATATTTAAAATAATATACTGAAATATGAAAATATATACATAGTTACCCAAATATATTTAAAATAATATATTGAAATATGAAAATATTTACATAGTTACCCAAATATATTAAAAATAATATATTGAATTATGAAAATATATATACAGTTACCCAAATATATTTAAAATAATATATTGAATTATGAAATATTTACAAAGTTACCAAAATGTATTTAAAATAATATATTGAATTATGAAAATATATACAGAGTTACCCAAATATATTTGAAATAATATATTGAATTATGAAATATTTACAAAGTTACCCAAATATATTAGAAATAATATATCGAATTATGAAAATATATACAAAGTTACCCAAATATATTTGAAATAATATATATTGAATTATGAAAATATATATATAGTTACCCAAATATATTTGAAATAATATATTGAATTATGTAAATATATACAGAGTTACCCAAATACATTTGAAATAATATATTGAATTATGAAAATATATACAGAGTTACCCAAATATATTTGAAATAATATATTGAATTATGAAAATATATACAGAGTTACCCACAATATATGAGACTGTAAAGACAACTGTATAAGAAGTTTCTGCTTATATCCATGTTTCCTGCACCAACTGTTAACTTGTTTCTGCTTATATCCATGGTTCCTGCACCAACTGTTTCTTTGACAAACAATATAGAAGCCTTTGAATGACTATATTTCAGTCAGAAGATTTTATTTAACCTTGGAATCATCATATTTGAAGATTTGCAAGTCTTCTTTACATTCTCATCCCTTGTGGGTAACCCTGTATAGATTGTTATGTTATAGAGAAGATATGAAATAATGATACATTTTATTATTATACTATTTTTTGAAGGTATGGTCCAGATCTAAGATGTCGACCTATAGACTGTGAACCACCTGAAGATATAATAAATGGAATTAGAACTTTCACTTGCACAACTTACAGGTATCAGAAAACTAACTTGGTAACCCAACTTTGCCCGGAGTTTTTTCAATAAAAGCCGAACCAATCAACTTAGAATTTTTAAACCAGGCTAAGAATATTCCTGTGGTCCTACCGAGTAACCCAATTTAAATTTGTGACAAATCGGTCGGGGGGTTCATGAATTACGATCGAACATCGCATTCGAAACAAGCATTGATCTCCTTCTAATGCAGAAGTTTATTAACACTTTCTATTTTGTGACTACCGATACCAATATATGGAAGAAGTGCTGCCATAAAGTAAATTTACTAGAAAACTCTAGAATTTTAAAAGATATCTACATTCTGTGTCTATCAAGAAAACTTTTAAAAATTTGAGAAACTTTTGATTCTGAAAATAAATTTTCATGTAATGGAAAATTTTTAATTGCATTGGGAAATTTTTATCATTTCAATTTTAGATAATCAATATCAAGGATAATTTTGATATTTTCAAATCCTTAAAGGGAGTGTCTGGCTAGACATGGTAGTTGAGCTGAGAATGCAGCATTGCAAAGACATTTTTTAGAATTCATTTGAGACCTTTGAGACGTTTGATCGTAAAAACTTCTCATTGGTATCAAATAAATCCTGATAAAATTTTTTACAACACTGCATTCTCAGCTCAACCACCATGTCTAGCCAGACAATCCCTTTAAACATTGCGTTACAAAGTTAAAGGATAATGTCCGATAGTATTCTAATTTAAATACTTTAAAGATCCAATACCTTTCTAAAGCATTAGATACATCATAAACAAAAACTTATTTTCTAGATTTTTTTCATCGTTTTATTTAAAGTACCAAGTGTATTTTCTTTTGTGAACAGATTTTAATGAATCAGCACGGGGAAACCCTTAAAAGCGTTATTTCTTTAAATAGCTTTTCAAAATTGTTTTTTTTCCTTTGACTGTCAAATTAACAAATCAAAATGAGATGCGGGGGGGCAGTGGCAGGAGGAGAGGGAGGGGGAAAGTATCGTTCGCTCTATTATCTTCTACCTCTATTATCGAATTCCCCAACGGGTTTCTCTTTGGCTTGGAAAATATATGTTTCTACCCCTGGGGTTAATTCTATATAGAAACAGTTGTTTGTTATATTCCTTCTTCAACAAATTATTCATCAACATTTAACAAGAGGGTTTTGTCTTTAAACCAACATCAGCTAACAAACAAATACGAGTTACCCCCAAAAACTGTGAGACTTCAGAGACGAGCGTTATCTGGGGTGACGTTTGGCGCCCCCCCCCCCATATAAAAAGGCCTTAGAGAATACGTATAGGGTTGAAATGCATGTTCCTAGTGCAATTTTTCAGGACCAGCTAAAAGAAAAAAATCAGACCGATAACTTTAATAGTTTGGGTGCTAGGGAGGGTGAAAGAAATGTCTAAAATGGGTCAAAAGAATGAAGAAAAAAGATTTTGTGTTTTTAACAAATATCAAAGTGTGACACATGTTTCTACTTTCTACATGCCTTTATCAAGGGCTTTTCAAAAATATCTATAGATATGTAGCTTTAGTCACAAAAAAGTTATAGGGATATTTCAGATTTTTTTTATCACGGAACGGACTTTTTTCCGCCCTGTAAATAAAATAAAAATATTTTAACAAAAAATCCTTTAAATTACTATTCATTAAAAGTCACAAAATTTCACGGTGATAGTGTCAAAAATGAGAGTGCTAGGACAAAAAAACTACAGGGGGGGGGGGGCTGGCTGGCGCCAAACGCTCCGCCCCAGCCTGTTTAGGGTTTAACTCCTTGGTAGCTAGGTAGCTGCAGCTATACACGTATTTCTTTCCTTGGGAAATCATAACGTTAAATATCTTTTTTTTCAAAGTTGACAAAATTCGGCATTTTTTCCTATCTATATATAAATTTGGCTTGTCTGTTTGTTTGTTTGTTTGTTTGTTTGTATCCAATAAACGTCAAAACGGCTGAACCGATCGGGCCCAAATTTTTTGTGGGACATCTAGGGAGCCCAGGGAAGGTTTATGAATCATCAAAATTTCAAATATTTGTCTCTATCAAAATTCGATCGTCATTAAATTTTTTAAAATTTTGAAAATCCGCGAAATTTTTTGTAAAAATCCGCAAATTATTTTTGTTTAGTTTTACGATGTACACAAAGAGAACATGTTTACAATTAATTTAGAAGATGGGCGCGAAGCGCCCTCTAAGGCTAGAAAGAAGGGCGCGAAGCGCCTTGAATTTCTAGTATATTTAAATATTTGTATCTTGTTTTTCGTCATTAAAAGCTCATAAATAAAGACTACAGAATATACAGACTGATCAAGTATATAATCATTGTTACAGGGCGATAACCTTCTTTATAAAAACGAAAATTTGTAATTTCTTAATAAAACGATTATCTGTTTTTTTATCCGCGCTTTGATAATAACCTAAAATTCTCAAATATGATTTTGATGATACCTTTGACAAAAGAAAATTGAATAATTTTCTTAATACCTCTAAAACCAATTCAAGAAACATTTGGAGTAAAACAGACTTTGGCCTCTTAAATGTTCATTATTTAAGTAAATGATATGTCATTAAAAACAAGGTATTTTTAAAGGGTTCGAAAAAGATTAAGAATTAAAAAATTATTAGTTTAGTTGCGAATATTTTGTCAATGCTTCCAACAAATTCTGGAAAATCGCATTCTCCAGTTTACATACATTGGTGATCTGAAAATTATGGATTGTGGAATTATTGTTGCCTTTTTTAGTCAAAGGGACAATATAGACGTAATTTCAAGTAACCCTTCATTGAAAGAGTGCAATGTCCGATCAGGGGCGCACAAGGGGTGAGCACTGGGTGCGCGTGCCCCCCACCATCTCCTCATTTATAAAAGTGTTTTCATCATTTTTACACACAACTTCAGCAAGTAAAAAATGATTTTTGATGATCTGGGGTACTGGACAGCAAAAGGCATAGCTACTGTATATACTACTGATGCTCTCGTATCCCCCCTAGTCTGATTCGCAACCTTACCCTTTTAAACCTTAGTCCTAGTAAAAAATCTTTTTCTATATTGAAATAAATATAGAATAGAATACGATATCGATCATCGGTAAATTCTTGTTAATTTATAGTATTGCCTCTGAAGCATAAATACGCAAATCACTGAAGAGTAAAACCACAATTGAAAATGATTAATTGATCCTTGCATAATATCACTTTTCAGAGTCACTCAGATTTATATATACAATACAGATAGACAATAACAATACCATACAGATAGACAATAACAATAGAATACAGATAGACAATAACAATAGAATACAGCTAGACAATAACAATAGAATACAGATAGACAATAACAATACAATACAGATAGACAATAACAATACAATACAGATAGAAGAATGCAGATAGACAATATCAATACAATACAGATAGACAATAACAAAAGAATACAGATAGACAATAACAATACAATACAGATAGACAATAACAATACAATACAGATAGAAAATTACAAAAGAATGCAGATAGACAATATCAATACAATACAGATAGACAATAACAAAAGAATCCAGATAGACAATAATAAGACAATACAGATAGACAATAACAATGCAATACAGATATACAATAACAATACAATACAGATAGACAATAACAATACAATACAGATTGACAATAACGATAGAATACAGATAGACAATAACAATATAATACAGCTAGACAATAACAATAGAATACAGATAGACAATAACAATACAATACAGATAGACAATAACAATACAATACAGATAGACAATAACAATAGAATCCAGATAGACAATAATAAGACAATACAGATGGACAATAACAATAAAATACAGATAAACAATAACACAATACAGATAGACAATAACAATACAATATAGATAGACAATAACAAGACAATACAGATAGACAATAAAAATAGAATACAGATAGACAGTAACAAGACAATACAGATAGACAATAACAATAGAATACAGATAGTTAATAACAATACAATACAGATAGACAATAACTATACAATACAGATAGACAATAACAATATAATACAGATAGACAATAACAATACAATACAGATAGACAATAACAAGACATACAAATAGACAATAACAATAGAATACAGTTATACAATAACACGATACAGATAGACAATAACAATACAATACAGATAGACAATAACAATACAATACAGATATAAAATAACAATACAATACAGATAGACAATAACAATACAATACAGATAAACAATAACAATACAATACAGATAGACAATAACAATACAATACAGATATAAAATAACAATACAATACAGATAGACAATAACAATACAAAACAGATAGACAATAACAATAGAATACAGTACAGAAAGACAATAACAATAACAATACAGATAGAACACTAGATGTCGTATTTTTAAGATTTAGTGGTTTTTCGTTCACAAAAACCCTGAGGCAGGAGCTCAAAGAAGTTTTGTGCATGCTGCGTGATATGACAAGACAGAGAGAGAGAGCATACGCGTAACTCCTTTGGGCTCCTGCCTCAGGGTTATTGTGAACAAAAAAAACACTAGATCTTGAAAAGACGACATCCAGTGTTCTATCTGTATTGTTATTAATTCATGCCATTAACAAAATCTTTAGTAAGACTCCATGATGCCAAAAAGCAGGAAGATTATGATAAATAATACTGTATTTCTTGCCGGAAAAAAAAGGCTGAAATCATTTTCTTGTTTTGTTGTAATTACTTTCGATATTTTTAAAATCACCCATGACGTCATCAACACCAAAAGGTATTACTTTAACCTATTCAGTGTATTGAGTGTATTGATTATACATTGAGAAATTCAATCTAACCGTTCAAGAATCCTTATATTCAATAAAGCATCCAATTCCTAACTGCAATACTTGAAGTTTCAGAATACCATCAACAAGAGAACTCAACCCATCCAAATACTAAATCTCACCTATATCCTAATCCTAAATTCAAACTCCTACCAATCTATTTCACCTCAACCCCTCCTCCTAGCTACATCCTACCCTCTCCGCCTTCTACTTATCATACCTCCTACTCCTTAACCCCTCATCCTATCTCTTACCCTCTCCTCCTATACTTCTCAGCCCCTTTTCTACCGCTGATAAACTTCTGTTACCTTCCAACATATTTTGTTTCTAGTTTAGAACTAAATAAACTCCCAACTGTAAGAGGAAATACAGAATAGAATCTATACAAACGAATTGTTTAATCTTCATTCAAATATGCATTAAACTGTTTAAAGCAAGAATAAAATGAATTCTTATAATTAGATAATAATAATGTTTGTTTATGCGAATTTTCATCCTAATAAAACAAGATATAACATAATCCTGATAGATATTCAAATCTTTAAAAAGGAACGAGGGAGGGGGGAATGGGGGGGTCCATCCTGGAAGGGTCTGTTCAAGGACCCTCCAATTAGCGAACAAAATACCCGATTCACAATTCGGTACCCGTATATATCAAAAAATACAAAAAATTGTGTTTCATAGTTTTTTTAATGCGATTTTTCATTAAAAGCGAATAGCGGATTTATGCTACAGAGACAAGAATTCAAATTGTTAGAATTGAACTTTCGTTAAGAAAGAAAATGACAGTGTCTTCCGCATCCTTACTCATTACTCAATACGGTTCTAGGGGTGCGTTGATTTCCTGATAATGGATAACAACTGAGGAAAGCTCACTCTGAATATAACAGTTGTGATATGAGAACGGTTTTCAATTCAAGGATTAAAGGAAAATCTCAAGCATTTAAAGCCAATATTCAAATAATAAATAATAAATAATAAAAGAGTACTGTTGTGAATCAGGAAGGTAGTTTTTTAAATATAAAATCACTTGAAATTACGCCACGAGTCTCTTTAATTTATTTGTCCAGGTGTCAGGTGAACTATGAGTGTTTGCCTGGGTTCAAGTTAGAAGGAAGGAAAACAAGAATCTGTGAGAAGGACGGAGTTTGGTCTCAGGTAATTGTTTTCTCCAATATTCTAGAGATATGTACACATAACAATATGTACAATGTACTTTAATGGTGTAAGACAATTAAAAATAATGTTTTTATCCCTAAGAGAATTTCTTTAATGGTAGGGTTCGCGAAAAATTAAAGGGGAGATAGACGTCTAATTGCATTCGACATAGATCGCTAATTTTACTTCTATCTGTTGCGTCCATGAGGATAAAAATTTAAAAAACGACTCATACCAAGGAGCGTAGGACAAAAAATTCACGAAGTTGCATTTTTTCTCTCAGATCGTAAATAATTAAATTAAATTTTAAAATCCTCATTTTGATATTAAAATTCGAAGTCGAATTCAAATCGATGCATTCATAAATAGTTGATATCTTCAAAAGTAGCACTCGGATCATATAAGATAAGAAATGTTAAGAAATATATTCTATATAAGTATGCATCGAATGGAATTCGACAATTTTAAGTTGTAATATTTAAATGAGTTTTTTAAAATATAATTGAATTATGTACGATCTGGGTGAAATAATGCAATTCCATCAATTTGTATGGACGCTATCCTTTTGGGTGTAAGACGTTTTTAACCATGTTCTCCTTATAGACGCACAGATAGAAGTAAAATTAGTAGGGATCGAAATCGAATTCAATTCGATATCAGCCTATACCCCTATTCATTTTTCGCGAACACTCCCTTTAATGAACCAAAACACGAAAAAGTACGATCAATGAATACCGAATCTCTGATCTAAGATTAAGTTTGTGATGTTTACTCTAGTTTGCATATAGATTAAATCTGTAAACTCTCCTAGTCTGAGCTACCCCGATGTGAAGCTGTAACCTGTCCTCTACCCCGTAATCCTGGGTCAGGAAAAGCGTTGTTTACTGCAGTATCGTATAAGTCTACTGTATCCTATGAGTGTAACTACGGTTACATGGTGGTGGGAGATACGACCAGGTAAAATCTAGGATAAAATACATCAAAGAGGGTGCAATTAATTTAATATTCAAGAAGAACTTTTTCAAGCATAGTTCTCCAAACTTTTATAATTTTGTTAGAGGAACTAAAGGGTGTCCCGTAAAGCATGAAAGTTATTGTATGATTGTAAATGTATTCAAGTAGTGCTCCGAAAAGAATGACAAGACATTTACTGGGCATTCTGATTGTAGTAGATCTTGATTTCAAAATAAGTAAAATATGTCCTGCTTTCGCTCAACTTACAACTTATGGAAAAGGACATTTACATTTTACACAAACTGTCATGTTTAATTGGACACCGTATATTCTATTTGAATTTGAAGAATTTATATTCTAGAACATGTGAGAGTAACAGACAATGGAGTGGAAGGGAACCAGAGTGTTTAGAAATCAACTGTGGTCTTCCAGGGGGAGGAGTCATTCCTAATGGTTGGTTAGAGGGATCCAGGTAGGGTTGGGAGTAGGAAGCTGATACAATGGTTGTTAAAAGGGATTCAGGTAGAGTTGGGAGTAGGAAGTTGATACAAGGGTTGGTTAAAGGGATTCAGGTAGGGTTGTGATTAGGGAGCTGATGGAAGGGTTGGTTGGAGGGATCCAGGTAGGTTTGGGATTAAGGAGTTGATGTAAGGGTTTGTTAGAGGGATCCAAGTATGGTTTATGAGTAGGGAGTTTATCTAAGGGTTGGTTAGAGGAATCCAAGTAGGTTTATGAGTAGGGAGTTTATCTAAGGGTTGGTTAGAGGAATCCAAGTAGGTTTAGGAGTAGGGAGTTTATCTACGGGTTGGTTAGAGGAATCCAAGTAGGTTTAGGAGTAGGGAGTTTATCTAAGGGCTGGTTAGAGGGATCTAGGTAGGTTAAGGAGTAGGGAGTATCTAAGGATTGGTTAGATGGATCCAGGTAGGTTAAGGAGTAGGGAGTTGGGTTGGTTAGAGGAATCCAAGTAGGTTTAGGAGTAGGGAGTTTATCTAAGGGCTGGTTAGAGGGATCTAGGTAGGTTAAGGAGTAGGGAGTATCTAAGGATTGGTTAGATGGATCCAGGTAGGTTAAGGAGTAGGGAGTTTATCTTAGGGTTGGTTAGATGGATCCAAGTAGGTTTAGGAGTGGGGAGTTTATCTAAGGGTTGGTTAGATGGACCCAAGAAGGTTTAGGAGTAGGGAATTGGTGTAAAGGTTGGTTGGAAGGATTTAGGTAGGCATATAAGTTATGAATTAATATATATATAGAATTAGGAAGTCTAATTAGGGGTATACGTAGATATTTAATTAATGTAAGGTTTGGGTCCAGATAAGTTAAGAGTAGGAAAAGGTGAAAGGATTGGTTGAAAGGATCAAGCTGGGGTTAGGAGTAGGAGTTGATCTAAAAATTGGTTGGAAGGATCCAGGTAGGGTTAGGAGTGAGAGTTGATCTAAGGGTTGGTTGGAAGGATCCAGGTGGGGTTAGGAGTGAGAGTTGATCTAAGGGTTGGTTGGAAGGATCCAGGTGGGGTTAAGAGTAGGAGTTGATCTAAAAATTGGCTGGAAGGATCCAGGTGGGGTTAGGAGTGAGAGTTGATCTAAGGGTTGGTTGGAAGGATCCAGGAAGGGTTAGGAGTGGGAGTTGATCTAAGGGTTGGTTGGAAGGATCCAGGTTACCCGTAAAAGTAAATATCATCGAAAGTTCAGAAAATTTGGTCAAATGTAAAAATTTTCAGAAAAAAAGTGTTTTCTGATATTCCACATTTTCATTTTCGATTGAAATAACCATTTTAAATGAAAATAAACATTATGTGTTATAAAGAGCAATAATGTGGATTTCTAACAACCGCCGTTAAACCTATAAAGGAATTGAGTTTTTGCCACAAACTTAAATTTTTGAATTCCAATATCTTAGCGACCTGATGTTGTACACATTTGATATTTCAAACTTAGATCAGTTAAGCTAACATAATTCATAGTTTGAAATATCTAAGGTCTACGACATTTGGTTGGAACAATACAAGGACTAGAAAATCAGGGTTTGTTGCAAAGACTCAATTCCTTTCCTTGTATAGTTTCTGATCGGAAGAAATTCTAGAAAAGATCATTGTTTCCCTTGAATCTGTATTCTGGATTGGATCTGTGTGAACCATAAAGATAAATGAATTGCTCCACACGTCCTTGACAGTACGGAGTGTAAGGCCGGAGCAAGACCGACCATCAACTAGGATTACAAGGGTTTAGTTTGAATCCACCCTAGCTCAACTTATCTAACGTTATTAAACCCAACCTGGGATACAGAACCAAGATACTCGTTTATTTTATTCCTCTCCAGCTCTCCAATATTGTCGGCATTTAAACTTTTAATATTTGAAATTTTGCCCCAACCTTGAGTTTTAAAACTTCCTTTCTACTACGTCATACATAATATTAAACTTTATGATTAAACAATCTGACATTGAATGCAATTTAAAAAGAATACTCTTTAGAGTTGAATGAAAAGGTTTCAAAAGGACACAGTAAAACTGTGGTTTGACTTTGGTCTAATAGTTCTAAGATAAACGAATTAAATTTTGATATTGAATAAAAATGCTAATAGACAAGTTTTCTATTTTAGGACGTCTATGCATTCTGTAGTTGTGTTTAACTGTTTGGAAGGAATGACCCTGCAAGGTGCTAAAAGGTGAATATTAAAATTATAAGATAGATGATTCAATTTTAACTCGGTTCTCTGTTCTTATATTTTGTTAAAGATACCTGTTAAACTGTGTAAAATATTTATCCTGAAAAAACTGGAAAAAAACGATTTCATTTTTACATAGATTTAAATCGTTTTTGACCGTTTTTTGCAAATGTATTATGTATTATGCCAGGGTCAAAGTTTAGCATACTCTAAGAAAAATGAGAAAAAATAATGGAAAATTTAAAAACATTCGTTTTTTTGAAATGAGCCAAATTTTGAGCCTGAAAGAATATAAACTCAAAAAATGAGCCAACAGCGAACCAACTGAAAGCACATCACAGTTTTCTAAGTGTTGATATTTTGGTGTATAAAGTGCTACCTGTGGATCAGATGGAAAATGGACCCATCCTGTTCCTAAATGTCTGGCTCCCTGTATAGTTCCTGAAATACTAAACGGAGAATCTAAACAAGTTGGGGAAAAGGTGATCACTCTCCCTGTTAACACATCCTCCATGATAATACATTCTCTCTGATAATACATCCTCCCTAAAAATATAAAACGTCCCTGATAATACATCCTCCCTAATAATAGATCCTCCCTGTTAATGCATCCTCCATGATATTACAACCTCCCTGATAATACATCCTCTCTGATAATACATCCTCCCTAAAAATATAAAACCTCCCTGATAATATATCATCCCTGTTAATACATCCTCCATGATATTACAACCTCCCTGATAATTCATCCTCTCTGATAATACATCCTCCCTGAAAATATAAAACCTCCCTGATAATACATTCTTCCTGATAATACACTGTGTCTTCACTCCATGATGAATCCTCCCTTGCTGTATTTAAGATTGTACATGGAGGAAATCTAAGTCTTGAATGTGAGCCAAGGTTTGAGACTCCTTCCAACTCTTCTCCTGTTCAGGGATAAATAATGATAATGAAAATAATTACAAAGTTTTTTTTCGGATTATCTTATTTAAAACCTTAAAAACTATTTTTCTTTCATTTGAAATCCAGTTAAACTAAATTTATTTCCAATGCACGTGGTGCAATATTAAGATTTTAAAATATGCCTTTTATGAGGATTCTTTTAATAAGATTAGTTTTTATATTTTCTGCTCTCTTTATTTAAATATTTCTATTTATAAGTCTTTCTGTTCATATTTTCTACATGATTACATCCATTAATAATCCCCCCCCTTCTCCCTCATCCTTGGGAATCTCCCCCCCCCCCTCTCCTCCTCTTCCTTAAGACCTCTATAATTTAGTCCATAATTTCCCTTCTACTCCAAGATGTTATAATGAACCTCTTCAGCTTTCTGTTCACTGTATTCAGAAATTTCAAAATTAAAATTTAATTTTTTCATCTTCATAATTTTGATGAACACAAGAAAACTTCGCAAAAAAACTTTGTTTGATTTTCAGTATAAAAAAAGAGAATTTCAACGCAATTAAAAGTTTTATTGTAATACCTATTTTCTAATTGAAAAGATAATATAGGGTGTCCCAAATAGCTAGGAATTGAGCTAGAGACGACTTCGAGAAGGACAAAATATTATCACTTTTTCAGCTTGATTTTTTATGCTGCAAACCTGAGCTGGGATTTTTCCATCCGTACTTTTTACCAACATAGGACGTCTGGGACTGTGTCGTTTCGAAGTACGCAAGGTTATATAATATATAAGGTTGGTTACTCTCGATGCGCTCGAATGTACGGAAAATGTCGACTCCTGTAAAGATAGATAGAAAAAAACTATTATGACGTCACTCTCGCCTCTATAATCAGTAACGTCATCTTAGAAACGACATTTTCCGTACATTGGAGCGCATTGAGAGCACCAACCTTATTATACAACCTTGGAAGCACTAAGAAACCCAACCATATTGGAAGACGACATTAAAGTAATAATAAAGTGCATTTGATGATGTTACAAATCAAGTAGTTTTATTAGACACTTTTAAATCACTTACTTACTCAAATAGGTTTGTGTACACTATACTCACTACTTAGTTGCAGCATGTCATGTTCATTGCAATATCTAAAGTCAGAACTGGAGTCTATAAAGTCTTTTTCCTATTCCAGAGTTTTCTGGTTCTCACTGTATTAAAATTTACTTAGTTAACGGTCCCTTTAAAGTTAAAGTTAGAGCTCTGTAAGATGTGAACAGTTATTTTATTTGTAAACTGCAATTTTCTTTTCTTAGTACAACCGTATGCAATCAAAACATAAACTTACAAATTCGAATTTCTAGCAGACCAAACAAATTTTACATGTTACAGTTTTCTTCGATGTCCCACCAGTCACCATATTCATTTTAATTTCGTCACTCAATTCCCGTATTTTTTAAAAATACCCCTTATTTTTACCTTCACTGAGCTAGATAAGAAAAGATTATGATTATTATTATTATCAGTGTAATAATGGGACCTGGACACAACTCCCTAAATGTATTCCAGCCCGGTGCAAGGTTTGAACAGTTTTTGAAAACTTGAACGTTTTTCGTATATCTGTTTCTTACAGGGACTGCAGACGGAAATTTAGTAACCTTTTATTTGTAGAATGGCATTTCCGATGTACAATAGTACCAGGTTTAGACCTTTGTCTACTCAAGACTAAATGAAATACCTTTGCTTGCCTAGCTAAAATTTTATATAAGTGGGTGGACTATCTTTGAAAGTGAAGCACAGTTTTATGCAGCGGGGACAATTGAAGATATCTTCCTAATTGTTTTTCAAAAAGAGGGGCTAAAGGATACTGTTGTGAATCGGGCATGAAGGGTCACTTGAAATTTCGTCTGTAGTCCCTTTAATGCACAAATGCCCTAAATTATGATCTTTTCTGGAAAAATCCATTTAAAATAGTTAAATATACATATTTATAACTCTAAAGCTGAATAGATATTTGAAATATTAATGGGAAGAGTTTGCGCCGGAAGTTTAAATTATCCAATCTCTGTATGCATTTTGCATATTCAGTTCGGGGTTTAAAACTTTTTTTTAATAAAACTTATTCACAAAACCTATACAAAGATAATTCAACACAAGAGTATAAATACTTTAAACTTTAAATCTACTTTGATTAACTATAAGTTATACATATACCTAATTGTAGCTTTTTTGGATACGCCTCTGTAAAATCTAACTTTTTGGAAATTAAATTATATTGAGAAGACAGCACATATTTTTTCGGGAAAAAATATCTTGCTAGCTAAAGTCAATGTTCCATTCTTTTCTGGCATAACTTTGATTTTTATGTTAAATAGACGACAAATATAACTTTTTTATTTTTAGACGATGCCCCCGCCTCCAAAGAACGGCATGATCGTTGTGCCGAAGGTACTTTTAAATACAGGGTGAACCTTCTATCATTGGGATAATTTACAAATACATGGTGAACCTTCTAGCATTGGAATAATTTACAAATACAGGGTGAACCTTCTAGCATTGGGATAATTTACAAATACAGAGTGAACCTTCTAGTATTGGGATAATTTACAAATACAGGGTGAATCTTCTAGTATTGGGATAATTTACAAATACAGGATAAACCTTCTAGCATTGGGATAATTTACAAATACAGAGTGAACCTTCTAGCATTGGGATAATTTACTAATACAGGGTGAACCTTCTAGCATTGGGATAATTTACTAATACAGGGTGAACCTTCTAATATTGGGATAATTTACAAATACAGGGTGAACCTTCTAGCATTGGGATAATTTACTAATACAGGGTGAACCTTCCAGCATTGAGATAATTTACTAATACAGGGTGAACCTTATATTATTGGGATAATTTACAAATACAGGGTGAACCTTCTAGCATTGGGATAATTTACTAATACAGGGTGAACCTTCCAGCATTGGGATAATTTACAAATACAGGGTGAACCTTATATTATTGGGATAATTTATAATTACAGAGTGAACTTTCTAACAAAGGAATAATTTATAAATACAGGGTGGAGCTTCTAACGTTAAGATAATTCATAATACAGGATGAACCTTCTAACATTGGGATAATTTTTAAATACAGGGTGAACCTTATAACAATGATTTATTTCAGTATTTCATGACAATTTAAAAAAATAATTTTTGCGTTTTAAACCTTTAAAGGAACGAAGTTTTTGTCACAAACTCAAATTTTATAATCCCTATATCTTTGCAACCCGATAGTCTAAACCTTGAATTTTTAAAACTATTCTTAATTTGACATATGCAAGTTCTACGACATCGAGTTACAAAGTTATTTAGAGATTTAAAAATGTGATTAACTTAATTTGTGTTTAATAGAGTAATAGAGTACATTACATTATTTGTAATAGAGTACATTACTTACAAAGTTACAATTGCTTTGTATGTTTGCTTTTTAATTTCAGGTGTTCGGTCAATACAAGACTTCTCTGAGTAAACGCAAATCTCAACTAAAGCTAGACAACAATTTATCTGATTTTATATAAATATCTAGATGGTTCATGGTTCTGTTGGATTATATCAGTGTAAGGACGGGTTCCGACTCCTTGGTAAAAATATAACAACGTGTAACTACGGCAACTGGAGCACCAATCCACCAGAATGCCAGGAAATCATTCAAATATCAAATCATAAACTTTTTGATGTAAATACACATATTTTTTACCTAACCTAAGGTCTGCAATGCTTGGTCTAGAAATTCATCGTAATCACATTTTAAAGTTATGATTTCTTTCATTTTATATATAGTTATCCTTACGATGGGTTCCGTCCATGCACTGGGTATCCAAATCCTTCTCACCAAAAGACAACCCTTCTTCTTTTGATCAATAGATAAAGGCAAACCTTATGTTGTAAATATTTTATTTTTTAAACTTTGAATATTTGATCGGGCAGAATTCATTGTTTGACATATTTAAGGATTACAAAATTATAGTCTGAGGTGAGTAACCAGCTAGTTAGCATGATAACTGATCAGGAAAATTATAATCTGAGGTGAGTAACCAGCTAGTTAGCATGATAGCTGATCAGGAAAATACAACCCTGAGGTGAGTAACCAGCTAGTTAGCATGATAGCTGAACAGATAAATACAACCCTGAGGTGAGTAACCAGCTAGTTAGCATGATAGCTGAACAGGAAAATACAACCCTGAGGTGAGTAACCAGCTAGTTAGCATGATAGCTGAAAAGGAAAAGATTGTTCAGAGTTTCTTTTCCTTTGAGAAATCTTTATCGAAAACATCATTGTTCTATAATGTTCCATTATTTTCGGTTCAATTGTAACAATGCTAAAAAAAGGTGGACGTAGCTAATGTCACAGTGATTTAAAGGCCTCATGCTCTCGATCAAAAATCGATGAGAGTTTTCCCAATTACTTCTTAAAAAACAAGGCAAAAACAACTAGCGCTTAATAGTGCTAAAATGTGCATTTAAAGGGCTACAAAAAAAAGGCTGAAGTGAGTTAGAGGGGTAAAATCAAAGCCTAAGGCGTTGCGACATTTCAAAGTCGACCCTGTCTTAAAATTGATGAGACTTATTTTAAGCAGACTGAATCTATATTGTGTCTCTTATCTCAGATCCAACTCAAGTCATGTGAATCCCGGAATCAAAAATTTATCTCCATCTTATCCAAACCTAAGAATTAATTCCATTTCTCTTCGATATCCCGTAATATTCGTACTTTTGATTGAGGTATCAAGCATTTATCCACATTAAAAAAGGCCCCATTGTATATTGATATCAATCGTTCAAGATATACGATTCTCCACATACAAGTTCCTACCCTTTGTTTTCCGTTTAACTAACTTCTAAGAGAAAGGACTTGAGTTTTTGCCACAAACTTTGATTTCTTATCCAAATATCCTTGCAACCAGATGTTGTTGAACTTTAATATTTCTAACTTTGAATTCTGTTAGATAAAATAGTCTAAGTTTGAAATATCAAAGGTTTACATCGCCAGGTTGCAAAGATATAGCTGAGTTTGTGACAAAAACTCAGCTCCGTTCTTTAAAAATATTCTGTTATGTTTGTTCACTTAAATGGACTGACGACGTTATTTCAAATAACTCTTTGTGTCCGATTCACAGCGGTAACATTTAAACTATTTGAGTTTAAATGAGCAAGATATCGTCCTTTTTTTATCCTTTTTCTTCATTGGCTCTGCAGCATAAATGCCTAAGTTAGTTTTATAGATAAATTACAATTGATAATCAATGTCAGCTAGAAAAACGCATTCATCCTTGATCAGACAATGGATATGGCAGGGTACCTTTGTGTATCGAACAATTCAGATTTTTATTCTTAATTCTCAAAAGAAAATATGTCAATTGTCCGCAAAAATCTGTTCATAATTGTTGCAAAGTATTTTTCTAATGGAAGCATATAAATTGTTTGGAGATTCCCTTTTCGCTCAATTTCCCAGAATATCAGTTCTGAACCTTTTATCAGTAAAGTTTTGTTTATAACTTTAATCCGAGATAGAAACATTTTTGTGGTTAATCTCGGGATCAAGTATTTATCCGTTTATTTGTTATTATAAATTGGAGGCTGCATGTGCAAAATTTGGGCCTTTTATCTCAAATTTTAGAACCAAACACATATCCTGTTCAAAATTTGATGTCATAAGGGGTGGGGGGCATTTGACATGTTGGGGGGTTTTGATGATTTTACTGTTTTAAACTAACTTGACCTAAGAGAACAAATTCGAATTAAATTTTGAATTTTAAACTTTTAAAAAATGGTTGAATCGCTGATTGAATGATGAGCCCAGGAGGTGTTCTGTCCCTTCCCTGGCTACCTACCCAACGGAAAGGTTAAAATTTTAAACACTTCATATATAAAACTTTGTTAATATATTATCCTTAACTTTAAACAGGCATTATAAAGAAATATTTGATAAATTAATAAAAACTGCTTCACAAACATCTTTCATCTAAAAGAAAGGTAAAAGAAAGAAAAAAGAATTAAGTATTTGCTACAAACCCAAATTTTCTCATTCCTATATCTTAGGAACCTAATGGTGTAACTCTTTGATGTTTAAAACAGAATTCATAGTTTAAAAAAAACTAAGGTCTAAAACGTATGGTTAAAAATATATATCGATAAGAAAATCAGAGTGTGTGGCAAAGGCTCAATTCCTTTAGTTACTTTTTAACTTTCTTACTTTTTTCTTGATGTCAAAATGTTAGTTTTTTAAAAGCTTGTGGGAGTGGGCAATATATCTTCAGCAAAATATAAAATTAATGTATTCGATCCTATATTCTTCCCTGTTAAAAACACCATTAGATTGACCTTTTTGTTTTTACAAGTAAATTTTGATTTTCTCTTTGTCAAACTAAAGTACTTTATGATTATTTTAATAATTAATAATACTTAATCGTCTTTAAATTGTAATATCTAGTGCAGTACATGTTATACATACATGCAGTACATACAATGAGAATCAGAAAACTATAAAATGGGAAGACGACCTTTAAACTCATTTCATAACTCTACTTAGTCCAATGAACATAAGACACAGTAATTGTGCAGTGTAAACAGACCCATTTTTCTTTAAAAGTGATTTAATAAGGTACTTGCAAAATTATTTGCTTTGTATCGTCAAATAACTTAAATACTGCTTTTTTGTCGTCTTCCTATTCCACAGTTTACTGGTTGTCACTGTACTAAACTAATTTTGTACTGCAGGTTCTTCTGGTAGTCACTGTACTATACTAATTTTGTACTGCAGGTTCTTCTGGTAGTCACTATACTATACTAATTTTGTACTGCACGTTCTTCTGGTAGTCACTATACTATACTAATTTTGTACTGCACGTTCTTCTGGTAGTCACTATACTATACTAATTTTGTATTACAGGTTCTTCTGGTTGGAAATATGGGACTGTATGACTATAGACCCTATGTCAAGAGGATTAGTAATGACAGACAGATTATGTTTGATTGTAATAAAGAATTCAGAATTGATGAAGGTAACTTAAAGGAACTGTCGGCGTTATTTCAAAAGTTACATACCTCATTCATATCTTTTCCAAAGGTTCACGTAAAATGTTGGAGATATCCTTATTTGATCCTTTTCAATTGCAAATTTTTACAGTAAAGACAAAAAGGGAAAGGAATTGACTCTTTGCCACAAACTCTGATTTTCTAATCCCAATATCTTTGGAACACAATGTCGTAAACCTTTGATATTTCAAACCTATATTTTTTGATCTAACAAAAGTCATAGTTTGAAATTTCAAAGGTTTACGACGTAGGAATCCAAAGATATAGGGATTAGAAAATCAGAGTTTGTTGCAAAGAGTCAATTCCTTTATCATAAAAAATTACAAGTAAGACAGTTCTTGAATCGGCTGTGTGTCTCTTTAAAAGGAAGACTTTTGGAATGAAATCAACCATCCCTTTAATTATGTTGAATAGTTTAACATACGAATATTTTCTTTCGTAATATTAAAGTAAAAGAATGTTTAAGTTTTGTTCTAATTTTGTGTTAAAAATGTATTCTATACTGTTAGAAGGCCCACGGGGAGCAACATGCATAGATGGAAGATGGAGTCCTAGTCATATACCAGTCTGCCTTCCTGATAATCATCCTAATATTAGGTAATATACTTCCTGATTATCATCCTTATATTAGGTAATATACTTCATGATAATAATCCTAATATTAGGTAATATACTTCATGATAATATCATAATATTAGGTAATATACTTTCTGATAATCATCATAATATTACGTAATAATACTTCCTGATATTCATCCTAATGCTACAGTTAGGTTGTGAGATTGTGAGATTGTATTAGATCCTGGATTCCTGATCCTACAGCTAGGTTGTGAGATTATATTGGATCCTGTATTCCTGATCCTACAGCTAGATCGGGAGATTGTATTGGATATTGGATTCCTGATCCTACAGCTAGGTTGTGAGATTATATTGGATCCTGTATTCCTGATCCTACAGCTAGATTGGGAGATTGTATTGGATATTGGATTCCTGATCCTACAGCTAGGTTTAGAGATTATATTGGATCCTGTATTCCTGATTCTACAGCTAGATTGGGAGATTGTATTGGATCCTGTATTCCTGATCCTACAGCTAGGTTGGGAGATTGTATTGGATCCTGTATTCCTGATCCTACAGCTAGGTTGGGAGATTGTACTGGATATTGGATTCCTGATCTTAAACCTAGGTTGGTGAGGTTCTATTGGATCCTGTATTCCTGATCCTACTGCTAGCTTGTGAGGTTCTATTGGATTTTGTATTTCTGATCCTACAGCTAGCTTGTGAGGTTATATTGGATCCTGTATTCCTGATCCTACAGCTAGGTTGGGAGGTTCCATTGAATCTGGTATGGAAGGCGTAAAGGAGTTTAAGGGCTGTGTAGAGTGTAAGTTAATGCAGGGATACCCACAAATAATACGACTTTAATGACGACCTAAAACTCTTATATTTGTCGAGCTGAGATGTCGAATATGGCTTTCCCGCCGTGTCACATGATATACTAGATGATTTGTCAAATATAAGTCAAGTTATGTTGTACAGGGAAAAAGAGTAAATTATGTAAAGTCGTATGAATCTCATTCTTAATGGGTAACCCTGTATTCCTATTGTAGACCAGTAAAGTGTATGGTATTAAGAGGATGTATTCAATCTGGGGTTTATAAATAAAAACTCATTATTTTACAACAATAAGGTTTCAGCCTCGTTCTTCCATCATTCCTTTCTCGTTTCGTTGTTATTTATTTCTTTCAAACATTCTCATGTTCAATTTTCATTTTTTCATTATTACATTCATTTTTGTCAAATTCTTGTCTATCTTAATTTTTCGAGTTACTTTTTTCAATATCTTGAATTTTGTCTATTGCCACTTATTGGATATTTTTATTACCCTTAAAACGACATTTTAGCATTTTTTTCAATGATCTATATACACTGCACAATTGCTGTGCTGTGTTGTCGTCTCTCTATTCCACAGTTTTATGGGTCTTACTGTATACGTAAATATGTAATTCACCTTTTCCTCATTAGTCTTCTGGTTTTATTCTGAATACTACAAAGAAATTACTTTCATAAACCATTGTTTAGTTTTCTATTTACCATCAAAACCTCCTCTTTTTATAAACTTCTGTGAACCAACATATTTTAAATTATTTCTTTCTTTTAAATGTTAAAATGATATTCGCTGTTTGTAATATAGATTGTGGTAATGTTCCCACAACTTTCATTTACAAAGTTTTATAAATTTTTACTTAAAGGGACTGTAAACGTTTTTTAAACTGATCTTTTTTTACATAATATCCTGTCAGATTCATTTATATCTGTAAAGGACTGAAGGGATCCGTCTTCAGACATGCCATTCATCAAAGGATATTATATTAAACTAGCTTTCTTGGGAACCCAACTTTGCTTGGAAACTGAACTTTTTCTATAAACGTCAATCCAATTATGTTGAAATTTTAAAATCAACCTAAAATATTTCCGTGGTATTACCAAATAGAAAAGGAATTGGGCTTTACCACAAACTCTGATTTTCTAAACTCTATTTCATTTTATTCTATAAATTCTGTTAGATCAAATAATCTAAGTTTGAAATATCATCAGATGTCAAAGAAAAAGGGATTAGATAATTTCGATTTGTGGCAAAAACTCAATTCCTTTGAGGCAAATCGATCAAGTGGTTCTTGAGTTGTAAACAAACAAACAAACAAACACCATAACCGACAAACACAGATTACTAGTTTCTATATATATAGATTATATTTTTAGATGGTTGAATAAGAGAGAGGTTGAAAAGAGCGATGTTGCGGAGATATTACAGGAATTATCTGCTGGTTTAAACCAAGGGTGGAGCAACGACAAAAAGAAAAGAGTTAAACGAAGCCTGATCAGAAGAAGAAGAGAAGCAAAAGGTAAATATATATTTTATAATTTTAAAATCATGTTATAATCTCTATATATACTTTGCTTGTCTGGGTGTCTATCTGTTTGTTTGTTTGTATCCAATAAACGTCAAAACGGCTGAACCGATCGGGCCCAAACCCATCCTTAAACCCCATCAGGGAAGGTTTATGGATGATCAAAATTGCAAAAATTACCCTCAAACAAAATCCACGAACTCTTTTCATAAAACTCCCTAACATTTTTTTTACAATGTATACAAAGAGAAAATGTTTTTAATTAAAATAGAAGATGCGCGCAAAGCGTCTGAAAGTCATCAAACCTTTTTTTGTGTTATCCTCATTTTAACCTTCCAGATTCGCAAAATGAACTGAGTTTTTGCAACAAACTCAAATAATCTAATCATTTTTGTATCCTGATGATGTAAACCTTTGATATTTCTAACTTCAACTATTTTATCTAACTGAATTCATAGTTTAAAATTGGGATGCACAGATATAGGGATTAAATAATCAGAGTTTGTGACAAAGTTTCTTTTTAATATAATGGGATAAATGATTTTTTTTTATTTCCAGATGGTGATTGTTCACAACTAGAAAACGATCTTCTGAGCTTAGAGTTGGTTAAAGCAGGGAAGGAAGGACCGGAGTACTATAGAAACGGTGCAAATGTCAAGGTAATGTTAACTTTAGGTTACTTACTACTGCTAGTACTCTGGTTCTGGGCTAGAGCTAAGGCTAAGGAACATTAAGGTAAAACTTCTCCGGGGTGGAACTAGAGTACTACAAGATCAGCATTAAAGTTAGGGTTAAATATCTCCGGGGTAGAACTAGAGTACTAATAACTAGATCAGAGCTAAATTTAAAGCAAGGTCCTTATCACAGTAAGCTATTACTTTTGATCCAACTCTGATTTTCTAAACTCTATATCTTTTCAACCCCACGTCGTAGATCTTATATATATCAAAATATGAATTAAAATAATAATAAAAAACTACGTTTGAAATATCAAAGGTTTACACCATTACAGGCCGCAACGATATAGGGATAAGAAAATTTAAATTTGTTTCAAAGACTCAATTTCTTGGCGGTGGATGTGTTTTAAAGGAAAAATATTAACAAATAACACCTGGTTGGTCCAGGATGAGTGGAACTAATATTTAGGGTCTATATAGAGTTCAGGGTTTAATCCAAGTCCAGATTAATGCTTGGTGGTGGGAGCAGGCTATACATAGGTTGAGGGTTTACTCCAGGTCCAGATTAATGCTAGAGTACCCACACATTACAAGACTTAAAGGGACAGTAAAGGAAAAATGAAAGGGGGTATAGACTGAAAGCTTATCACTTTAGCTCTTGATCGTCACCCATTAAAGTTTTATCTGATGTTCCCGTCTCGAGAAACTGATATAAAACTGTGTCAAATTTATACGAAAATTAATATATATACAATTTTGTATAAAAGTAGTGGGTTTAAATAGATCAAATTCAGCAAATAAGCAACCAATCTGAAAACGATAATATCCCCGAGAAAGCTAATTATTACTTAGGTTTACTCCAATTCTAATTTTATATTTGTTATTTCTATTTTTAATAGATTTAATTCATAATATTATTTACACGTCCGAATTGCTTGACCAGAAAATCCACCAATGACAGTGCAGTAAAGTGGTCACGTGATACAGGCAGAGACACGTGATCAGTATACTGCTCTGCCATTGGTGATAGTTCTGGTCACGTGATTTAAGTTTAAGATTTTTTAAATTGTACATATATGAACTTTCGTATGATTTTAACACAGTTTTATATCAATTTCTCGAGATAGTAACATCAGATAAAACTTTCATGGGTCTCGATCAAGAGCTAAAGTGATTAGCTTTCAGCCTATACCCCCTTTCATTTTTCCTTTACTGTCCCTTTAAATGACTCCCTAAAACTTATTAGATGCAACAAATTAAATGTTTAATTTAGAGTTCTGCCTAAAATACAGTCTTTAATTAGTATTCTAAAAGATTTGACAAAGAAAGAAACAATACTCATTTACAGAGAACTATGAATGTTAGAAAAAAAATTAAAATCCTAACATTCGTGTTTGAAGTCTCATTCTTTGTGGGTAACCCTGTTCATACAATGAAGAGTTAAGTTTTTTTTAAATAAGAACAATAGAAATGTTGAACTCGGTGCTAGGATCAAGGATTGGTTTACTCCAGGTTCAAGATTAAACTGACTCCGGAGTCGAGGAATAGATTTATATGTTTTCCTTGGACGATAATATATTTGTTTACCAAATTGAAGAACAACAAAACAAGTTTCAAACTTTTGACAAACCTTTTTGCAATGTAAACATAGCTTTAAAAATCATTTTTGTTCCTATTCAACGGTTTTAATGTTAAGTTAATAACTATTTTTTTATGTTTAAATTCATATTTATTATATTCTAGGTATCCTTTAAGCCTGGATACAAATTTATATACATTGTATTCTAGGTATTCTGTAAACCTGGATACAAATTTTTATATATATATTGTATTCTAGGTATCCTGTAAACCTGGATACAAATTTATATATATTATATTCTAGGTATCCTGTATACCTGGATACACAATTATATATATATTGTATTCTAGGTATCCTGTAAACCTGGATACAAATTTATATATATTATATTCTAGGTATCCTGTTGTTACGCGAGCCATGCTGCGTGTATGAAGTCTATGTGATGCCCCTGTGAGTTTCTGAGTTCTCCCTGCGGATCTGTACAGAATGTATTGTGAAAAACTAGTTTTAGAAGCTGTTTACAGACTGACTACGCAGGCGCAAGATTTCTCGCGTGGGAGTGAATAGTTTTATATTAGTATATGTTTATTTGTCTTGCAAGTTTAACCGTGTCCAGAATTCTGGGATCACTGTGGTAATTATTTCTTATATTTACGTATGCTTATCGGTTGATTATAGTATGATTGATATTTTTTATGTGTTTGTTGGTTCCTTGCCACAGTTTTTTAATGCCTGAGTGGATTATTTGCTGTATTCGTATGATTTATCACTCAAAGCTTTTTCTGTGGGTTTCTTAAACTTATTTAGATTGAAGACTCAGAGATATAAACGTTCGGAACCTTATTATCATCCTTTTGTTATGAAGAGCGTTGAGAGAGGGAAGTCTTACGATCCGGTCCTGAGAAATACCACACGGTATAGATATTAGGTCTTTTAGGGAAATCGCAAGTAGCGAAACATTCAATCACAACCTTGTAGGTTTGAGAGAGGGAAGTCTTACGATCCGGTCCTGAGAAATACCACACGGTATAGATATTAGGTCTTTTAGGGAAATCGCAAGTAGCGAAACACCTGTATACCTGGATACACAATTATATATATTGTATTCTAGGTATCCTGTAAACCTGGATACACACTGAAGATATCCAAGTTTAAATATCGCTGCAGGAAATCATCTTAAATAATTTTTAATGCTTAAAAGAATATTTACGAAAAAGGAATTAAACACTTCCCTCGGACGTTCTAATCCTTATATCTTTGCGTTCTCATAGCGCGCGCAGAAACCTGGATATTTTTAAATTAGGAATTCTGCTACTTCTAATAGTCAGGTTTTTGACATATTAAAATATTAATCCCGAGGCTAAGATCTGAAGTTTTGTTAACCTCTAAACTTTTTTGTTTTGTTTTCCCTCAATTTATTACACTTTTATATCCCAATATAAGGTAAACCTAAATTAATGACAGGTATTAAACCTCGCAGATGGAACCAAAAATTAGGATAAAGTCCAGAAAAACATTCTTAAAGGGACTGAAACGTAATTTTAAGGTTCCTTCTATCTATAAAGTGGAATGTCCGATTCCCAAAGGTATCCTTAAAAACTATCTGCTCAAGATTGGTTTAGATATCCACCATCGTTTTTACAAAATTTTTGATTTTCAATTTACAGTTATAGATTCTCTTTAGAAGTTAGTTGCGGATTTCTTGTTAGAGAAAAAATTAAAGAAATTATGAGAATTGAACTCTTTCCACAATTAAAAATAAGAAAATGTTATTTATGTTCATTTAATCTTGACATTTTCTACATTTCATATAGTTTATTCAAGTCCCCTTATTCACTCTTAACATTTTCTACATTTCATATAGGTTATTCAAGTCCCCTTATTCACTCCTGACATTTTCTACATTTCATATAGTTTATTCAAGTCCCCTTATTTACTCTTGACATTTTCTACATTTCATATAGTTTATTCAAGTCTCCTTATTCACTCCTGACATTTTCTACATTTCATATAGTTTATTCAAGTTTCCTTAGTCACTTTTGACATTTTCTACATTTCATATAGTTTATTCAAGTCCCCTTATTCACTCTTGACATTTTCTACATTTCATATAGTATATTCAAGTCCCCTTATTCACTCCTGACTTTTTCTACATTTCATATAGTTTATTCAAGTCCCCTTATTCACTCTTGACATTTTGTACATTTCATAAAGTTTATTCAAGTCCCCTTATTTACTCTTGACATTTTCTACATTTCATATAGTTTATTCAAGTCCCCTTATTCACTGCTGACATTTTCTACATTTCATATAGTTTATTCAAGTCTCCTTATATACTATTGACATTGTCTACATACATTTCATATAGTTTATTCAAGTCTCCTTATTCACTCTTGACATTTTCTTCATTTCATATAGTTTATTCAAGTCCCCTTATTCACTCCTGACATTTTCTACATTTCATATAGTTTATTCAAGTCCCCTTATTTACTCTTGACATTTTCTCTATTTCATATAGTTTATTCAATCTCCTTATTTACTCTTGACATTTTCTACATTTCATATAGTTTATTCAAGTCCCCTTATTCACTCCTGACATTTTCTTCATTTCATATAGTTATTCAAGTCCCCTTATTCACTCTTGACATTTCATACATTTCATATAGTATATTCAAGTCCCTTTATTCACTTTTGACATTTTCTACATTTCATATAGTTTATTCAAGTCTCCTTATTCACTCTTGACATTTTCTACATTTCATATAGTATATTCAAGTCCCCTTATTCACTCCTGACATTTTGTACATTTCATATAGTTTATTCAAGTCCCCTTATTTACTCTTGACATTTTCTACATTTCATATTGTTTATTCAAGTCCCCCTATTCACTCCTGACATTTTCTACATTTCATATAGTTTATTCAAGTCTCCTTATTTACTATTTACATTTTCTACATACATTTCATATAGTTTATTCAAGTCTCCTTATTCACTCTTGACATTTTCTTTCAAGTCCCCTTATTTACTCTTGACATTTTCTCTATTTCATATAGTTTATTCAATCTCCTTATTTACTCTTGACATTTTCTACATTTCATATAGTTTATTCAAGTCCCCTTATTCACTCCTGACATTTTCTACATTTCATATAGTTAATTCAAGTCCCCTTATATTTACTCCTGACATTTTTCTACATTTCATATAGTTTATGCATGCTTAGCTGAGATAAATAGTTCTTCTAGTTTTATATGTAAACATATTAAACTAAATTTCCCTCCTGAGAACTTATACATTCACAACTTAGTTCACAGTTTCAACTACTTTCTTAATTATTTAAACTTTAACCCTGAAAGGGATTGAATTACAGGATAAACTGTGTCTGATAAGATTTATAAAAAGAAAATTAAAGTTCGCCTAAAGTCTTAAATTTCCGACCCTATCTTAGCAACCTGACGTCGTAGACCCTTTCTTTAAAAATAAGTAGTTTTTGTCAGAGCTTTATTTTAAACAGAATTTTGAATTATTTAATTTAGTTTTAAAATATCTAAGAAAAAGAAATTAAGTCATTGCCACAAACTCAAATTTTCTCATTCCTATATATCTGCAACCTGATGATGTAAACCTTTGCTTTTTCAAACTTAGATATTTTTATCTAATTGAAATCATAGAATGACATATCTAAGGTCTATGAGATTGGGTTGCAATGATATATAGGGATTAGATAAACGGAATCAGAAATCAGAATTTGTGTTAAAGACTTAACGAATGGTGTTTACGAACATCTTTGTAAAAAATTTCATTTTACGATTGAAGATTTTAAAAATTCTTACAATGTCTACATGGACAGAAATTTAAGTAAGGGACTGTAAATGTAATTTCCTATGATCTTCTATTTCAAAAGGGACATTCACAATTCCATCATGGTTTTCAAGAAATCGAATTTGAAAATTTATATTCTACCACTTCTAGAAAGAAAACATTAATGTTCCCTAAATATAAGACAATATAAAGTGTTTTTTCAACATTCTTACTTTATATAATCCACTTTTTCAACATTCTTACTTTATAGAATCTACTTTTTCAACATTCTTACTTATATAATCCACTTTTTCAACATTCTTACTTTATATAATCCCCTTTTTCAACATTCTTACTTTATATAATCCCCTTTTTAACATTCTTACTTTTTATAATCCCCTTTTTGAACATTCTTACTTTATATAATCCACTTTTTCAACATTCTTACTTTATATAATCCACTTTTTCAACATTCTTACTTTATATAATCCCCTTTTCAACATTCTTACTTATATAATCCACTTTTTTAACATTCTTACTTTATATAATCCCCTTTTTCAACATTCTTACTTTTTCAACATTCTTACTTTATATAATCCACTTTTTTTCAACATTCTTACTTTATATAATCGACTTTCTTCAACATTCCTACTTTATATAATCCACTTTTTCAACATTCTTACTTTATATAATTCACTTTTTTTCTAAATAAAAATGTGAAAGATGAAATTTTGATTGACAGGAAAGGAGAATGGAAACCTGAGGAGCCTGTTTGTCAACTGGAATTTTGCCTGGTAACAATCTTGAAATTATTTCATTTTTTTTCATTTTTCTTTTTAATGTCTTGATTAGAGTTTAACATAGTTTTGACACTAATGCTAGATTTTCATACTTTGAAGATTTTCAATAAGAAACCCTTATTATTTTCAGAAGCAAAACTGATTTTTATTTTATTTTTAGAAGTTTTTTATAAAAATTAATCAAATCAAATCATTTATTACAATATGTAAAATATAATTTTCCGCAGCAGGCGGACTCAATAGCCTGGGGCTGTTTTAGCTGAGCACCCTTGTTAACCAAAATCTTGAATTGAATGATAACATAAAAAAAACAGATACACAAAAAGAACTAAGGAGAAAAATCAGCGCAGCATGAATCGAAGGTTGGGTATGAAGACAGGGAGAGATTCATAACGTAAACAGAGAGTAATTAATGTATTGGATTTAAAGTAAGATCTCGGGCAACAGCAACTCCGACTTAGAAATTAAGGAGGGGAAATTAAACTATAACTATAACTATAATTTCAAGAAAGATTTGGGAATTTTCTTTTCTACGTTTTTGAGGAAGCTTGTAAAATATCTTTAAATATATTTATTTCAATGTTTTGCAGTTTTATGTGTGCAAAGTGACATATGTTATTTTGCACAACTTTCAAACTTAAGTTAAAGTTGGCAAAAATTTGCAAATATTTTATTATTGGAAAATTGTTAACATTTTTTTCTAAATTTTCTTTTTAAAATATTCTTATAATACAAGAACTATTTTACTTGAAAAATATGCACTTAATGTACTCGCCAACATAACTTTAAGGTTTTAAAGAGTTTTGTGTCATACTAGCTTGGGAAACCAGTGTTTCCCAGGTTACTCCTTGTTACTAACGCCGTTTACCCGCGCTTGGTCGTAATTTACGATTTTCGCTATTTTTCACTATTAAGTAAACCTACTCAACTTAGGATCTTAAAACCAAGCTAAGAACATTTCCGAGGTTCTCCCGAGTTCCCCAATCAAAATTTGAGGCAAGTCGGTCAAGGGGTTCATGAGTTATGATCGGACATCCAAACAGCTAGACACACAAACAGAGATTACTACTTTATTAATATGTATCGATTCTGATTATTCAAGAAGCTTTATATAAATAGTTTAAAGAATGGAAAAATATGGTTGAATTATAAAATATTTAGCAATGTTATGTTTTGTTGTTGTTTAAATATAAAATTTGTTGTTTTTATATTTATGTTTATAAAATGAATATCTGAGGAACCAGAATTTGTGTTATATAATATTTTCGCCTGTTTTTTGGCACTCCCGGTACATATCTTGATACAACATATATATTGAGTTAGTATAAGTTTAAGTTTGATCAGATAACTTGTCAGTTCTATACATTCATTCAACTTTCTCTCGTTCCTTTCTTATTTATTTTATCTTCTTCGAGATTTCATGGTTTTCCTTTCTTTATCTCAATCTTTTCCTCCTTTCTTTGTTTTCCTTTATTTATCTCAATCTTTTCCTCCTTTCTTTGTTTTCCTTTACTTATCTCAATCTTTTCCTTCTTTCTTAGTTTTCCTTTACTTATCTCAATCTTTTCCTCCTTTCTTAGTTTTCCTTTACTTATCTCCTTCTTTTCCTCCTTTCTTAGTTTTCCTTTCTTTATCTCAATCTTTTCCTCCTTTTTTGTTTTCCTTTATTAATCTAAATCTTTTCCTTCTTTCTTAGTTTTCCTTTAATATTTTCAATCTTTTCCTTCTTTCCTTGTCTTCCTTTATTTATCTCAATCTTTTTATCCTTTCTTAGTTTTCCTTTACTTATCTCAATCTTTTCCTCCTTTCTTAGTTTTCCTTTATTTATCTCAATCTTTTCCTCTTTTCCTTGTCTTCCTTTATTTATCTCAATCTTTTTCTCCTTTCTTAGTTTTCCTTCATTAATCTCAATCTTTTCCTTCTTTCTTAGTTTTCCTTTAATATTCTCAATCTTTTCCTTGTCTTCCTTTATTTATCTCAATCTTTTTCTCCTTTCTTAGTTTTCCTTTATTTATCTCAATCGTTTTCTCCTTTCTTAGTTTTCCTTTATTTATCTCAATCTTTTCCTCCTTTCTTAGTTTTCCTTTATTTATCTCAATCCTTTCCTCCTTTCTTAGTTTTCCTTTATTTATCTCAATCTTTTCCTCCTTTCTTAGTTTTCCTTTATTTATCTCAATCTTTTCCTCCTTTCTTAGTTTTACTTTATTTATCTCAATCTTTTCCTCCTTTCTTAGTTTTCCTTTACTTATCTCAATCTTTTCCTCCTTTCTTAGTTTTCCTTTATTCATCTCAATCATTTCCTTCTTTCTTAGTTTGCCTTTATTCATCTCAATCTTTTCCTCCTTTCTTAGTTTTCCTTTATTTATCTCAATCTTTTCCTCCTTTCTTAGTTTTCCTTTATTCATCTCAATCTTTTCCTCCTTTCTTAGTTTTTCTTTATTCATCTCAATCCTTTCCTCCTTTCTTAGTTTTCCTTTATTTATCTCAATCCTTTCCTCCTTTCTTAGTTTTCCTTTATCTATCTCAATCTTTTCCTCCTTTTTTAGTTTTCCTTTACTTATCTCAATCTTTTCCTCGTTTCTTAGTTTTTCTTTATTCATCTCAATCCTTTCCTCCTTTCTTAGTTTTCCTTTATTCATCTCAATCTTTCCCTCCTTTCTTAGTTTTCCTTTACTTATTTCAATATTTTCCTCCTTTCTTAGTTTTCCTTTATTTATCTCAATCCTTTCCTCCTTTCTTAGTTTTCCTTTATTTATCTCAATCTTTTCCTCCTTTTTTAGTTTTCCTTTACTTATCTCAATCTTTTCCTCCTTTCTTAGTTTTCCTTTATTTATCTCAATCTTTTTCTCCTTTCTTAGTTTTCCTTTACTTATCTCAATCTTTTTCTCCTTTCCTTGTTTTCCTTTATTTATCTCAATCGTTTTCTCCTTTCTTAGTTTTCCTTTATTTATCTCAATCTTTTCCTCCTTTCTTAGTTTTCCTTTACTTATCTCAATCTTTTCCTTTTTTCTTTGTTTTCCTTTTGTAATATCAAACTTTTTGTGTTAACCCTATACCATCCCACCATAACTACCCCTTTTCTTCTTTATCTCCTTTTTCTACCTTGTTCTATTTTCAGTCAAAGCTGGATTCCCAAGCTAGTAAATAAAAAAGATATTGTTAATTCTCACAAATCTAAAAGCAGTCCTTTTTCAATCTTGTGCAAGCATAATACATATAAACACTTATGTATAGAACATATTCTTGGTACAGGTATTTTGTCAACCTTGAAGTTTGTATCCCCATTATGTCTTCAATCTCCCCAACAATCTCATTTTAAAATTCTATTTTACTAAATAAAGAGGTTCCCAGAAAACAATGGAATTAAGGTAGGTTTATGTCTTCCTTTTATCATTAAATGTCTTAAGAATTTGTAATCAGCAACTCTCTAGAGAAGGACTCATAAAACTGGGAAACATAAAGACGATATTGTAGGAATTTAATGGTATTTGATGTTGTTAAAAAAATATAGTGTTATCAGTTCTTTCATTAGTTATAATTCGATCATTAAAAATTATAAAAAAAAACTAATATTTTTTAGGTTCCGCGGATAGAGAATGGTTTAGTTCGAAAGGAGGATCAGGCTGAAGATGGAGAAGGAGTAGAACTAGGAGAAGGAAACCATGTACAAGGTGGAGAAGATGTTTATGTATCCTGCAACCCTGGATATAAGCTCCGAGGTCCGTCTTCTATGCAATGTGGGGGAGGGGGAGGAGGAGTAGGTTGGAATATACCAAGGTAGGTTTAAACTACAACAGGATGTTTTTAAAAGTAAGGGAGTCTTTGCCACAAACTCTAATCTTATTAGCCCTATATCTATCCAGCCCAATGCCGTATGACCTTTGATATTTCAAACTATGAGTTTTGTTGGATAAAATAATTTAAGTTTTAAAAATATCAAAGTTTACACAATCAGGTTGAAAAGATAGAGGGATTAGAAAATTTGAGTTTGGGGCAAAGACTCAATTCCTTTACCAATTTAAATACAATTAAATTAACTGAACCAACATTTCGCTCATTTCGTTACCGAAAAGATGGTCTGGCAAATATTGATATTGCTTTTTAAACGTTCAGGGATTTTGGCTTCAGGATCCAGCCCCACACAATTACATAAGAATTTTATCATATTTTAATTTGTTCATGTCTGCTTTTATAACACAATGCAAAATGTTGACAATTTTTCAAAACGTTCGTTTGTTCGGTAGGTTTTACATCGTTCAGGTTTATATCATCTTAAGTCAGAGTTGACATTCTGCATCATCTTTTAGAATCAAACAGAAAAAGAACAAAATTTTGAATCATTTTAACCTTCTAAAGGCCAAAGAACCTTAATTTTGAAGAAGAAAAAAATAAAAAACGATTCCCTACTCATGTTGGCAAATACCTTTTGTAAGATTAAACCTCTTTCACAGTAAACCAATTCAACTTTTCGAATATACAATTTTCTGGATTTTCAAAACTTTACGAATTCTTAAATATCAGCAATCCAATAGGCCATAGTAAAGCAAATATACCTGTTTGTACTTTCTGAACACTGGTAACACGCAGAGCCTCTTTTTGTATTTTTATTCTATATTTATTGTTTCAAACTTACTCTTCGTTTCTTTAGTTAAACAAGTACGTCAGAGCTTTAAAAAGGAGTTTATTGCTAAATGTTGAAAAATATAAATTAGTTTATTGCTAAATGTTTAAGAAAAATAAAGGAGTTTATTGCTAAATGTTGAAAAATATAAATTAGTTTATTGTTAAATGTTGAAAAATATAAATTAGTTTATTGCTAAATGTTTAAAAAATATAAAGGAGTTTATTGCTAAATGTTTCAGAAATATAAAGGAGTTTATGGCTAAATGTTGAAAAATATAAATTAGTTTATTGCTAAATGTTGAAAAATATAAATTAGTTTATTGCTAAATGTTTAAGAAATATAAAGGAGTTTATTGCTAAATGTTGAAAAATATCAATTAGTTTATTGCTAAATGTTTAAAAAATATAAAGGAGTTTATTGCTAAATGTTGAAAAAATATAAATTAGTTTATTGCTAAATGTTGAAAAAATATATAGGAGTTTATTGCTAAATGTTTAAGAAATATAAAGGTGTTTATTGCTAAATGTTGAAAAAAATATAAAGGAGTTTATTGCTAAATGTTTAAGAAATATAAAGGAGTTTATTGCTAAATGTTGAAAAAATATAAAGGAGTTTATTGCTAAATGTTGAAAAAATATAAAGGAGTTTATTGCTAAATGTTGAAAAAATATAAATTAGTTCATTGCTAAATATTTCAGAAATATTAAGGAGTTTATTGCTAAATGTTGAAAAATATAAAGGAGTTTATTGCTAAATGTTTAAGAAATAAAAAGGAGTTTATTGCTAAATGTTGAAAAAATATAAAGGAGTTTAATGCAAAATGTTTAAAAAATATAAAGGAGTTTATTGCTAAATGTAAAAAGAATATAAAGGAGTTTATTTCTAAATGTTGAAAAATATATAGGAGATTTTTGCTAAATGTTAAAAAAATATAAAGGAGTGTATCGCTAAATGTTGAAAAAATATAAAAGAGTTTTTTTTCTAAATGTTGAAAAAATATAAAGGAGTTTATTGCTAAATGTTTAAAAAATATGAAGGAGTTTATTGATAAATGTTAAAAGAATATAAAGGAGTATTGCTAAATGTTGAAAAATATAAAGGAGATTATTGCTAAATGTAAAAAAATATAAAGGATTTTATTGCTAAAAATGTCGAATAAATATAAAGGAGTTAATTGCTAAATGTAAATTAAATAAAAAGGAGTTCATTGCTAGATGTTGAAAAAATATAAAGGAGTTTAATGCAAAATGTTTAAAAAATATAAAGGAGTTTATTGCTAAATGTAAAAAGAATAAAAGGAGTTTATTTCTAGATTTTGAAAAAATTTATAGGAGATTATTGCTAAATGTAAAAAAATATAAAGGAGTGTATTGCTAAATGTTGAAAAAATATAAAAGAGTTTTTTTTCTAAATGTTGAAAAAATATAAAGGAGTTTATTGCTAAATGTTTAAAAAATATGAAGGAGTTTATTGCTAAATGTTGAAAAATATAAAGGAGTTTATTGCTAAATGTTTAAGAAATAAAAAGGAGTTTATTGTTAAATGTTAAAAGAATATAAAGGAGTTTATTGCTAAATGTTGAAAAAATATAAAGGAGATTATTGCTAAATGTAAAAAAATATAAAGGATTTTATTGCTAAAAATGTCGAAAAAATATAAAGGAGTTTATTGCTAAATGTAAAAAATATAAAGGAGTTTATTACTAAATGTAAAAAAGTATAAAGGAGTTTATTGCTAAATGTTTAAAAAATATGAAGGAGTTTATTGATAAATGTTAAAAGAATATAAAGGAGTTTATTGCTAAATGTTTAAAAAACATAAAGGAGATTATTGCTAAATGTAAAAAAAATATAAAGGATTTTATTGCTAAAAATGTCGAAAAAATATAAAGGAGTTTATTGCTAATGTAAAAAATATAAAGGAGTTTATTGCTAAATGTAAAAAAGTATAAAAGAGTTTATTGCTAAATGTAAAAAAATTTAAAGGAGTTCATTGCTAGATGTTGAAAAAATATAAAGGAGTTTATTGCTAAATGTAAAAAAAAATATAAAGGAGTTTATTGCTAAATGTTGAAAAAATAAAAAAGGAGTTTATTGCTGAATGTTGAAAAAATATAAAGTAGTTTATTGCTAAATGTAAAAAAAACTTAAAACAATTCAGAAAATGTTGTACGTTAAACGATTGCTTTCAGAGAATAAAAAACCTTTTAACAAATCAAAACTAGGTGTGATACATCGCTTTATCCTAATAAAACGTCCCTGGTGTGAAGAATTATCGGATTCTTAAAAATCATAAAAAAAATTATCCATGGTTAAACAAACCATGCTTTAAAAAAGACCTAAGAGCTACCCCTCTTTGTACTTTCTGAACCCTACTAACCCGCATAGTTTCTTCTTGTACTTTTATCCTAGGTTTATCATTTCAAACATACACTTCTTTTCATCAGTTCTCTAGACACAACCTCTCAAGGATACAAAGGTTGCAAAGGTTAAGTCAAAACTCGAGAAGAAATATTTCAATTACTCGATAAAAAACAAGAATTTTAGAAGATCTAAAATTTTCATATCAAAGGCTATACAAATCATAATTGAGTTTGTGAGGTAAAACCAAAGGCCAAGGCGTTGCGACACTTCAAAGTCGAACCAGTCTTAAAAATTGACGCAACTATGTGACGGTGACCTTGTAAAAAAAGTATATATAGCCAAAAAAGAAGAAAAAAGATCAGAACAATTGTCGACATGAAATGGTGTAGACGGACGTAAACGATTTTACAGAGAAAAAACTTTTAAAAATTAAAGCTGGTCTTTATCTATTACTTTTTTCTTTTACTGTCCCTCCGTATCAAACGTCCCTGGTGTGAAACTGGTACTCTTTTCAATCGAATTTTTAATTCTAATTAAAAAAAGTTGAACAAGTTTCTAGGAATTGTTGAGTGTTGACGGAACAAAATCTAAAGTTTTAATTTCAGGTTTCCGTCCTGCGAACCTGAACCTTGCTCCTTGCCAAGTATTGAACATGGATATTATTCTCATCCTCATCTCAGGTTAAACAGTAGATCAAGAGAACAGAACCCTAGAAGCCTGATTTTTCTATAAACCTATGGTTTTTACAAATATTTTTATTCGTTGGGACAAGACGAAATTATGAAGTTTGAAGGAAATTTGGAAAAACGACTAGTTTTCCCAAACAATTATCTTTTTTGCGAGTGGAGTGTAGTGGAGTGGGTCTGGGGTTTACAAATTAATATCAAAAAAAGAATAGGGTTTTCTGTAGACATAATATATATTACTATGAAACCTTGGGTTTCTCCAGGCACAGTAAATGTACCCGAGGAGCCTTAAAGGGACTGTAAAGGAAAAATGAAATGGGGTATAGGCTAAACAACTAATCACTTTATGCTCTTGATCGCGACCATGAAAGTTATAGAAATGTATAGAAATAGTAGGTTTAAACAGATCATATTCAGCAAATACACAACTAATCTGAAAACAAAGAAATCCCAGAGAAACCTAATTGTAACTTAGGTTTTCAATTATTATTTTATAATTTTTATTTTTTATTTTAATAGATATATTTGATAATATTATTTATTCACGTCGCAAGAACTCACACCAATGAGAGTGCAGTATACTGGTCGCATGTCTCTGTCTGTATCACGTGACCAGTATTTTGCACTACCATTGGGAGTTCTGGTGACGTAATAATATTATCAGTTATAACTATTAAAAATAAAGATAAAAATTATAAAATAAAAATTGAAGAAAACCTAAGTTACAATTAGGTTTCTCTGGAATATCTTCGTTTTCAGATTGGTTGCATATTTGCTAAATATGACCTGTTTAAACATACTATTTCTATACAAAATTTTATAGATATTTTTTGTATAAATTTGACACAGTTTTTTATCAATTTCTCGAAACAGGAACATCAGAATCAGATAGAACTCTCATGGGTCTCGATCAACTCCTGAAATGCTTAGTTTTTAGCCTTATACCACTTTCATTTTCCTTTACAGTCCTTTTTTGTTGCATAAGTCATCATTGTGGAACAAAGGATTTTCTGAAATCATTATATTTCTTTTCAAACAAGGTATATTTGTACCGGAATCCTTTACGAAATGAAATATGTCTAAAGATATTTTCATGAAAGAAAGGATTTCAAAGACAAGCAAAATGTTCCCCTCGACATTCATTTGAAAAACCAAGGGTTTCTAACTAATTGTCTTCAGAGGTTTGTGTGCTCCTCATTGCATTTTTTGAGATCTTTGCTCCTAAGTGAATTCGGTTTCAGAAATTTGCTCAACCTTGCATTTTTTTCAGACCTTTGTATCTCCGTGTATTCGGTTTGTAGCTTTGCTCTTAATCGCAGTTTTTGAATCCTAAGTGTATTTGGTATCGGAGATTTTCTCCTCATTGCATTTTTAGAGCATTGCTCCTTATTGATTTGAACCATTTTTTTCATTTTTAAACTTGCCCTTTGCTTTTTTGTACGTTCTCTTAAATTGTTACTCAGGAAAACTCTTGTGGTTCTTAAAAAACTCTATTTTAAAAGAAAAAAAAGAAAAAAATTCTTGATATGTTGTTTTTGTTAGCTCTCCTGATAGTCTGCTAGAGGGAGAAAGTATATCCTACTCCTGTCTACCTGGATACCAAAGATCCAACACTGAGTTGACCTGCATGGATGGGTTACTGCTCCCAGGTCAACCTGAGTGCTGGCTAGGTTCACCATCCTCTCTACCTGCCCTTGAACCCTCAATACCTGCCCATCAACTACCTGTTTATCCTGTCCATCAAAACTTTGTAAACCCCAAACTAAAGGTCAGTTAGAAAACAAACAGTGAAAACCAGATAACAGTGGAATTTTTTTTCTTAATTTTTTCCATCTACAATACTTATATTATAAGGGTTAAATAAAACAGATTGTTTATTGAAAGATGTAAACTGTTATTTAAAAAAAATACTAAAATTATGTTAAGTCAAAAAATAATGTTCTTAACTGAGTTAAATGAGAGAAATTGTTAAATAGACCATAGGGGAAGGGGGGGGGGGTCACATTTTCATTCTTAACTTTTATTAAACTTAGAAATAAACATTTCTAAAATTTAGGAAAAATCATTTTGTGCTCCACCAACAGATCTTAACGGAGAACTGTCATTTCTTAACTCTCACCTTCATCACGGAGCAAAAAGTCCTACTCCACACAAACCCGGAGCAAACAGTCCTACTTTACAAAAACCTGGAACAATCAGTCCTGCTCCAGATAAACCTGGATCAAGCAGTTCTGAACCAGTAAACCCGAGTTCTATTAATTCTATAACTTCAACTACCCCCATTCCTAAAGTACTAGATCCTGAACCTATTGTAGGAGCATCCACTAGTAACATCCCACTATCCGTATACCCTCCAGAAACTGTAATGGACTTTGGCTGCATTCTAACCTCGAAGAGTTCCAAAATATCTTGGAAAATTAGGTAAAGTAATTAAATAATGTTAGAGAAGAAAAATCAACAATCGAACGAAATAAGATATAAAAATTGTCGCAAAGGAAATGAAGGAACGGGTGAAATACGCCAACAATTAAATTGTGACGTCAACAGGAATATCAGGAAAACGGAAATCAAAGTTGTGCCAACAAAGCGTATACTGTCAGGAAAATTTTTAGCAAACATATGAAATACACCCTCATTTAACTTTCTTTGCTAAACTGTATTCTGTAAAACTCTTGCGTTCTTTAAATGGTTAATGTTTGAAACAAAAATGTCTCTCCGTTCAAGAGCACAACAAGTTCTTCTAAAAATATTGCAGCAATAATGCCAAAATTACACTTCTCAAATTAGTTCAAGCTCTTTTCAATCGTCTTTTATTAGTACCAACCTTTTAGGAAATGAAATTTAATAAAACATTTTTCAGATTTCATTCGATTGTTTGGTGAATTGTTCAAAAGTGACAAAAAATGAAAATTGTGTCATTTTTTCAGAAAAGATTACGAAATGAAATCGGTTTGGTTAAAGACATGTAACATATTTATTTTACACAATAAAGAAGTATTCAACAACAACAAAAACTAAATATTTCAAGAAAAGAATAACTTATTTTTCTAATCTACGTTCCTTCCCCATTTTATTCCCATTATTTCCTTTTTATCCCCCCCCCCCCCTTGGATCCTGTTTAGAAACTAGTTAAAATACCGGATATTAAACCTAAATCTTTCGCAGTTATTCTTTCCGAAAAATACTAAACCCCTTAAAAAAGAGAGTGTTTATGTAAAGACAGGGGAGCCGCATTTATCACTTTTCTTCCTCCGACCCGCATTTTTTTCTCATCCAAATTTTTTTGTTGCGGTTTACATCTCCCCACTCCACTTCGTCCAAAATTGTTCCAGCACGAGCAGAAGGTTTGACTTTGAACGATGGCTTGGGTTGTTAATGTATAATGTACAAAGGGTTACTCACAGATGAGAGTTAATAGTTGTGACCTGCAACTCATTAATCCTTGTGTATTATATATACAATATATATAATAGTATATATATTACTTTATAGATGTAATACATGTGTTGGCTAAGAATGCGAAAGGTTTAAAGCTTAAAGAAACTATAAGCGTAATTTAAAGTGATTCTTCATGCAAAGATAGAAATTTGCCCAATTTACAATTACTTAAAACCTTAATCTGATCAAAAACGTGGAAGATACTGTCGCTTTCCGCACTTAAAAAATGTTTAATTCTGTTACTTTTTCCATTGCTTATTTAAGCAAGAAATATTAAATTTGATCTGAAAAAGATTTTGAGGGCATTGACATCTATGCATAAAGGGTCACATAAAATGTACACAGTCCCTTAGTAATAGAAATGTTAGAAGACACGCTGAATGGATTTCGTACAATTGTCTTTCATGTAACATCCTTTGTGGGAAACCCGTATAGTAAATTCTATGATGAAGGTGTAGATAAGGGGAGTGGAGGGGTGAATATGTCCTCTATATAATAAATTCTATAATAAAGGTGTAGAGAAGAGGAGTGGAGTGGTGAATATGTCCTCTATATAATAAATTCTATAATAAAGGTGGAGAGAAGGGGAGTAGAGGGGTGAATATGTCCTCTGTATAATAAATTCTATAATAAAGATATAGAGAAGGGGAGTGGAGGGGTGAATATGTCCTCTGTATAATAAATTCTATAATAAAGGTATAGAGAAGGGGAGTGGATGGGTGAATATGTCCTCTGTACAATAAATTCTATAATAAAGGTGTAGAGAAGGGGAGTGGAGGGGTGAATATGTCCTCTGCATAATAAATTCTGTAATAAAAGTGTAGATAAGGGGTGTGGAGGGGTGAATATGTCCTCTGTACAATAAATTCTATAATAAAGGTGTAGAGAATAGGAGTGGAGAGGTGAATATGTCCTCTGTATAATAAATTCTGTAATAAAGGTGAAGAGAAGAGGAGTGCAGGGGTGAATATGTCCTCTATATAATAAATTCTATATTAAAGGTGTAGAGAAGGGGAGTGGAGGGGTGAATACGTCCTCTGTATACTAAATTCTATAATAAAAGTGTAGAGAAGGGGAGTGGAGGGGTGAATATGTCCTCTATATAATAAATTCTATAATAAAAGTGTAGAGAAGGGGAGTGGAGGGGTCAATATGTCCTCTGTATACTAAATTCTATAATAAAAGTGTAGAGAGGGGGTTTGGAGGGGTGAATATGTCCTCTTTATAATAAATTCTATAATAAAGGTGTAGAGAAGAGGAGTGGAGAGGTGAATATTTCCTCTGTATAATAAATTCTATAATAAAGATATAGAGAAGGGGAGTGGAGGGGTGAATATGTCCTCTGTATAATAATTTCTATAATAAAGATATAGAGAAGGGGAGTGGAGGGGTGAATATGTCCTCTGTATACTAAATTCTATAATAAAAGTGTAGAGAGGGGGAGTGGAGGGGTGAATATGTCCTCTTTATAATAAATTCTATAATAAAGGTGTAGAGAATAGGAGTGGAGAGGTGAATATTTCCTCTGTATAATAAATTCTATAATAGAGGTGTAGGAAGGAGAGTGGAGGGGTGAATATGTCCTCTGTATAGTAAATTCTATAATAAAGGTGTAGATAAGGAGAGTGGAGGGGTGAATATGTCCTCTATATAATAAATTCTATAATAAAGGTGTAGAGAAGGGGAGTGGAGGGGTGAATATGTCCCCTGTGATTCTGCAGGAAATCCCTTAGATGACGTCACGAAGATTGCTAGTAAGTGCTTTAGACTACCAAAACATAAACAGAAAAATAAATTTCTTTATGTAATAAAATGTTTTCTAATGACAATTTACCATAAACAGGTTTTCTCATTAAGCGAAAATATCTATTTTTGTTTCTTGATTGATTGTAGTGGTGAATAGAACCTGTTCCTATGTCCCAGCTACTCCCAATCTGGTCGCATTTTATAAGGATTTAGAGGTAACGTATATTTATTTGTTCATGCTTCCAAATGTTGTTTTTATAATTTATTACAGGGTCAAAGCATCAAAATCACTCAAGCGCTCTAGCAAAAATCAAAGTGAACTTTGCCAATTACTACGCTAACTACAAGTGCTTTACAGTGCTAAAATGAAAATGTAAACTGTAAAGGGCATTAAAGCATTTGTAAGTTTGAGGTGTAAAATCAAAGCCTAAGGCGTTGCGAAACTTAAAAGTCGACCATGTCTCAAAAATTGATGAGACTTTTTATAAGCAGGCTGCATCTCTGTGAAAGACGAATATGTTGACTGCACAACATCTCTTCTATCATCATTTGCTCGATGTATAAATTACTATTTTCTCTACCAATTCAAATGCTGTACGGAAATTTGACCCTTTATGAAACTCACGGTGCGCCTCAAAAGACCTACCCTGCCCCTAGATAACGTTTTGTTGAGCAATTGTCCTCTTCAGATCAAACGGTTAATTTCTATAAGAGCCAGTATTCATTTAGCTTTCAGAGAAGCAACAGCTGGCTCTGACTCTAAAAATGGCAATCTAGAAAAACTTTAATGGAAAAGAAATAAACGAAACTACAAGAAACATTGAAGGCCTACATTAATCTTTTAACGCTGTATTAACCTGGAGAATGGAGGTTTTTTACCTAGCTGGATCCAGATTTTGCTACTGGAAGCTTTTAATATACTCCTAGATAACAAGCCTGGTTAGGTTAGGTATCCGAACTTGTCGGAAAGACGACAATTCTTATGATTAAATCTGGTTCTATGTGTAAGCATCAAGGGAGCTCAGAATAGTTAGGTTCTTATACAACTCTCCTCAGTTTCTTGTGGCGGAACAGAACCCTGTGTGGAATAACATGGCATTGAAAAAAAAGAAAATAGAGCAGTGAAGGAGGGGTTTTTCTACACTTCTCTTTTCCCTCCCTCTGCCGGAAACAAGGAAAATATTGAGACTGGATTTCTGTAAATCCTGGATAGAGACGGGAACTCTGTAAACCCTTGATAGAGACAGGAACTCTATAAACCCTTGATAGTGGACAGAGACAGGAACTCTGTAAACCCTGGATAGAGACGGCCGAACTCTGTAAACCCTTGATAGAGACAGGAACTCTGTAACCCCTTGATAGTGGATAGAGACAGGAACTCTGTAAACCATGGATAGAGACGGGAACTCTGCAAACCCCTGATAGAGACAGGAACTCTGTAAACTCTTGATAGTGGATAGAGACGGGAACTCTGTAAATCCTGGATAGAGACGGGAACTCTGTAAACCCTGGATAGAGACAGGAACTCTGTAAACCCTGGATAGAGACAGGAACTCTGTAAACCTTGGATAGAGACGGAAACTCTGTAAACCCTGGATAGAGACGGGAACTCTGTAAACCCTTGATAGAGACGGGAACTCTGTAAACCTTGGATAGATACGGAAACTCTGTAAACCTTGGATTAGAATCCTGATGGATGTGCACCATGCACTATGATACCAGTTTATACTCTGCCGGCTGCAAGGAAAAGTTTGATGTAGACAAGGCCTGTTCTGAAGCACTGTGTCTGAGATGAACTTACAAGAACCAAAATTCTTTTTTTCAGAAATCTCCACTTCTTTCCTAACCTTTCTTATCCCATTTGTTATTATTATGAATATCCTTAGAATTTTCAAACCCCACTTAGTGCAGTGAATTTTTTTCTCCAACCTGTAAGAATATTGAATTATGAATTTATGTTTGAACCTGAAACTTGAATCAGTTGAGTCAGACATTCCAGAGAAAAAAGTCACTGCTCTTTTTAAAATTTTGTTAAAAAATTTTAATTTACAAATAAATTGTAAAGAAAACATGCTAAAAAATGTCTATAAGGGCAACAAAATAAAATTACCATATAGCATAATAGTAAAAGAGAACAAATCGTAGCATGAATATATTAACTTGTTTTTGTTAGGTAAAATCTAAATTGGGCTCATTTCCTTAAGTTTTATTTACGTACTTCGTCTAGGAATACTTTTTTTCCAAAAAAAGAGTTACAAAGGCACTACGGTTTCTGGAAGGAATAAAAAAACAATTTTGCCTGATCATTACACAACAGTACAAAAGCTTAAATTATCATTTATCTGCATTTAAGACTTTTTGATTAATATGTTAAATTTTTTGTTTATTAAAAATATTTTGCAGCCTTCATACACATTTAAAATGATTGAAGAAATGTCTAGGAGTTTCCTTATTTGGTCGAAAGTAGTGGCAATCTGATAATCTGTTTTCAGTAAACCAGTATCTTATACCAAAGAATTGAGTTTTTGCCACTAACTCAAATTTTCTAATCCTTTTATATTTTCAGCCTGATGGTATAACCCTTTGATATTTTAAATTAGATTATTTGATCTAACAGAGTTTATAATTTTAAATATCTCAGGTATACGTCATTATGTTCCACAGATTTTGGGAGCAGAATATTAGAGTTTGTGGCAATTCCATTTATTATTTCAGCCATAAAATTAATGTACATTATAGTAAAAAAGTTTTTTTAATTCAATATACCTTTTATCATGTATTATTTTTACAATGTTTTAGTATTGATGTTCTTAGATGATAATATTCGATAAATACCAGAATTATTAGTAATTTCCTAACAATAACCTGCAAATATTAAATCCAAACTGATATAAAAAGTATCAATTTTCAAGACTGGTTCGACCTTGAAGTGTCGCAACGCCATAGCTTTGATTTTACCTTATTAACTTACTTATACTTTTTTGTAGCTTTGGAAATGAGCATGTTAGAATTTAAAGCACTTGTTTTTAGCTTCAGTTTTTAAATTCCATGCACAATGATACCGGTTTTTTACTCGATCGGCTGTGAGGACTGGACTGTGGAAGATTCCATCTTATGGGGCTTTAAGGCTTTCAACTCCCCATTTTGCATAAGCAGTACAGTTATGGCTTTCCTTAATTCCGCTTAAGTCGGAAAGACTTTAAAAAAAAGGAAAACAGGGATCTTCTACTGAAATCCCTCTTACCCTTCCTCCTCCAAACTTCCTTATCTCTTCCCTACCTGCTCCACAAGTCGATGTCACAAACAGCATTTGGAATTGATTTCTTAGTGGACCAATGTTTTGGGCTCCATTAATATGACAACTAGGGGTAACCAGGATTTGGACATGACACTAAAAGCAACAATTGCCGAAACCTTTTTTCCACCTGGCTTCCCTACCATCCCTACTTGCCTTAAACCAGCCTGATCAACTGTACAACGTCAGACATTCCTGATTACTGCAATAAATCTGCTGACTGAGTCAGCCAAATTAGAATACACCAAAACATACAATCAACCATTTTAAGTATGTGAAAAATACTGGTTTCGACCAAATGTTTTTTTTAAATTATCAGAACAGAAGACAGTCAACAGAAGAAAATGAAATAAAGGAAGAAATGATGACAAGAAGATTAACAAAATTAGAATTTTTCTGTATTAACTTTATCCAAATTATAAAATTTAAAATTTAAAATAATAAATTGTAAAAAAAATTTAAAATAATTTAAGTATTTTTATGATTAAATTCTTATCCAGAGCTTGAAGTTTCTAAATTAAAACCTAAGCTTGGCTAATAATAAACTGGTGAATTAATCGTGAAAACTTTTCCCCTTCCAGTAATAATTATTAAACTCCTAGGTTCTGAGTAAGCTGATATTAGAACCTGGAGCAGTTTTAGTGTTTAGATGTACGGATATAGGGAAGTTTAAACTTGTCGGAGAAAGGTGAGAGTACAGTGGTCTACAGAATAAATTATATCCAGGGTGTCCCACAGGGCTGGTTATTATTGATGATACAATGTAATTTTCTTCTCATTACAGATAAATCTTGAAACTAATGTATATCTAACTAAGCATTAATTACATCAACTAATACATGAAAACTCTTTTGTATAGACTGGGGGGAAGGGGCNTCCCTATCCTCCCACCTAGAAAAAAGCCTTAGAGAATAAGTAGTAGGTTGAAATACGTTTTCATTGCCCAAATTTTCAAGGCCAGCTCATCGCAAAAAAAAATTAGATCGATAATTTTTATAGTTTGGGTGCTAGGGAGAGCTGCTAAAAAAATGTAAAAAATATTTTTTTGTTTAAAACAAATTTCAAAGTGTGACACATGTTTCTACATCTATTTTTCAAGGGCTTTTTAAAAATGTAGATGTTAGATCTGTAGTTTTATGGGCTATTTTAGATTGCTAGGGCAAAAAACTAGAGGAGGGGACACCGAACTCCCTCCCCCCCTACCTCCAAGCCTGTTTAGGGTTAAAGGGAGTGTAAGCGTATTTTCAAGTGACCCTTAATTTATTTAGAGACATGCCCGAATCAACGGTACCCTTGAAACCTTTATCTCTTCAAAAATTGCTAGAAAAAACAATTGACGAATTATCTAATTAAAATTATACTTTTTTCCCTGTAGAGTTGAAAACTTTAAAATGTTTAAGTTCGATTTGAACTTTTTCTTTCCCAGAAAAGAGTTTTACCGGAGAGCTTCACTGATCTATTTTTTAATTGTTTAAAAATTCGAAGGCTTGGCCAAAGACCGATGGTAATTAAAGCTCTGAAACTTCTGAATTTAAAGAAAAATATTAATTTAAAGGATATGTTGTAAAAACAAAAGAAGGAGATAATAGTCGAAAGATCCGTTGGTGATTCATGTCTTTAAAGGTTAACCAAAGAAAATCGATTTGAACAAAAAGAAAATTGCATGGTTACAAAATTTCTTATTTTCAGGAAGTTGGTTTGTGGTGGCGGAGAACTGATGGGGGATATTCCTACCTGTAACCCTCTCTCACAATCATTTAATTACGCCCTTGATAAACCACCTACAATACTCTTCAGGCATGAACAAGGTGGGTATAGAATATACAACGTAAAACTTATTACAGTGCTCTGGAATCTTGACAAATCTAAAAGTTATTCATCTAGTTTTCATACAGCCTCGACTTTAAAGTGTCGCCAGTCACACGTCTTAGGTTTTATCTCACCAACTCACTTATACATTTTTGTAGCCCTAGACATACATATTTTAACATTTCAATGCGTTTGCGTACAGCATAAGTATAAAGGATTAATTGGCAAAAAACTGATACTGTCAAAATTGAACTATTTTCAGACATATTTTGATCTTTAATAAGAATTCTGTCAAATAGCGTAAATGACTTAAATATCTAAAATATGCATAGACAATGCAGATTTACAACAGTGTACTTAGATTATAGGTTTCAGGGTAACATTGTAAATCGTCGGACATGGAGAATCCCTTTTTATTATTACACAACTCTTCCAAGCTTCATAAACTGCGTCTATATAATGTTGTATTCTCAAATTTATGCATAGTTTAAATATCGAACATTTTTCTAAGAATTTGTAAATAAAATAGAATCTCAAAAGTTTCAGAAAAATTAAATGTTTAAAGATCTTTCTCTTTTCTATTTTTATTCTATATTTGAGGGGATCAAGGTACACCACTACTACTACTGTAGAGGAAATCTCTAATATTAGATCCTAGAGAACTTAATTAATCATTTTTATTTCTTCTGAATTAGTTTAATATTTTACTCAAGTTGGAAACTTGGCCGAACTAAAATAATTTTATAATTAACTTGATAATTTTATATTTAGAGTCTAGACTCTAGACCATTCTTGTAAACTGAGAAACTTGATAATTTTTTATTTAGAGTCTAGACTCTAGACCATTCTTGTAAACTGATTAACTTGATAATTTTATATTTAGAGTCTAGACTCTAGACCATTCTTGTAAACTGAGAAACTTGATAATTTTATATTTAGAGTCTAGACTCTAGACCATTCTTGTAAACTGAGAAACTTGACAATTTTATATTTAGAGTCTAGACTCTAGACCATTCTTGTAAACTGAGAAACTTGATAATTTTATATTTAGAGTCTTTAGACTCTAGACCATTCTTTTAAACTGAGAAACAATTTTATATTTAGAGTCTAGACTCTAGACCATTCTTGTAAACTGAGAAACTTGATAATTTTATATTTAGAGTCTTTAGACTCTAGACCATTCTTTTAAACTGAGAAACTTGATAATTTTGTATTTAGAGTCTAGACTCTAGACCACCCTTGATTTTGATAAATGCATCAAATAACTTAAGTATTTAAAAAAAAAACATTTCAAACCCTGAAAGCCTAAGTATTTAGAAGATTTTAGAAAATTTCTTTCAATAGTTTATAAATAGTTGTAAATTTTTTAATTTTATAACTCTCATTGTTAAAATGACCTTTTATCATTCGAAGTATGCCGTTTCGTCAATTTTTCAAATTGGTACTCCATAGACCATTCTCAAGGTTATTATGGAGATATCTTCATATTTCTATCTACACTGTGATCCAAAGGTTGCAAGCTCTCACAAAAAATCAATGAGAATTTTGTCAAAGGCCAAGGTGTTATACGATACTTTGAATTTGATCCACTAGTTAAAAATCAGTGCAACTCTATATAATATCCTGGAGATTTGCCTAATATACGATTAGGATTTGGCCTAGATTCTTATCATTACATATAAAAAGAAAAAAATCTGTGTAATTGTTTCACAGAAACACTCATTAAATTAGTTTAGGTCTATTTCATTAAGAAAGGGTTAATTGGCACTCTCCTAGCTAAGTTTAGTTTATCCCTCAAAAGATTATAAGATGGAGTATTTTCATTTTCTTTTTCTAAAGTAAAAATGCCTGTATACTACGTATACTTATGATATCCTGCAACATCGTGTATTTTAAAAACTTTTATTAATATTTATGTACTATGTTAACCTATATATTTTGTATATTTTCTATATTATATACACTATACAGTGTGTCCAATAAAATGATGTCCTCTGAATCGTCTTCGATATGCGCGGCATTAATCTGTAAACATAATTTTACTTATAACATACTTAATGCAACAAAAAGCATGTTCCCTGCAGAATCTATTCTGCCTGTTTGCATTCTAAAAATTAACTGATATCTTAAAGGGACTGTAAGCGGCATTCTAAAAATTAACTGATATCTTAAAGGGACTGTAAGCGGCATTCTAAAAATTATCTGATATCTTAAAGGGACTGTAAGCGTTATTTCAAGTGATCCTCCGAAGCAAAGTTGGCAATGTCCCAATCACAACTGTACCCTTGAAACCTTCATCTGATCAATAATATGGAAGATATTGTCGTTTTTCGAGGTTTAGTAGTGTTTATTTCTAATAATTTATATTTATTTTCTTGCAGTAAAAAATCCGCAATTCACTTTTGTAGAGCAACAACAATTGGTAGTTAAAATTACGCTTAAAACATTCCCTTTATAAAATTCTTTAATTTCTCAAATAAAATCAGAATCATCTAAACTTCCTAAATACACAAATACAGTATAGAGGCTACATTTTAGAAAACTCAGAAGCCGTACAGTCTTATTTTCAAAGCAAAGAAACACATGCCTTAAAAGCAAATTTTTGCAGCCTAATGGTGTAAACCTTTCATATTTCAAACTATAACTGTTAGATTTCAAATAAAAGTCTAAAACATCAAATTGTAAAGATGAAAGGATTAGAATATTAGATGAATAGAAGGCAAGAAGTATTCATGGTTCATTTATATTTCTTTATTTTGTCAATCAAATCTATCAAATCTATCAAATCAATTTTATCCATGTTTTCTGGACACCCGGTATATTTTGTAAACCTACAGTGAGAACCAGAAAACGGTGGAATAAGAAGACGAAATTAAACCAATTTTTAGGTAAATTTTTATTTTTTTAAAGAGCAAAAAGTTTTACTATAAACTTATTAAGTTAAATGAGTCTGTTTAAACTTCACAGTTGCTGTGTATAGTGTGCGTTGGACTATTTAAAGTCATAACTTAAGAATAAAAGTCGTCTTCCTATTCAAGAGTTTTCTGGATCTCACTGTTTATCAATAAACCTAAAAACTTAAATTTATTTAAACATGTTGTAAGGTTACCAGCTTGAGATTTATATCAGTACTGGGTTAGAGTGTACGAAATTAATATAGCATTGTAGAAATCAGTAGAAACTATTCTATTCGTATTTTATTGTCTCAGGGTTTGTTTACATTCAACCCAGAAACACAAATATGGAGGTTTCTCGTGTTTCTTCCTTTAACTACGTATTTTAGGAACGTCACATTTTGTTATGGTTAAAGGTACTGTATACGTAAATTTAGTTGACCCTCCATTTTAAAAGAGTAGCATATATTCGATTAACAATCAGGAAAAAGTTTTTTTGTAAAAATGTGTCGAATTCAGAAAATTTCTTTTATTGTCATCTTTGACAAACAAATGTTTAAAGGGTATCATTGTAACTCGGAGGAGTTCTTAAAATTATGTTTACTGTCCCTTTATCCTTGTATAATATATTTGTATTTAGGACCTATAGCTCAGACTAATACTGGAGAACTGGTTGTGTATCCAGGCACTATACTGCATATGGAGTGCTTGTTCTTAAAGAAGTTTGGTTCTCCTTCCTGGACAACTAGGAGAGGATTTAAACCTGAACCTTACCCTTACCCCTAACCCTGAACCTAAAGGATAAACCTAAACCTGAACCTAAATCTGATCCTAGACCTGAACCTGAACCTGTCGCGAACTTGAACCTAAAACTGATTCTAAACCTAAACCTGAACCTAAACCTTAACCTAAAAATAAACCTAAACCTGAACCAAAACCTAACCTTACCTTTTCTAAAATATTCATCTAAATATTTTAATTGTTTTTGTTTTGTTTTTTGCTTGTATGCATATTTTAGAAAAAAATCATTTCAAAGCTTATCAAAGGTCTACTAAAGGAATTGAGTTTTTGCCACAAACTCAAATCTTCTGATCCCAATATCTTTGCAACCTGATGGTGTAAACCTTTGATATTTCAAACTTAGATTATTTTATCTATAAGTATTAATAGTTTGAAATATCTAAGGTCTACGACATTGGGTTACAAAGATATAGAGATTAGAAAATCAGAGTTTGTGGCAAAAACTCAACTCCTTTAAATATATTCTACTATATATATATTCTACTAAATTTTGATGTATTCTACTATCCTAAAAGGAAATTGTTTATTTCAGAATTTAAAGCCTTGAAAATCTTTTAACAAGAAGTAAATAATACAATAAAGGATTAGACCGGTCTGCGGCTAAACCTAGAAGAAAATCCTAAATCTCAACTTAAACATTTCCTACACCGAGATTGTGGTTTTATTTATCCCAGAAGGAATTAAAAAACCATTTATTTTTCCACTATTTCTTCAGATTGAATCCAATCTCACCGAGTTGTTAGGTGTAATAAAACCAATTCTTGATTATTTATTTTTAAAACAGAAATCTTTATTGGAAAAGAATAGAATTATAGAAAATCATATTGAAAGGTTTTTTTTGCGATTTTAATATTTGCCATGAAGAATTTGGCAAACAAATAGTAATTTGCGAGAATGCTCAAATTTCAACTCAATAAAAATCATTGCAGTACACACCGAAACCTTAGTTTACAGTGAATAATCTATTTCCTGAATTAAAGTTTTTGAAAAAAGAACTAAACACTATATTAAACAAAATACAGTTAATCATTTTATAATTATGCTAAAATATCAAATTGCTTAATCAAATTATAAATCTTTTTGCTTAATGTAAATTTTAAATTTTGAATAATCATCCTAGATGCTTTAATCTGTTAAATTGGAAATAGAAATAACAAAAATCTGGGAATAAATCTAAATAGTAAACTTCAAAAATTGACGGATTTAAGATTCATTCCGGGGAAAATCCACCAAGATATAATTAAGAAATGGTTTATTTTTTTGAAATTATAACTCTCCACATTTTTCCGCCGTACTTTTAAAACTTTTTTATAAATATCCTTAGCATCATAACACATAACCTAGAGGTCTAACATTTTTTAATAAGCTGGCCTTGAAAAGTTGGATTAGGGACATTTATCACACTCCCCTATCTTGGGCAACCCGCCCCCCTGCAAACCAATCTTTATTAGACAAGAAACCCAATCTGTAAATCTGATTGATATAGAATGCACGCTAAGGAATATGGTTTAAATCTGTAGACGAGTTACAAGAAAACCCAATCTGTAAATCTGATTGATATAGAATGCATGCTAAGGAATATGGTTTAAATCTGTAGACGAGTTACAAGAAAACCCAATCTGTAAATCTGATTGATATAGAATGCATGCTAAGGAATATGGTTTAAATCTGTAGACGCGTTACAAGAAAACCCAATCTGTAAATCTGATTGATATAGAATGCATGCTAAGGAATATGGTTTAAATCTGTAGACGAGTTACAAAAAAACCCAATCTGTAAATCTGATTGATATAGAATGCATGCTAAGGAATATGGTTTAAATCTGTAGACGAGTTACAAGAAAACCCAATCTGTAAATCTAATTGATATAGAATGCATGCTAAGGAATATGGTTTAAATCTGTAGACGAGTTACAAGAAAAGTGTTTCCTCAGGGCTGGGCGATAGATAGGATGCGGGACTCTACTCTAGAATATAGAATTAGGTAAAAAGGAATTGAGTCTTTGCCACAAACTCTGATTTTCTAATCACTTTTATCTTTTGAACTAAATGTTGTAGACCTTAGATATTTCAAACTATGAATTCTGTTAGATCAAATAATCTGAGTTTGAAATATCAAACGTTTACAACATAGAGTTCTAAAGAAAATGGGGTTTAAATATTGGATTTTGTTCCAAAGACTCAATTCCTTCAAACAAAATGAAGTTTTTAAAACCTGCATTAAAAAGTGTCATTTCCAATTCACAACGGTACCCTTGAACCTGATGTCTTAGCAAAAATTATGCAAAAATCCCAATTTTTAATGTTGGTTTCTCCATAAAAGACGAATATTTATTCAGCAGATACATAAAGGAAAATATCCAAATTTCACACTTTCCTAGAAAAAGAAACGATAACATCTGTCTGGTTGTTCCTCAGATAAAAGTTTATATGGTACCATTGTAAATCGGACCAGCAGCTCTTGAAATGGGGAGGGGGGGGGTCGCATAAAATTACGTCAATAATAGTTCCTTTGAGATAAAAAAAATAAGATTAGATCAAATTATGGTAATAATGTTTCATTTAAAAGTGAAGAAAGGAACAAAATGAAATTATAGAAAAAAAGAAAAAGCGTTAAAAAATGCAAAATATAAAAATGCATGTTGTGCTGTGCCCGAGTGCCTGTTTGTGAAAATGTGAATCTGTGCATATTTTATATTTGAATGTAAACCCAAAGTAAACAACCCTGTTCAAAGGTTTTATAAGATTAAGGCTAGATGCAAATATTTAGAAAATATATTTTATTCTATTCAGTATCTACCACGCTACCCCGGGGGATACTGGAGAGTATACCTGTACTACCCCTGCCGGTCAATCTACCTCGGTCAATATTATTGTTGACAACATTACCTGCCCCTTCATTCCTTTATCCAGGTATAGATTAGATCAGGCCCCTTAATCTCATTATCCAGGTACAGAGTAGACCAGGCCCCTTCATCCCTTTATCCAAGGAAAGATTAGACCAGAACCCTGTATCCCTTTATCCAAGTAAACATTAGTCCATAACCCTGTATCCCTTTATCTTGGTATAGATTATACCAGGCCCCTTTATCCCTTTATCCAGGTATAGACTTAGACCAGGCCCCTTCATCCCTTTATCCAGGTATAGACTTAGACCAGGCCCCTTAATCCATTTATCCAGGTATAAACTAAACAAGGCCTGCAGTAGGTACACAACCCGCAGATGGTGGGTTCGTCGATAAAATATGTTTGTCTAAAATGTCGTTTTAACCTTCAAACGCGGCACTACTATGCGAAAATGTGCTCGGTCTTCTTTTCGATAAAAAAAAATCAAATCATAATTTTATTTTACGTTTTATGCGACAGAACAGAATAAATTTCACATTTTCAATGATAGAATTGAGCATTTTAAAACTATAAGACGGAAACAGATTTTAAACCTTTTGAAAATATAGTATAAAGGGACCGACTATTTCGAGTACATTTTGAAGGCTAAACCGGCATATTAGAGTAAAATGTTTAAACGATAACCCCCCCAATTTATGGACATTGTACACCCACTAGATATATATAGGTGGATAAAGGAAATCTAGATAAATATAGGATATCTAGATATATATAGGTGGATAAAGGTTATATTATCAAATATATGGATATATGTATATAGGTGGATATAGGATATATCATCAAATATTTAGTCATAGTGGATATAGGATATCTAGATATATATATATAGGTGGATATAGGATATCTAGATATATATAGGTGGATATAGGATATCTAGATATATATAGTTGTATATAGGATATGTCATAAAATTTCTAGATATATATATAGGTCGATATAGGTTATATTATCAAATATATGGATATATGTATATAGGTGGATATAGGATATATCATCAAATATCTAGTTATATATATAGGTGGATATACGATATCCAAATATATATAAGTAAATAAAGGATTTTTTCAAATATCTAGATATATATAGGTCGATACAGGATATATTATCAAATATTTGGATATATATAGGTGGATATATAGATATCTAGATATATAAGACGATAAAGGATATATCATCAAATATAACGATATATATAGGTCGATATAGGATATATTATCAAATATCTAGACATAAATAAGTGGACATAGGATATATAGACATACAGGTGGATATAGGATATTTAGATATATGTATAGGTGGATACAAACACTAGTAAAGAAAAAACGCTACTCAATCATGATATCATAATATGAGGTTTAAACTTTAGATTGGATTATAAATTGTCTTTTAACGGATCAATGCATAAATATCTCTTTATCCAGGTATAGTCTCGACCAGGTCCCTTTATCCCTTTATCCAGGACTCTTCATATCTTTATCCAGGCATAGTCTCACCCCAGGTTCCTTTTAATGGATCAATGAATAAAAAAACTTTAAAATTAACAATTTGCTCCCAAATACATATATATATATTTAAATCAATGTAGAACTTAAAAATCTATTCAAAAAAAAATTTAAGAATAAGGAGCTTCTTAATACATTTTTACAGTTTGACAAATACATTTATATCACTGGCGAACTATTTGTGTAAATTATAAAATTATTGGAACATGATTTATTTTTCTCTAGAATATATTGAACCTTTCTCTCATATGAGTGTACGTATGTTTATAGAGAAACAAATAAAGAATCATTGTGATAAATATTTAAGGCCATGCAGTATAATTGCAGTGTTCTAAAGGTTTTTTCACTTTAAAGGAACTGAACACTTTGAAATATCTATTAATTCTCTCTTTCCAACCAGATATGAAGTTTCCTGCATTAGTCTTTTCCTGATAAAGGGATAAAGGAACCTGGGGTGAGACTATGCCTGGATAAAGATATGAAGAGTCCTGGATAAAGGGATAAAGGGACCTGGTCGAGACTATACCTGGATAAAGAGATATTGATGCATTGATCCATTTAAAGACAATTTATAATCCAATCTAAAGTTTAAACCTCATATTATGATATCATGATTGAGTAGCGTTTTTTCTTTACTAGTGTTTGTATCCACCTATACATATATCTAAATATCCTATATCCACATGTATGTCTATATATCCTATATCCACCTATTTATGTCTAGATATTTGATAATATATCCTATATCGACCTATATATATCGTTATATTTGATGATATATCCTTTATCGTCTTATATATCTAAATATCTATATATCCATCTATATATATCCATATATTTGATAATACATCCTGTATCGACCTATATATATCTAGATATTTGAAAATATCCTATATCCACTTATATATATTTGGATATCTTGTATCCACCTATATATATAACTAGATATTTGATGATATATATCCTATATCCACCTATATACATATATCCATATATTTGATAATATAACCTATATCGACCTATATTTATATCTAGAAATTTTATGACATATGTTATATACAACTATATATATCTAGATATCCTATATCCACCTATATATATCTAGATATTCTATATCCACCTATATATATATATATATAGATATCCTATATCCACTATGAATAGATATTTGATGATATATCCTATATCCACCTATATACATATATCTATATTTTTGATAATATAACCTTTATCCACCTATATGTATCTAGTGGGTGTGTACAATGTCCATAAATTGGGGGGGTTATCGTTTAAACATTTTACTCTAATATTCCGGTTTAGCCTTCAAAATGTACTCGAAATAGTCGGTCCCTTTATACTAGATTTTCAAAAAGGTTTAAAATCTGTTTCCGTCTTATAGTTTTAAAATGCTCAATTCTATCATTGAAAATGTGAAATTTATTCTGTTCTGTCGCATAAAACGTAACGTAAAAATAAGATTATGATTTGATTTTTTTTTATCGAAAAGAAGACCGAGCACATTTTCGCATAGTAGAGCCGCGTTTGAAGGTTAAAACGACATTTTAGATAAAAATATTTTATCGACGAACCCACCATCTGCGGGTTGTGTACCTACTGTAAGCACTTTTTACCACATTTCAACGATATTTAGTAGGCTAAAAAGCCTAAACACACTTTTTTCAGAGACACCCTTTATATCTAGATATTTGATGATATCCAGCAATGAAACAATGCTCAGTACTCAAGTCACCTTCTCCTGTTCAAACAGAAAACAGCTGATTGGTCCTTCAACACTAACTTGTTTATCAACAGGTGACTTCCCCCCCCCCCCCTCCCTTCATCTTTAGGAGCCAACCAATCACATCCTTACTTCCCTCACCTGAAGGAGGTAGACCTTCCAGCTTCCCTTACCTGTAGTGGGAGACCTTCCACCTTCCCTCACCTGTAGTGGGAGACCTTCGACCTTCCCTTACCTGTAGGGAGCGACATCCTTACTTCCCTCACCTGTAGGGGGTAGACCTTCCACCTTCCCTCACCTGTGGTGGGAGACCTTCCACCTCACCTCACCTGTAGGAGGCGACCTCCAAGTCCTCCCCTCACCTGTAGGGGGCGAATCCCACCTCCCTTTACATGTAGGGGGCTGATTGGGGTCTTTAGTATTTCTTCATAATTTCAACCGTAAAACGGTTTTTATGAAAAAAAAACTTTCCTTGACTGATCCCATTTTAAACTGAATTTAACAAGGAAGAAGCTTTTTTTTGAAATAATGTTTAGAAATGATGTTACTCCAGGCAATGAGAAGTTCACCAACACTACTCTTTTAGGATCCTGGAGCAGTATACCTCCAGCTTGTGTAAAGATCAGCTGTCCCTCCCTCAACTCTATTATTTCAGGATACTGGAGCAGTACACCTCCAGCTTGTGAGAAGATCAGCTATCCCTCCCTCAACTCTATTATTTCAGGATACTGGAGCAATATACCTCCAGATTGTGTGAACATCAGCTGTCACTCCCTCAACTCTATTATTTCAGTATCATGGAGCAGTACACCTCCAGCTTGTGAGGAGATCAGCTATCCCTCTCTCAACTCTAATATTTCAAGATCCTGGAGCAGTACACCTCCAGCTTCTGAGAAGATCAGCTATCCCTCCCTCAACTCTATTATTTCAGGATACTGGAGCAATATACCTCCAGATTGTGAGAAGATCAGCTGTCACTCCCTAAACTCTAATATTTCAGTACCCTGGAAGTAGAGCAAAAGACCTCCAGCTTTTGAGAAGATAAGATGTCCCTCTCTTAACTCTAATATTTCAGTATCATGGAGCAGTATACCTCCAGCTCGTGAGAAGATCAGCTATCCCTCCCTCAACTCTATTATTTCAGGATACTGGAGCAGTACACCTCCAGCTTGTGAGAAGATCAGCTATCCCTCCCTCAACTCTAATATTTCAGGATCCTGGAGCAGTATACCTCCAGCTTGTGTAAAGATCAGCTATCCCTCCCTCAACTCTATTATTTCAGGATACTGGAGCAGTATACCTCCAGCTTCTGAGAAGATTAGCTATCCCTCCCTCAACTCTATTATTTCAGGATACTGGAGCAATATACCTCCAGATTTTGTTGAGAAGATCAGCTATCCCTCCCTCAACTCTATTATTTCAGGATACTGGAGCAGTATACCTCCAGCTTCTGAGAAGATTAGCTATCCCTCCCTCAACTCTATTATTTCAGGATACTGGAGCAATATACCTCCAGATTTTGTGAAGATCAGCTGTCACTCCCTCAACTCTATTATTTCAGTATCATGGAGCAGTACACCTCCAGCTTGTGAGGAGATCAGCTATCCCTCTCTCAACTCTAATATTTCAAGATCCTGGAGCAGTACACCTCCAGCTTCTGAGAAGATCAGCTATCCCTCCCTCAACTCTAATATTTCAGGATCGTGGCGCAGTATACCTCCAGCTTGTGAGAAGATCAGCTATCCCTCCCTCAAATACATTATTTCAGGATCCTGGAGCAGTATGCCTCCGGCTTGTGTAAAGATCAGTTCTCTCCCTCAAATACATTATTTCAGGATCCTGGAGCAGTATGCCTCCAGCTTGTGCGAGGATCAGCTATCCCTCCCTCAAAAACATTATTTCAGGATCCTGGAGCAGTATGCCTCCGGCTTGTGAGAAAATCAGCTGTCCCTCCCTCAACTCAGTGCTAAAGGATATCCATGTAAGAGCTGAGGTGATATCTAATAAATCAGGTAAAAATGTAAAGATAAAGAATTGTCTACACAGTCGAATAATATTTCACAGATATATAACAGAGGAAAAGATAAAAAATAACATTGTATGCCTTAATAGAATATATAGCTGGATACATGCAGGATATCCTCTGATACCTAGAGCTAGATACATAATTGGATATTGGATATCTAGATATTTAGCTTAATACATAAAGAATTACCTCAGCATTTTTTCAATTTTTCTCCGACTAAGTATTTAGGACCAGATTCACTTGCTTTTTTTTATTCGAATTTCAATCGAGTTTTAGTCTTTTGGTGTCATCAGTTTTTCGTGTCATTTTTAACGTTAATTATTTTTCCAAAATTAAATGTACACAATATGTAACTTTTTTATTATTATTATTATTATTATTATTATTATTATTATTATTATTATCATTATCAAGCAATTAACTAGTTAAAGAGTTCCAAATGTTCCTATGTAAGTTCTCAGTTATATAATATCATATTGTTACTGCAGAGCTCTTCTCTACCTCCTGTTGAGAAGAAGTATACTGTTTAAATATTGATCATATACATGATACATGATACATCCCTCTTATATTCACAAAACATTCAATGCTAAGAAATAGGAAGAGTTTCAGAACTTATAGGCCTGGGGTTCTTTTTTTCTCTCTTGTTTACAATTTTTTAACGCGTGAGCGGTTATCTTTTCCAGTTTTACTCACAGAGGTTATAAAAGTAGTTTCCTTGTGAATATGAAAAAAATCAGGATTGGATTTGGCTAAATATTTTATTAACTTTTTAAAACTAAGGAAGCTGTAATCAATGTTGCAAAGATGCTGCATGCACCTATTTGCTTTATCTTCTATATGTAGAAAATAGTAATCTCTATTTGGCTGTGTGTTTGTTTGGATGTCCTATCATACTTCTTGAACACCTTGACCGATTTTCCTGAATCTGCAGAACCAAAGGAATGTTCTTAGCTTGGTTTTGAGAGTGTAAGTTAAGTGGATCTACTTTAATAGAAACAATTTAGTTTCCCAGTAAAATTGACCAAGTCCGGGTAAACGGCTGGAGTAACTATGAGTACCCTGGGTAACACTAAATTCCCAAGCTGGTAAGGACATAAAGTCGAGAACTCCGTGCCGGACTCTGTTTTGTCAGTTGCTGTCTTAACCCTAAACAGGCTGGGGGGGGGGGCGATTGACGCCAACCCCCCTCTAGTTTTTTTTGCCCTAGCACTCTCATTTTTGACCCTATCACCGTGAAATTTTTTTGACTTTTCATGAATAGAAATTGAAGGATTTTGTTAAAACATGTTTTTGATGCAAAGGGTAGGGTACAGGGTAGAAAAAAGTCCGGTTCGTGTAAAAAAAAGTATAAAATAGCCTAAAACTTTTTTTGTCATTAAAGCTACAGATCTAAAAACTTTGTTTTTGAAAATGGATGTAGAAACATGTGTCACACTTTGATATCTGTTGAAAACTAAAAAAAAATTTATTCATTTTTTTGACATTTTTTCAATCCTCCTTAGCACCAAACTTTTATAGTTATCGGACTTATTTTTTTAATGAGCTGGCCTTGCAAAATTTGGCTATGAACATGCATTTCATCCCTTTCAAGGCCTTCAAGGCCTTTTTCTGGGGAGGGGGGCGTGATACATAGATTCAGACCTGCCAGCCCTTATAGGGTTAAATGTATATAATAAGTGCTTGTTTGTCTTGTCGGGGTTTTTAAAACATTTCTGTTTACTGTTCATTATCCAAGTGTGTGTTTAAAAAAAATTTAGTTTTTAAGGGACAGCAAAGTCTTCAAAATATTTGTTCAACTTTTTTGATTAAATTAAAAAATCTTTAAAAATTCTGGTTTAACAACCTGTAATGTTTTATCCTTAAAGGAATTGAGTTTTGGCCAAAAACTTTCTTTTCTAATCCCTTACATATTTAAAATTTTGTTTATTTGATCAGACATATATTATTTATAGTTTAAAAATCTTAGGTTTAGACAGGGTTGCAATTATATATAGAGAAAAGAAAATAAGAGTTTTCTTAATCCTTTTCAGGCTGACGTCTGGTTTACCCAAAATAGTCTTATTTCCTTATCGTGATACAACTCTATAACAGTTAATATATATTTGGAAAGCCCTTGGATTCCACTTTAATAACCTACAAACAAATTTGCAAATTTGCAAAATTTTAAATATTTTTTGCATTATCAAGTGCGCGAAATATGATAAATTATACATTTGTATAAAGCCCCTATTATGGCGAATTCAAAAATGTAAAAATATGTGCAAAATTTTCAAAAACTAAATTTGTTTTTAAGGAAAACTGAAAATGTAAAAATTCTCTTGAAAGGGCAAAGGGCGAAAATCTATTCAAAATTTCTTCGATAAAAGGTCGAAATTTAATGACTGGAAGTAGGTCTAAATATAGATTTAGTCGGGTAAAGGTAAAATAAGGAATTCAGGCAGCATGCCTGAGGACTCAGGCATTAGGTATAAAAGCCCCGCGTTGAGCCTAAAGTGAGGGGTATGTGTTGGTTAAAAAAAGTAAAAAAATTTGAACAGCCTCGTACCAATACTTTTTGAGTTATCTCGAAAAAACGTGAGGGGGGGTCCGGAATAGGGTTAATTTTCTCTAATCTAAAAATAAAAAAGCGGGCGGTTTTGTTTATTTTTGCACAACAATGCAAACTCTTCTCTTCCCTAGTTGTTTCCTAAAAGTCAAGTTTAGCAGAACTGAATCTGCACCTAGTCCTAACTTCTAGAGAGAGAAAAAAATATTTTTCTTCAAACTGAATTCAACTTCTAAATAGAAATGCATAAGTTCCAAGTTTAGTTAGATGTGACACAATAACATATTTTTTAATGTGGAAAAAAAGAGAATAATCTCTAAAATAAACTATTGCAACAATTTTAAAAATCCCTCTATCTTTGAAACCTGATAGTTTAATTATTTTTAAATTCTAGACCTTGAATTTCTACATCTTAAAATATCAAAGGTCATCCAAAAGCCAACACATATTAAACTGATTTTTCGCCACACAATCAAATTTAAAATACTGAAGGTCGTTAATGTTACCAAGAATCAAAGGAAATGGTTACCTGCCACAAACTCTTGTAATAAGTAGTTTCAAGTGCACCCTGGAAAGCTTTGCCTGATCAAGAATGAATGAGATATCCATTTTTTTATTCGGTTTTCAAGCATAGTTTCTCTGTAGAGCAGACTTGTGGAATTTGATGGTGCATGATTTCAACATGCCACTCCTTAAATGGAGGGTCACTTCAAATACGACGATATTTTCTCTAAGGAGGGAAAGTGAAGTTCTCCTGTCCCTCTGGGTTCCTGCTCCGGGGTGACCTAGAGGCTGAGTGCTCCCACACGGGAACCTGGATTTTCATCCATCAACCACAGTGTCATCCAATCATGTGTCCTCCTCCGACTATTCCGATACATGGAGAACTTCAAACTCCAGGACCTTTTAGGTTAGTTACTTCTTTTCAAATTCGTTCCACTAAAATTGATTTTCTTCTCAAAGTTGTTTAAATTTTTATTCTCCATAATCACCCTTCTTTTGAGTGTACGCTGTATTGTAACATCGCTAATTTTAATATGTTTTTAATATTTTAGAGTTGGAGATATTGCAAGGTTTGTTTGTAAAATTGGTCATATCATGAAAGGATCATCCTTCTCAGCCTGTATTGGAGATGGTACTTGGTCTGATACACCTCCATCATGTACAACAGCATGTACATACCCTGGTTCATCTCCAGGTAATCTATATTTATATTCAACAGCTTGTACATACCCTGGTTCATCTCCAGGTAATCTATTTTCATGCACAACAGCATGCACATACCCTGGTCAACTCCAAGTAATCTATAGTCATGTACAACAGCTTTTACAAACCCTGGTTCATCTCCAGGTAATCTATATTCATGTACAACAGCATGTATATACCCTGGTTAACTCTAGGTAATCTATACTTATGTACAACAGCTTGTACATAGGATTGTTAATCGTTTTTGAAAACGATCGTTAAACGATCGTTTTTTGTTTCGTTTTCAAAAACGATCGTTTCGTTTTCGGAAAAAACGATCGTTTTTAAAAACGAGCGTTTTGAAAAACGATCGTTTTAAAAACGACCATTTTAAAAAAAACGAACTTTTTAAAAAAAACGATCGTTTTTAAAAACGATCGTTTCGTTTTCGATTTTTCGTCGTCGTTTTCATAACGAAACGATCGTTTTTCTGAAAAATGAAAACGTTAACATCCCTACTTGTACATACCCTGGTTCTTCTCTAGGTAATCTATATTTATGTACTACAACTTGTACATACCTTGGTTCATCTCCAGGTAAACTATATTTATGTATAACAGATTTTACATACCCTGGTTCATCTCCAGGTAATCTATATTTATGTACAACAGCTTGTACATACCTTGGTTCATTTTTATGTAGAATGGTACAAGCATGTTCAATGTACATGTACAATATACATGGTTTCTCTATTAATTTGTTTGTTCCTATTTTTTAATTGATTTAAAGTGATGAAAACGTAATTTCAAGTGACCCCCATTGGTAGAGTGGTATGTCCGATTCAAACCTTTTAAAGCTTTGTCTTTAATCCCTTTAAGAGGATAAAGCGTATATTTTAAACCTAATAAATGTATTAAAAAGTGATTGCTTTAGCTTTATTTATCACTAAACCCGTGAAAAAAGCTGCTCTAAACGTCGTTTCTTCCCTAAACAACCGTAGTTTAATGATTTTTGTTCTCCAGGAGGATTCCTGGACCCTGTCAGGTTCTATTACAAGGTCGGAGAAACTGCCGAGTTCTTCTGTAATCCTGGACTAGTGATCAACGGAACTAAGATGATAAAGTGTTTAGGTAGGTTGGTTATCCTTTAATAAAATTATATAATCGTAGCCAGAATACGGTGGATTGATTGTTGCCTTTGTTTTAATTTTAATTAAGAAAAGAATTGAGTTTTTACCCAGAAACTCTAATTTTCTAATCTGACACAAAATCTGATTTTTTAAATTCCTATCTGTTCAACACGTTGTAACTTGTAAACCTCTACACCATCAGGTTGCAGAGAAAAATTTGAGCTTGTGAAGTATATGTTTCTTATACTGGTTATTTTGTAATTTATTAATCTTTTAACTGCATTATATATTTCTAAGAATACTCAGAAAACATTTGGGAAGTAATCAATTACACAGAAATTGAGTCTTTGCCGCAAACTCTGATTTTATAATCCCTATATCTTTACAATCCAATGTTGCAGACCTTAGATATTTCAAACTATGAATTATGTTAGATCGCACAATCTAAGTTTGAAATATCCAAGGTTTTCATCATGAGGTTGCAAACTTCGTTTCAATTAAATACTTAACATGATTAGCTCAAATTATGCGACATGCTTAAATAACGCTATAAAATATGGACAGAGAATATTAACTGCGTTATATCTTTTCTCTTTAATCCTTTAAATACGTTCCTTAAACTTTAACTGTGCGATAAATACGTAATACGATGGTATTAATCATGTGATGTTAATAACATCGTAGGAATTGAATTACGTCAATTCCTGTTAACTTTGTAACCTAATCTATTGAAAAAAGTTAGTTGATTGGGACTCTGCTTTGATTACGGCATTAGAAGTAGTCTGTGTTCTCGCTGAAACATGATGAGCATTGAATCTATTCTATAGTAAGATTGAAAATAGAGCTTTTGGTTGTTGAATTATACGTTTTGAGAAACTGCCCATGGTAGCAATTACATTGGACTGTGTGTCCTTTAGAACTGGGTTGTCTAGCCTGGTTGAGAAATTGCCTGTGTATAAACAGTTTCATTGGACTGTGTGTCCTTTAGAACCGGGTTATGTAGCCTGGTTGAGAAATTGCCTGTGTAAACAGTTTCATTGGACTGTGTGTCCTTTAGAACCGCGGAGTGAAACCTGGTTGAGATTTTGCCTGTGTGTCATTTAGAACCGGAGATTTAAGCCTGGTTCAGATATTGCCTGTGTGGCAATTTCATTGGACTGTGTTTCCTTTAGAACCGGAAGTGAAGCCTGGTTGAGATTTTGACTGTGTGTCATTTAGAACCGGGGAGTTAAGCCTGGTTGAGATATTGCCTGTGTGGCATTTAGAATCAGAGTGTTAGTTTTTGTTGATCTTGGTAACGAGTAGACCTGGATAGATATGTCTCGAGTAAATAGTTATGGAGTAGGTATTTGCAACAATCTTTTACTTAAAAATGTTAATATAAGTGGTCCACTTGAAAAAGGCTAGAATTTACTAAAAATCGAAAAAATATATTGGTCAAGATTTAAAAGAAAATATCAACTCTTATTTTCAATGAAAAAAACGAGTACGGCAAATAAAGAAATTTCTCCTTATTTTAAGTTACATTTACTTACAATCGCTTAGTTCTGAAAATGATGTTACAACTTTCTTCAAAACTTTGTTTGAAACAATACGTGTACAAACTTCCTTAATATAACTGTTTTTTTTTCTTTGTTTACATTTTTTATTTCCTTCGTCCTTGAAGAGACTGTAGGTGTAACTTTATGTGACCCTCCATGCAAAGATGGCAATGCCAAATTCACAATGGCACCCTCAAAAGTATGAATTAGATTTCCGAGTTTTTCTTTCTTTTAACTGTTTTTTATTCTGGTTCCTTTGCAAAAGGGACAAATACTTTTCTTGCTTATTGGAAACAATTGGGAAAAAAACATAGAAAGTTAGAAAACCGATAATTTATATTTCTAATTTTTGATCAATGTTTCAATGTTTGCAAATCGGGCATTGCTATCTTCAGATGGTGAGAGGGGGGGGGGTGTCATTTAAATTTACGCTTACAGTCCCTTTAAGATATTAATCATAAATTGTTTAGATTCTGGAAACTGGTCTGGTTCTTTTCCTTCATGTACAACCAAGTAATACTGTACAATTCATTTATGCACAGCCAAGTAATACTGTACAATTCATTTATGTACAACCAAGTAATACTGTACAATTCATTTATGTAAAGCCAAGTAATACTGTACAGTTTATTTGTGTACAGTGCAAACACAAGCAATGTTAGATTTTAACTTTGTTTACATCAGAGTGTTTTTGCCAAAACTTTATTAGTAAATTGGAATCGAGTTTTTGCCACAAACTCAAACTTTGTAATCCCCATATCTTTGCAACTTGATGATGTAACCCTTTGATATTTTAAGCTTAACTTTTTTATCGACTTTGTAAGACATTGGGTTGCAAAGATAAGTTGATAAGAAAATCAGACTCAATTCCATAGTAAACTTTATTTACCTAATAGTTTTATCGTTCATTTCCTAAAAGTGCATATGCAACATAATATCAATTAATAATCATTGATTAAGACCCAACTTTATGAATTTGATGTAGAATATTTCTGTTTACATTCCTAGTTTAAATACATTAAACAATACAAATTGTTTACAAAATAACTGAATAGATGTTGGTAATTATGAAAACGCAAACCAACATAAATGAAAAATTTGGATTTCGTTCAAGACCCTTTATGCAAAAATGGCAATGCCCAATTCACAATTGTACCCTCGAAACCTTTATCTGATCAATAATGTGGAAGATATTGTCGTTATTTTAGCCTGAGACGTGTTTAATTCCGATGTTTGCCTGCAGTAGAAATGCGCTAGTCACTTTTGTACAGAACTCGCAATTGAAAAAAATCAGCTTTCAAAATCAGAAACATTAATCAAGATCATAAACATTATTTCAAAATCATAAACATTTTTCCAAAATCATAAACATTATTACAAAATCATAAACATTATTTCAAGATCATAAACATTATTCCAAAATCATAAACATTATTACAAGATCATAAACATTATTACAAAATCATAAACATTATTTTAAAATCACAAGCATTGATATATTTTGCAATTTATCAGACAAAGCTTTTAAGGGTACCGTTGTGAATTGGACATTAGCTTCTTTGCATGGAGGGTAACTTAAATACAATATACCTATCCGGCACTTCAGCATTTTAATGGTATTAATCAAAATTTTAGGGTTTTATGACAAAATGCTCCCCAAAATGCTCCCCAAAATACTCCCCAAAATGCTCTCCAAAATCTTAAAAATTTTTATTCAATTGTATTCTCAAAAATTTTCTTTTGCCAAAGTACATATTTTGCAAATGTAATGAAGATAAGATTTTAAAGTACACAATTGTACAAGTGATCGGCATATATATCAATACAATTATAACAAATTTTTAATTAAGATCTGTACTCTGCTAAATAAAATCTTGTTAGACATCAAAACCTAAAAAGAAAGTATTTTTTATTTTTAAACAAATAGTCTAAGTCTTGTTTTTGTCTTTTTGAAGACGACATTAATAAAGATGCGATTCTGAAACTTTGAATAATTCTTAATTTTTAAACCAAGCAAGCTTTGGATTTGTTTAAAATTGTAACAAAGAAATCGAAAAAATTTAGCAGTTTTCGTTTCAATTTTGAATATTAAGAATATTAACTCTGTAGAGTTGATATAAGTCAAAAATATGTAATTATTTATGCCATTTTTTTATTGGAAATATGATTTATGATTATGCTGATCTGTTTTATAATCTATTTTGAGTTTTACTTTATTTATGCATTTCATTTTCAAGTAAGCATACCAATAAATTATTATTATTATTATCATTAAATATAAACTATAAATTTAGGGGGTTTTATTTAAAAAAATTAATAAATATGTATAAAAGCTTGTTTACCAGTATTAAATTAGATTTTTCAACATACGTTTGTGTTCAGCTGTGCTTAGCTTTGATTAGCTGTGCTAAGGAACTCTAACGAAAGTGGTTTTTCTTGCGTGCAATTTTTAGCACTTCCGTCCCGTGCAATTTCTTGCATGACGATTTCACGCAATAAACACTTTTAAATTTGCGTTTTTGTATAATTTCTAATTAGGTTTTAACTTTTGATTTAATTTTCATTATGTTTTTAAATGTTTTTAGAAGAGAATACTTAAAGTGGTCAGTCATTCAAATAGTCACTCACACGATTTACAATTGTACCCTTATATATATTCCTTATTATCGATCGGCGATACAGCAATATATATATCATAAAGGAAATTGCCAGTCGCGCAACTAGGGGGGGGGGCCAGGGGGGCCGGGCCCCCCTAGCCTGATTAAGGGGGGGGCATGGCCCTCCCTTAAGAAGTCTTGCCCCCCCCTGTAGGGGGGGGGGGCAAGAAATGACGAAGTCCACCCTGTTTTGCAATTTAGCGATTCATGAATCCTGACCCTGAGCAAATTTAAGAACTCTGATCGTAAAATAAAAAAAGATAATTGAACGTTAGTTTATTGAGCTTATAGTTCAATCCATATAGCACTTAATACACCACATACACACACACAGACCCCCTTCGTCTCCGAGACTAACTACTGCTGTAGATCAGAACAGTTTGACAAGGTTCCAATGTGCCTTAATCTTTTTTTTCATTATGCTGTTTTTTCCTGGGAAAGGGAAAGGGGGTTTATCAAGTATTTTTTAGATATTTTCACTCATTTCTGCCACTTATTATGATATTGCTTTAATACTGTAGTACAACTATTCAATTAATCCTACATGTTCACCGCAAATATTGTGTGATGTGTCATATTAAAAAAAAATATTTTTCATGTAAAATCATGAATTTTTAATAAAAGGCATTTCTTGTCAGTTTTTGAGTACACTGTACATATTTGATTTATGGATAACCAATGAAAATTTAAATATATATATATATATGTAATTTGTATTGAAAATTAATTATTTTTGTGATTTATACCAGAATCAGGGGCGGATAAAGGATTTAAGTGAAGGGGGGGGGGGCAAGATATTTTAGGAACAAAAAAATTCATAATTAGGAACCAAAAAACGCGGCGCAGGCGAAAATTTTTTTGACTTAAAAGACTCAAAAAGAGTGAAAATTAATGACCAAAGACTAAAAAACTAGATTTTTAACTTTTCACACATTATAGTTTATTAAGAGAGATATTTTTCCTGTTTTGCACTAGGGTTTCTTTCCGAATTAAGCATATGCTATTGAGAAGCTATTCTGAAATAAGAACAAAAAATTCCAAATTCAGGGGGGGGCGAATGTGCCTCCCCCGCCCCCCCCCTGTATCCGCCCCTGACCAGAATAGATTTCTTGTTTCATTTTATATCAGATGTGTAAATGTGTTGACTTATAACTGAACATCCGGTTGGTAAGGTTAGTTTTTTATTGTTTAAGTATAACACACATTTTTCTTGCCCCCTCCTAAAAATGTTTAGGGGGGCCAAAAAAAATTTTGCGCTTCGCGCGAAATATTTCCCCCTAGCCCCCCTCTAACCAAATGTCTAGTTGCGCGCCTGGAAATTGCCCTTCCTTATAAAAGAGGAGACACCAGATATATTTCCTCTCCGGTTTTGAATGGTCTCTTTAAGTAGTATAAAGAGGAAGCATTGGGATTTATACGCAAAACCTTAATATAAGAAGCCACAGAATGTCGTCTTTTCTATAATTCAAAAGATTTTAGGACTTTTTTATATATCTCTCATCAAAAACTTTTGTTTACGTAATTTGGCGTTAGAAAAGTAGAACTTTAATATCTTTGTGGATAAACTTTACCTTAAAACAGATTGCAATGTTTGGTTTGTACTTTTTGGCCCCTTCAACCAAGGTTTTTTTGGCCTGCTCACTTTATCGGCCTTTAATTCTGCATTAAACTAATAGAAAACTATACTTAATGACATTTAACAAATTTTGGTTTAAAATATTTGGTATTTTTAATACAAATGAGATGGGTAACAAAATCACAACTAAACCAAAAAATTGTCAATATGAAAAGTGAAAATATCAATAGTTCCTATGACGTTAGTTCAAGTTACTACGCACCATATCAAATAACTTGTAGATATGTTTAAAGTGCAGATTTTCAATAAGTTCACTTGCATATGGCGTACAGTTAAACTTCGTATGAGTTTTAATTTTTCATTTTTAAGTATTAATATGAATGTCGTCTTCCTTAAACCAGTGCCGATTTATGGGGTTTGCACTACTTTTGCAGGGTGTCGATCTGTACTCTCGTATCACTGCAAGAAATATGCAAAGTCGTAATATAGTCCTCACACAGAATTCTACCTGTTTAAATGATTCTTAGAAAGTAACAGAATTTAAATAAAGAAATTAATATTTTTTGGACATGGCCATGAAATTGGTACTAATAAGGACCTGTAGAAAAAAGTCAATATGAAAGAAATTTTTTAAAAAGTTCTTCCAATTTTAGACAATACATTCAATGACTGTTATTCATACTAAAACGTCCTGTTATTAAGGAAATTTCCTCATTCATCACGAAAAAAGACCTGTTTGAAAATAAACTAATCTTGGCTTTATTTCTTGTGACATTTTGTCTAATGGGACATCATGGAATTGAGGAACATTTTTTATTTAAGTTTTTTTATTTCCAGATTTTTTTCAAAGACTTTTTTCCCATGAATTTCTATCATAGATTAAACTGTATTAAATTAAACCAGGATTTCTATTGCTTTATTCCTAAAATGAGTGCACTGCAGTTTCTGGGAGGCAAATAAATAAAATTAGGCCGAAGCACACTGTGTCATGTAAAAAATAAATTTTAAATTTTTTTTTTAAGTTCGCGTTTTTGGCGTCAAACGTCATGTTTGATAAATGCATTAAATAAATTGTGATTAATATTATGTAGAACTTTTGAGCATATTTGATTAGAAGCAATAAAAATACATTCTCTGTATTAGATTGGAAGGAGACTTTTAAATTCAATAAAAACTTTTACTGCACTTTTTTGCATTAATAAAGTGGCAGTTGGTTAATGAGAGTTCCCTGGATATTCACCATTTTATTCAGGAAAAATATAAATAAATATTAAAAATAAAGAAAATATTTTTTTTTTAATTGGCTTAGATTTAGCCAAAAATGAGAAAACCTGACCTTTTAGTAAAGATTTAGATGTTTAATCACGATTTCTTTATATTTTCTTTTGTTTCTAAGATTTTTTTGTTTCTTTTGAATTTTAAATGTTTATCACTTTAACTTTTACTTCATAAAGGAATTGAGTCTTGCCACAAACTCCTATTTTTAAATCCTCATATAAGTACAATGTCGTAGACCTTAGATATTTTAATTCCTTTACAATAAAATTTACGTCATAAATAAAAAGAGAGTTTTGGAAGATAGAAATGCAATTACCAGAAGTCATCTAGTTAACAGCTTGATAATCTATATATAAATTTGGCTTGTCTGTCTGTTTTGGTGTTTGTTTGTCGGTCTGTTTGTTTGTATCCAATAAACGTCAAAACGGCTGAACCGATCGGGCCCAAATTTTTTGTGGGACATCTAGGGACCCCAGGGAAGGTTTATGAATGATCAAAATTTTAAATATTTGTCTCCATCAAAATTCGATCTTCATTAAATTTTTGAAAATTTTGAAAATCCACGAAATTTTTTGTGAAAATCCGCGAATAATTTTTGTTTTGTTTTACGATGTACACAAAGAGAACATGTTCACAATTAATTTAGAAGATGGGCGCGAAGCGCCCTCTAAGGCTAGTAAATCAAAATTTAAATCAAAAGTCGTCTTCATTGTATTGATATTATCGCCTGCTACTGCAAATATCAATATTTCTGTGTTGCTTTGTTGCTCTGTTGTTCTGTTGATATATTGCTATAATGTTGCAATTTTAATTTTTTGTTATGGTTCTCTGTTACTTAATTGCTATGTTACTATGTTACCTTGTTGCTATGTTACTATGTTGCTATGTTGATATATTGCTATGTTGTTCTGTTACCATGTTGTTTTTAACAATTTTTTTTTATTTTAAAATTTATTTTTTAAACTTGTACAATTTTATTTTAAAAGTATTACAGTATTCCAATTTTTCCCACTTTGGGATTCTTGGGTCCCCGGGACCCTCTCCCAGGGGGGGGGGATCCCAGGAGCCCGAAAACCCCAAATGGGAAGCAACACCCCAGCATTTATTTTGATATTTTCAAAATAATTGGTATTAGAAATTGTTCGTACATTCTTCTTATCTATGATCATTATGCTAATCTCTGCTTCTTTTTTAATTCTAATATTTCTGGTTTGTTGCAAGGAAGTTTAGCTCATTATATGTTTCTAAATTTAATATCTCAGCTGCTGACACTGAACCCATAAACAATAATAATAATACAATGATAATCCTCTCAAGTTTTCTGAAATTTGCTATCTCAGCAAATGTTGAATGTTGAATGTTGATGACTTTACTAAATATAGATAGATCTATACACAATAGCTCTGTTGAAGTGTAAGGAAAGAAAAAAGAACACTGCTAGTCACATATATTAATGCATATTGTTGAAAATCCGCAACTTTGTGCTCGAAATCTTCAAATGACATTTGAGCTCAACATTGCGGCGCAGTTACATGAAGCTAATCTAGAAAACATTAGTTCCAAAACTAACACTGAGTGTTAGAAATGGGCACAAATTGAAAGACTGGGTTTTTGGGATCCCGGCAAATATC